TTTCGTTGAGAAAAATTCACAGCAACAAGATCGTTTTCATCGCCTTAACCATAATCGCATTTTTCATGGTAGTACTCTACTCTTCGGCGTTGACGAGCGTCCTGACGATACCGTCAAAGTTACAAAATATCAAAACCGTGAAAAAATTAGCCATGGAAAAATATCCGATAAAAATCTCGCCGAGGTTGTTGAAATTGGTGCGCAAGTACATGGAGAAAGATGTATTCAGGCTCATGAAGCGACGGTTCAACTCCGAGAACTACACCACTGGTTTCGATTATGCAGATGCGTTAAAATCGTGCACTCGCAAAGCTCTGGTCATGAAAAAGTCCACGGCTTTGTTTTTTGAGGAAAGCGAATCCACGTTTTGCTACCAAATGGTGCGAGAACCGTTAATGCCTGCTTGGGACACGTATCCGATAAGTTACGGATCGCCGCTTCTGCCACAGATTAATAAAATACTGGGAACGATTTTTGAGAGCGGCATACAAGGGCATTTAAAACGCAACCTGACGTTTTTGGTCGACAGGACAGGCGACGCGTACGTTCGGAAAATATCCTTAAACATGTTGAAATTAACTTTTCGCTGCTGGATTATCGGGACTTTGTTTTCGATTTCGGTGTTTCTTCTGGAACTTTTTTGGCATAGACGCGGACGCGATTTGCGTTGAAATTGTGGAAATTTTGAAGTCACTATAGGCAAGATACTCAAGTGACATTTATTTACTATTACAAATGTTAATATTAGGTAAAGTCTGTTCATAGATATAAGAAAGTGACTAACCGGCAAGCTGTAGGAATGAACAGGTCCGCACTTTGCTTACAATTTAATTATTTGGGGTTTTGTTAGGAAAAATACTAAACAATTTTATTTATGTATGTACTTATATTTAAATCTGAAAGTAATTTTACAAATACAGTATCACTATGGCTATTATCGCCTGTTCTAATTTATTATTTGTCCTATATTATTTGCAATATGGATATACGATTGTTCTGCTTTTTCTATATGATTAGCAGAATTTGCCCAACTTTGTGGAGGGGTGTTAAAAACTTCGGTTTCTATAAGTTTGAGGATATTGGAGTTAACATGGGGAAAAACATTGTTACGACGAATGGCAGATTTCAGTTGGTGCCAAACATGTTCAATGGGATTAAATATACAGTGGTAGGGTGGAAGCCTTAAAACTGTATGCCCTAGATTTTTTGCATAATTCTCACAGACGTATTCCTTTTGTAGGTTCAAGCTTTGTAGAACCTCAATGAATTGCTTTTTGGTATAATCTTCTTGAAAATAAATGTCGTTCTTATAGATGTAGTTTTGGATTGTCTACAAATGTCTACTGTGATAACTTGCATTGTCCATTACAATTACGCTATTAGGAGGAATGTTTGGAACTAATTTGTTTTTAAACCAACTTTCAAAAAAATCAGCGGTGGTAATGGTCATGGTAATCCATTGAAGAATCTTTAATATTTTTCGCAGACAGAGAAAGTCCATTTGGAATCCAACCATCTTTAGAGCCAGTATGCAAAATAGTTATTCTTTTACCTCTTTTCGATGGCGCGTTTGTTTTACACTTATCAGTTGAGTCAACCCAACCCTTTTCCGGGGTATCATAAGTGTCGAACCAGGTTTCATCCATGTAAATAATTGGCCTTTGTTGTTCTCTGTAGTCGCCATTTCCGAATTCTAAAAGATTTCATTAAAACTTCCCTCAATTTTTTTAAATCTAAAAGCCATGTGTTTAATACACTTCCGTAAGGTAGTTCTGCCACATTTAACACCGGTTTCATCTTTTTCAAGCCTCCTAATTAAGATATCTAATGTAGGCACGTTTTGTTCCTCGTATAACTGGTAAATTTTACGCCGTATTATATCTTGATCACGGTCATCTACACTCGAGAAATTGTCAGCATCGCTTCTTTTTTTCCTCGCTGAAATGGGATTATTCACAATTTTCCATACAGCTGATGTTAGAATTTTCGTCAATGTGGCCCTTTCTTCTAAAGATGCTTGCTTGCTGGCATCACGTTCAATGAGAGTCAAATAAACATTGTTTATAACTTTCTTAGTCTCAACAGAATAGTGTTTTCTACATTTGGACGGGAGCATCTCCTGAGATACACTAGACTCGCACATATTTTGCATAACACTGTTTTACACACGAAATAAGAATGATTACTAATAAACTCAAACTAAGTAGTATACCAAATCAAAGAATATTAAACACAGGTAGGTATAAAATTATTTTCTATTACGGACCACAATTTTAGCTGAATTTAAATTCCGAAACTTTAGGTAATAATCTTGTTGCATTCAAGAGCAATTGGTCACTTTCTATGAACAGACCATACATTCCTATTATTATCCAACAACTAATCACTATTTTGCTCAAGAAATGATGTTAATCTAAAGTGTTGCTACCAATGGTAGTTTGATTAATCGTCCTTGATATACCATTATTTAAAACAAGTTTTTTAAATACGTTTAATAAATAATGTTGATAAATTACGATTAGGATTTCATGCGTTGTGGAGCCTTCAGTGTACCAATGATGTCCTGCTCCCACGGGGTCAGTCTTACACTGAGAACGCTCATCCATGCTTGCTAGGTATACTTTATAGGGGTCTTTGATATCAAAAGCATCATGTCTTGTGGCATTCCCAGAATGCGATTTCTCCGTAGCGGCTTTAAAAAATCTGCATGTAGCCCACCTTGCCTCTCCCTCCAGATATATATGAAGGCAGGCTACCGCCAGTGGGTGCCCATTGTGCTTTTGCAGCCTGGTAATTTTTGCATACGCCAAACCACACTTTACGGTAAACTACGCAACATCACGTGTTACAAATCGTTTTCCAGTTTAAATATATTGCCACATACCTACTAGACATTAGAGGTTCAGACTGCATTGAGAAACCACATACAACATACCTAAAACTAAAAACCGTGATGCACGCAGAAAGTTTGTTCTTTCTTTAGTTACACTGGTTAAATTTGTTTTATAATCAATAAATATGTTTCGGCTATTATATTTTTCCTTTTTAAAGCGTCTCGTTTAATTATATATATATATATATATATATATATATATATATATATATATATATATATATATATATATATATATATATATATATATATATATATATATATATATATATATATATATCCAAAATGGAAAATGTTCAAGTCATATTGTATATTAGAGCATCAAACAACTAGAACTCCTCTAGTCCAATACAGTATAAACAATTTACATGTTGTGCCTCTACATAAAACAAAGAGGCTCGAAATAAATAATAACAATTATTAATATAAAAAAAAAACTAGAGAATGTTTTATTTTATATTTTGATATATTTTGTGGAGTTCAAAGGATGAAACAGGTGTTTTTTATACGAAATATGTTTTTATTTTTACGTAAATTAATAAAAATTGAGTGGAGCGGGTGAGTTAAATGGAGTGGATGAGTTTCTCTTCTATAATTTAATGTTATGTTATGCCGAGTTGAACTTAATATAACCAAAATTTCAATTATACGCAAATCGAATAAGCTAATTGAACCAAAACCATCAGAAAACCGTCCCTTTTAAGATGTGATCAGTGTCCACCTGTGATATCAATACAGTCTTCATAGTCTTCAAGAATTTGGATAATGTTATAACTTTAAAATCATTTGCAAATCTTATCCCGCACGAGTAAAGCAGAAGTGTGTAAATGTTTATAATGACTTTCTTCCAATTTCAGACACGCTATGTGGTGTGGCCATGAATATTAATTTATGGGGTGTTAATTGAAAACTCCAATTTTTGTCGTATAGATGGTCCAAATTACCAATTGTGGTGTATTGAATGTTTCGAAATAAATTTAGAGTAGATGCGAATTGAATGAACCCTTAACGGCCAAACGAAGCTAGCTGCGCAGTATCTCTAGTATTTCTAGAAAGTTTATTGGGAATTGTTTGTATTGTTCAATTATTTGGCGATAAAAAAAAATATAAACTCATTTTCCGGTTTACAGCAAATACGCAAAGTAGTATATTATGCAACAAGTGTGGTAAACAGCATTTGAGTCACTAGTTTATTTGTGTGACTTAAAAAGTTTACCAAACGTGTTGCATACTATACTTTTTCTACGACCGTTAGTTCTCGGGTACATTTTCGCCAGACAACACCAATACATTCACTGACATGACCGTAAGAATTGAAAAACGTCAAAATTCGTGGGAAATATCTCCGAAAATATCCGATTGCTCCCAAACCCGTGCGGTAAAATCCCGGAAATGGCCGAAGTGGCTTGGATCTGTGGGAAACGAAACTGACGTGGTAAAGTAGAGCTTCCCGCACCCTAGATCGGTGTGTAATTAGGTATTTTACAGACGGGAGTAGAAAAATACCTTTTTCTACCATGTCAGTGAATGTATTCGTGTTGTCTTGCGAAAATGTACCCAAAAAGTAACGGTATAGTATAGTATGCAACACGTTCGCTAAATTTTTTAAGTCACTCTTTTTTTAGGCACTCGCTCCGCTCGTGTCAAATAAACTCGTGAGTTAAATGCCGTTTCCCGCATTTGTTGCATAATATACTATTTTGATGTAGGGTCAATAGAAATTTATATAAGACGATTCGCATCAAATTTTTCATCATTTTTATTTATTGGAGAAACAGCGCATTTTCCACGTTTCACAATACGACACATATCTAATTTTAATTTTCAAAAATACGATTTTAGCATATAGCATATTCCGAGGCATATTCTTTATGAGCCGCTATACAAATTTCTCGTAGAGAACATCCTGAAACATTTTTTTCCGCTGTACAAATACAGAGCCCGCGTTTTGCAGATAAAAAATTTATTTGGTAGTTGATGATTCGACGACACCAAAAAAAACTGGGCCAGACAGGTTTTTGACCGCAATTTCCCCGAGGTTTTTGTTGGTCACATAAAAATCTACAGCGGGCAATAATTAATCTACGTTGTCGGGGGACACCGGATGGATGTAAATTTAACATTTCCCAAAATAGTGCCACCAAGACCCCAACGTAGAGTTCGACGAGCCTGTTTGTGCAGACAATTTTTATGTCAACAGTGGCACGCGTTCATCGTGTTGAAGTAAAGCGTGCGCTAGCGTCACGTGGTGTTGTTTAAATGCCGGAATCTGATTATCGAAGATAAAACTAAAATTAATATGATAGGTTCGAGAGGTCCGACTATAGTGACCGTTCCGGTTCACGGTACCTCGAAGAGGAGTGGGATAAAATGCTGTTGCTGCCAGTGTTGCACGTGTATAAATTTGCAATTTTTGAAAACCGGTCCTGGGATAGTAAAAGCTTTGGAGGTGGTAAGTTTTCTCTGAATTCCTTTTTTTTTATTTAATATATTATAATATGATGAAAATTAACATATTCAAAATCTCCTTTGAATAATTTGTATTTCCGAAAAACAACAAACAATTTCAACAAATAGGAGATTGTAGAAGCAATTTAATTTGGGAAAAGTAAAATAAAGTGGTTTAACTATTTGGGAATCTTAGTTTATTGGCCTTTAACAGTGCAGTAGTACTAGAAGTACTACATTCGGACGCATAGTAAAATACAGAATAATTTTTTTTTAATGGTGATACAGAGAAATTTTGAAGAAAATGTATTAATATATTTTTTATTTGAATTTCGCGCCGCACAATAAGGAGTTTTCTTAATTTCTGAATAGAAAAACAACAACACCAACAAATAGCTGATTGTATAATTGAAGAATAGATCGTCGATAACAGAACGTTTGCCAAGAAAACGTCAAAAATATTGCTTTGAATTAAATTATTATTTAACTTGACTTCAGTGTTATAAACTGGGAATAAAATAGGTGACCTATGAAATGCTCTGTTAAGTCCCTTAGGGCCTCAGTGAAAGTAAAAATTATTAGTTTATTAAACCAAAGTTCAATGCACTTAATTTTTCGAAAGTATTTCCTATATCTATGTAATGTTCATGATTTATTTGAATTGAGTGAGCAATATTTGTGCTATAGGCACGTAATGTGATCCGGACCTCCATGTATCGCGACACTATTCGGGCTTTGATTTTAGGGGTTGGGATTCCTATGTCAAAGTTTATCAGTGCGATACGGATATGAGTACTCCGGAACAATTGGACTGTCTTTGCAGTCGTTTCTTGCAGTGGCGTCCTGGTGTTTTATGACTACGTTGTTATTGCTGATGTGCTACGTTTTCTCTTCTAGATCTATTCATTTGATAAAATCGTCTTTATTTGTAAGTAGAAAAAAGTCTATAGAGAGTGTTAAAAAATTCCTGTACCCCAATTTTATGATTACAATATCTAAAAATAGCCTATGATCAACATTTATTTATAATTTAAGATATAAACAAACAAAAATACGTCTCTAGAATTAGATTATCAATTGGAAGATGTTTCCATGCACAACATATTCAAGACTCCATGAAACATCATAAACAGAAAAAGATGCATATTTCAAAAATAGAGAGTTACACCGAAGGTTGACGGTAACTGCGCAATTTTTAAAAAATCCACTAAATATTATTACACTTTTGCAAATTGTATAGTGTTCATTAAGTTCGGCGAATTTTGTGGAATTAAAGACGCACTGACTTAAAAGATTTATAGAACACTTAAGATTAAGGTAAAAAATGTTTTAAAAAAATCAAAATTGAATAAAACATAAAATAAAAATATTGAAATTTTTAAATTGAACCCCCAATATTTTGTATACACTTTATTGGTTGTCACAATTAAGAGTAAGACAACTATGCGTAGGTGGACGCCCTATATGATAAAGATCTATAGTTGCCTCATTGAATGATGTTTGTTCCTGAACTTATTAAAAGTATAATCAAAAATTCAAATTTAAACTAACATTAGGATACTGCTTATTCTGGCATTCTCTTTTAGGAAATAGTTTTTAATACGATAGCCGCATTTAGTTACCTGACATCTGGTTCCTATCTAGGATATATAGTAAATTTAGTTCTAGAGCCAATTTACGCGATAACACCACATTACGGAGTGTATCCAGCTATGAGCGCATCATACGTAAGTATACAATTTTGGTTAAAATTCGAAATTACCTTTTATTCTTTTAGATGATCGGTTCTGTTTTGGGAATCATATATGCATACGATGCGTACAACTCTTACAAATATTTTAAAGCATTTTCACCGATTAGGAACTGATTAGGCGATTATTATATTAGAGGTTATAATTTTGTTCTAGTCGAATCAAATCCTGTGTTCTGTTCGCGTATTCAAAAAGTATGTAGAATTTATAAGTGACTTATTTATAAGTATTTGAATTGTGCATTGTGCATGTGTAATTTAATAAATATTTAACTAATGCATATATGTGCTGGTTACCTTAATTACTTCTAGTACTTTATTCCTTCAAAAAAGTACTATTTTTCCGTCAGTTGTTATAAATTCCAGTTGTATCTAGTAAATGAAGTTTCCAATTATTCCTGCTAGTTTGCAATAACAACGCAAAAAAATTTACATTATCACAAAAAATGAAAATGAAAAAGGCATCCAAGAGTATTGTTGCTTTATAATTCGAAATAATTTGTGATGATTATGTTTATTACGTTTTAACAGCGAACGCACCTGTTTTTAATAACAGGCTTCGTCGATTCCAATAAATATTTTTTTATTATAAGGCTAGGCAGCTATTATTTTCCGATACAAAATTTCCATCGTATAAACTTTGCGGATGAAAATCTACACCATTTTATTAAAACGCCTATTTTTAGAATCGCACCACACATGAACGGGGAATAGTGTTTTACTGCGTATGATCACATCAATGGTTAATTTGTATTTGTATTGCAAATGCCGGTGATGTTCATCGGGCAGCTACGATATTGCGTTGCTCCTAAATTGCACACGTTAACCTGTGTAATTTTTTTCTAAACATCTTTTTTCCATACAGTTTTTCCTCTAAAAATCGAAGGGATCTGGGTTTATTTAGAGAAAAAAATAGTACAACGTCCAAACTTAAAACTGTCACCTTGACAAAGCGACCATGTTGATTATTTAACTGAGCAAGGTCTTAGTAATCGAAAACGAAAATTTCCAAATACCAGGGAGCGTATTATTGTATTTTGTGAACTTATTTATACTATTTCTCAATTTTTTTTGTTAATGAGGAAATTTTTTAAAAGTAACGATTTTCAACTAAAATGACATTACGTCGATTTTCTTCAAAATGTTAATTATTTTCGGTACTAACTTAGTATCAACTAAAAATAAAAATTTTCAATTTTTTTTAATTACATAGTGAACCACGATAAAATTTCCAAATGGCACTTGGGGCTTTTTTACTTGTTACTATGTATTCTTAGTGGTTATTTTTGAACGCTGTTTATTGAATGCAGTATTTATACCTCTCCAGCAAAATGTTTTTTTTATAAGAGAAAAAACATCAAATTAAGATATCCTCATACAGACGCAAGAATCTGAGAAAATGAAGAATTTCAAAATACGTCTAATATGCTGTTAACCAATAGGATTACTTCCCAGCTGGGTAGTATTTCAGAGGTAAACGTGATTGTTAGCTTATATACCTATTAGCTAGTCATTCTATCTTTAAATATCAGATAAAAAACTTAGGCAATTAAAAAAAATCAAGTTATGTTTTATATTGTAACTATTCTCTCCATGTTAAATCTATATTTTATAATTTAGTTGGGTGTATATAAGATTTTTTTTCTTATTATTAATTTTTCTATTCTTTAGATTCTAGTTCATTCACAATTAATTATATTACAACAATTAATTATATATCATTATTATATAATATATTATATAAAACTAAACAGTATTATTTAAACTTAGAGTGGATTAATTTCTCCTTGTTGCAATTTATTTTTATTATTAGCACATGGGTTGCTGCCATTCGATGCTGGTTGCGACTCGCTGATTAAGGCTTATTAATCCAACCCAAAAATTGCACAAACTCCTTTGTGGCTAGTTTTCTCAAAAAACTGTTGGTGTCAATAACCATGTGTGCTATTCTTGGAAAGCTCGTACAGTTTTAAAACAAATTTGTAGAAGTGGACGACTCAGTGTACTCTGGAACCAATTTCGACGTAGTCCATTATAAATATAAACGATTTCCAAAAAAAATATCGAAATTTGTGCTCTGTCTAAACTTTAATTATGCAATTTAAACTACGAGAAGTTTTTACGAACGAGAACATATATAAATATTAATAATATAAATAATAAAATAAATGTACGATTGCTCGCTAATTTTTCGCGGGCCACGCCACTGTTGTACTTTCAAACTCATTTTGTTATTAAAAGAACCAGGCACGTTTTATGTGGCGTTATCAATTAGCCATTTACTTTCCTATCCGAGGAATAACAAAGTAGTAATAACGGAGTAGGTAGGTATCAGGTCTCGCTATTGGCAAGTAGTGTCTAAGAAACCTCCGGTGCCGAGGGAGTCGGTGGGGACCCACCTGAGGACAAGCTTGCGACTCGACAAGGAATGTCATCAATTTGTAAATGGATAACTCGAGTGGAAGAGAAAGTTCAGTTCAGTGGCCGAAAATAAGTGAGTAAAACAAGTATTAATTAAAATCAATATAACAAGTGAATCGAAAAAGTGCCGCATATAGTTATATTCAATCATTATAATCTTTCGCGTGCAGTCTTTAACAGAAAATTCATCGTTTTTATGTAGGCATTTTTATATTCGAGTTTCCTTTTAATAATAAAACATTCCGAACCAATTGTTTCTAACACCTTTTCTGTAATTAATGGCAGCCCTATTAAAGAGAGTAACGCGCACATCATTACGCGGTTTCTTGAACGTGTCATATTTGTTGACTTTACTTTCAGTTTTATAAGCAGCGCTGTAAAGTAATTGTTTGCTGACTCATTAAGTTCGAACGATACCGATTTTGCAAAGGTAATGTTTCACCTCATTAAAAAGACGAAAAAAATCGATAATAGTGTTGTTTTTGTGTCGACCCACTGAATTACCAATTTTTGACGATACCTACTACATTCTTTCAACGCAAATATGAAAATATACCAATTGCAGGAGACTTATATTTACATGCGACTTCGTTTATATAATAGGGTATTAACTAGTAAAGTGTACATTCCATATAAGAGCTAAGCGTGCTATAATGCATGACAAGGGTGGGATGGATGTAATCGATCTTTGCTAGACGGCTGTTCAAAATTCCCAGTGTAAAGTGTAGGTAAAGTCTGTTCATAGATATTAGAAGGTGACTAACTGATACGAATTAAGGAAAGACCCGGGCACGCTGTAAGAATGAAATATGGCCGAACAGATCCGTACCTTGCTTAGAATTTAATTATTTGAGGTTTTGCTAGGAAAGGTACTAAACAATATTTGTTTATTTATTTATATATTTATGTTTAAATCTAAAATAAAATTACAAATTATTTTTATAACCCACTTAAATTACTTAAAATTATTCACATAATATATCAGTATTACTATCGCTATCATCGCCTGTTCTAATTATTATTTGTTCTATATTATTTGCAATATGGATATACGATTGTTCTGCTTTTCCTATACGTTTAACAGAATTTGCCCAACTTTGTGGAGGAATGTTAAAACTTCGGTTTTTATAAGTTTGCAGATTTCAGTTGGTGCCAAACATGTTCAATTAAATATACAGTCGTAAGGTGGAAGCCTTAAAACTGTATGCATTAGATTTTTTGTATAATTATCACAGACGTATTGCTTTTGTGGGTTCAACCTTTGTAGAACCTCAGTTAATTAATTAATTCATTTGGTGTCACATGAGGAAGGGGTTTTAATCAACTCTCTACTGTGATAACTTGCATTGTCCATTACAATTACGCTATTAGGAGGAATGTTTGGAACTAGTTTGTTTTTAAACCAATTTTCAAATAAATCAGCGGTAGTGCCTTCATGGCAATCCAGAGAAGAGGGGTGTTAAAAACTTCGGTTTCTATAAGTTTGAGGATATTGGAGTTAACATGGGGAAAAACATTGTTACGACGAATGGCAGATTTCAGTTGGTGCCAAACATGTTCAATGGGATTAAATATACAGTGGTAGGGTGGAAGCCTTAAAACTGTATGCCCTAGATTTTTTGCATAATTCTCACAGACGTATTCCTTTTGTAGGTTCAAGCTTTGTAGAACCTCAATGAATTGCTTTTTGGTATAATCTTCTTGAAAATAAATGTCGTTCTTATAGATGTAGTTTTGGATTGTCTACAAATGTCTACTGTGATAACTTGCATTGTCCATTACAATTACGCTATTAGGAGGAATGTTTGGAACTAATTTGTTTTTAAACCAACTTTCAAAAAAATCAGCGGTGGTAATGGTCATGGTAATCCATTGAAGAATCTTTAATATTTTTCGCAGACAGAGAAAGTCCATTTGGAATCCAACCATCTTTAGAGCCATCATGCAAAATAGTTATTCTTTTACCTCTTTTTGATGGCGCGTTTGTTTTACACTCATCAGTTGAGTCAACCCAACCCTTTTCCGTGGTATCATAAATATCGAACCAGGTTTCATCCAAGTAAATAATTGGCCTTTGTTGTTCTCTGTAAATCCTAATTTTTTCTAGATATTCCAGTCGCCATTTCCGAATTCTAAAAGATTCCATTAAAACTTGCTTCAATTTTTTTAAATCTAAAACCCATGTGTTAAATACATTTCCATAAGGTAGTTCTGCCACATTTAACACCGGTTTCATCTTATTCAAGCCTCCTAATTAAGATATCTAATGTAGGCACGCTTTGTTCCTCGTATAACTGGTAAATTTCACGTCGTATTATATCTTGATCACTTTCATCTACACTCGAGAAAATGTCAGCATCGCTTCTCTTTTTCCTCGCTGAAATGGGTTTATTCACAATTTTCCATACAGTTGATGTTGGAATTTTCGTCAATGTGGCCGTTTGTTCTAAAGATGTTTGCTTGCTGGCACCACGTTGAATGAGAGTCAAATAAACATTGTTTATAACTTCCTTAGTTTCAATAGAATAGTGTTTTCTACATTTGGGCGGGAGCATCTCCTGAGATACACCAGACTCGCACATATTTTGCATAATTCGCACACGATTGAACACACGCTGTATTACACACGAAATAAGAATGATTACTAATAAATTTAAACTAAGTAGTATACCAAACAAAAGAATATTAAACACAATTAGGTATAAAATTATTTTCTATTACGAACCACTATTTTACCTGAATTTAAATTCCATTAAATTAAATTAGGTAATAATCTTGTTGCATTGTATGTTAATGACCACCCTTGGATAATCTCATTCAAAAGCAATTGGTCACTTTCTTATGTCTATGAACAGACCATGCTATTAATAACGCTGCAGTGATTTTCGCAGTACTATCTTAAAAACCAAGCTAGCACTTTTATCACTTCGTCAACGTCGCAAATGAATGGCTAGTACAAATACATGCCGGAGGTATTATACAGTCGGTACGATTTGCGATTTCATAGTCGGGAATAAAATGCTAGACAAAATAAAATATATTGTTCATCTTGCTTCAACTCAAAATTTCAACAGATGTTGTCCCACCCTAAATCTCTATCTGATCAATGCAAGATAGCCGTCACTAACGATGACGATTATATTACTTGGTAGTAAGATAGACTGAATCAGTTGTACTTGGCATTTATTAATTTAACTAGTAGACTCATACTTAGAGAATATTTAAGTAGGTGATTTTGATAATTTGTTAAATAAAGAAACTTTATCCATGCAATAAAAATTACAACAATACCAAAAAAGTCGGAAAATTAAAAAATATATATCTTACCGTATAAAATATAATTTGTCAAGAGTAAATATTTAAGTGAACTATATTTATTTTGTATTTACGATGAAACATCGGAGCCAAAATTGGAACTGCTACTACCAGAAAATGATCCTTTGTCTAGATTAATAACAAGTGTTTGAACTGTTTTATCAAGTGTATTTTCTTTTTCCCAGTATTTTTTTATTATATTTTCTGTATGTGTTATGATCCAGTTTTCTTTGGTAACTGTCTCCAGAGCTGCTTTCCAAACAGATACTACTGCAGTATCATCGTGCCTTGCGTCACTTAAAAGTATTTTTATTTGAAAATATTTTACACTGAGCCCACATCAATTATTCTATGGCATTAAATCTAAATTGGTAAGGAGACAATTTTAAAAAGTTGATGATCGATTTCAGCAATTATTTTGTCTGTCGCATACGACAAGTTCGTTTTATAATTTTAGTCAACTCACACTTTAGACCTATTCTTATAGTTTGGTACACTTTCCTAAGTCTAGAATGATATCATGCGTTAACCATAATAATTAAAGACGGCCTTTCGAGTTTCGGCAGCAGTTTTTCAAAAATGCGACGCTGTTTTATAGGTGGTTTTCAGTAATTGGTGCTATCTCTGTCGAGTGTACGACACCGGGGCGGAATAGACAAAAATAGAACAATGCCAGGTAAATGGGTGAATTTTGCCATTCCTATTATACAGGTAAAATACTGAGGCACCTTGGTTTTATGACGGACTATGTCATCACAAATCGTTTTGTACTTTCTTCTCAGTTTACCTGCGCAGGACTCAAATGTACTAGACGCGTACTTGCCCTTTGCAGAATAAATAACGCCTCTTTTGACGTTTTGCAAACAAAGATAATATCAACACCCAAATAAGAATTACCGGCTTACATAATATATGATATTAATATTTTATAATTTGCGAAATCCAGAAAACCATCTATTAGTGGTTAATTTCCATGGGATGTTTCTAAGTAGTATAAAAATTAATAATAAATAATAATGATACAGTTAAGGCGCATTATAACAACTTTTACTAGAAGAGTAAAAAAATAACAAAAACAAATACCGACATAATATGTACTTGTAATTGTAATTGTGTAATTATAGGAAAAGAATCCCTAAAAGAATAGAGGCCCTCTAGGCATTTTATTTGAATATAATAACCTAACTTTCAATTTACCTTTGTTTTGGAGGTTTGGACATTATGCCTTAATATAATACAAACTAAACACATAAAAACATACATTATAGAATAAAACAACAATAGATAAGCAATAAATAAAAAATTGCGATTTGGTTTTTTGTGTCTTCATTGCCTACATGAAATATATCAAACGCATGCACAAGTCATAACCCAATTTGTTCTAAATCTTAGCGTCTGAGTTGTGCCACAAACACAGTATAAATTAGAGCGCCGATTATTCTCATTTTATTCCTCACTCACCTTTTGATTGGCATCAACGAGCGCATAAGAAAACTATGTCCTTTTTTATATCTTGCGGTTGGCAACTATGTTAGATCATAGATTTTACAGTTGCGATTCAATTGCTTCACCATTTCTCGAAACCCAACGGACCATACTTCATGTTGCTATAATACTAGCAACTAAAGAAATTTGTCTGTTTTTTTTTTCATAAAATATTTTGAATTTTAATATTATATTAATTCATCATCATTATTATTTAAATGATAATAAAGAATAGAACTAATTTAGGTTATTTTAACAGATAACAACGAAAAATTTTTCGGAGCTTAAGTGAAACCTCCACTGACAGGAACGAGAAAGATACACTGTTGTCATATTTGTCAACAATTTTCGCGTAGAGACAGACGTACTAATACTCGAAGTAACTCGTTACCCTTACGGACCGACAATATTTTTCGTGTATGGTATAATTTGAAATTCTAGTGTACTTATCGCGTATCATTTGCTACGTAAGCCATATTCCTTGAAGTTTTACAGCAAAACCTCAACATCAATACGGGATAAGCAATACGGAAAACATTTTTCTAAGTTTTTAAAATTTATTTCCCTCATTTCGCCACTCATATTTTATACAATCACAATGGAAAACAAGTTAATTAGAATTTTGTAACAGGCAGTAAGTGAAAGGAAGTGTGATTGCGTTATTATTAAAGACGAAAAAACCGACTTGTTTCTAACAGCATTCCAATTTACGATTTTTACGTTTCTTTTGTTCATTTAGTACACCATAAGGAAATTTTGTTATTCAGAACTTAATGTCACTTCATTTAATGGTGCCATTTGATCCACGACCTCATAGATTTTTATCAACTAGGTGCAATTTTGGTTAATAAAAATCGCTGGTTATTTTCGCGTCTTCCAACAAATATTTTTGAACAAATGAATAATACAGGTTAAAAAAAAAGTGTTGGTGTAGATTAGTGCGACGCACCCTGTAGATTTGTTTCGTTACGCGTTGAGTAATCATCGGCACAGGTACGAATTGTTCTGCAAGGTAATCTTGCTTAAGCCTCTCAAGGTTTTTAAATAAATTTGCAATATATCCGTTCGATTTAGTCACGTGGTTAGTTCTTTATTACAATACGTCTATGGAATGTATTATTTTTTTAGACTGCTCCTCAAAGGAGCATTTCGATTTTCATTTAATTTTTGATATGAAATAAAAACAAATTTACTCACTATATAATTTCTATATGGGTATAGGTGATGATCAATTAACAATGTTGTTCAATTCATGTTCCAGAGCTCAAAAACTGATTCAGTATGATGATAATTAAATTGTTGTGGTCTAGTTTTGTTTTTAACTCAGCGTTTTCTTCCTTCAGTCATTGCATTTGACATGCCAAAGCTTGAGTATTTCTTAATTACATTTTGAACAAAAGTTGGATTGGAGATAGCATCGAAATATGTTTAATATCTTCATTATTGCTGCTTGGTTTAATTTTTTTATGCTTATGTTAGTTTTGGTAAATTTTAATGAGATGTCGATTCTCTTCCATTAAATTTTTTAAGTTTTGAGAAACAAACATTAGACAATATGAAAACAACGGAATTAATAGTATAGGTGTTCTTATATAGATAGTTCTTTTTATGTGTAATTTAAGTTATAACGTTAACTTTTGTGTGAAGCAGTTTCTACCAGCAAAATAAATTAACGGAAAAAAATTGCCTGTTGCAGTTCACGATGTAACTACACCTTCGCTGGCCGAGTTTATCGAAGACGAATCAAACAACGTGACGACGGTGGTGATATTCGTGGTTTCCGCAGTCTTAGTCATAATTCTCATTTTCCTTATGGCTGTTTTCATAGACTGCCGGCAGCAGTAAGTGAAACTGATATCCATTATATTTTGATAATCCATCTCGATGCATTTTAGGAAAATCCAAGATTTCGAGGCGCAATCCAAGAAAAAGGCTCGAATTAAGGTTAGAAGAATAGTCCCCAGAGTACTGGGAATTCCTAGAAGGTGTGAAGACAATCAAACCATCGTGGATAACATGGAAACTACGTCCTCGAACATGATTGTGTAAATGAATGTGTAAACCGCGATTTAAAGGAAAAATATGTAATGTGCCTTGTATTATATTATGACTGTGATTTTTTACATATATATCCAAAATATATAGAACAATGTTTTTGTAATTCTGGTTGAATGAGTAGCCCCAGAGAAGAGTTGCCTATTTGCCTAAATTAATTTTATTTTTAAATTTTACCCTACTTTTTTAATATTGTTTATTAACTATTATTTGGAATAAAAAAATACCATGCCATTAAACTTTCTCAAAATGGTTTAAAATTTTCAAAATTTATCACACTCCTCAATTTCGCACTTTCAGCCACTCATGAACAACATTAAGCTTTAAATTATATTTATTAATATAATTATAATTCTTCTTAGGCTTTAATTTCAACATTTTCCTAGTACTATAGCGAGCAGCGCCATTCTCACGTACATTCCACACTCCACTTGTCTAAAATACGCCGCCCTGGGGTCTGTGTCAAACTCCGGGCTTATCTCGAACACCCTAGGAAGAGGATGCAAAACTACCATTTTTCTCTTAGCGCGGGTCATGAGCTGAGGAGTGACGACAAAATGCCCGCATGCCTAAAAATGTTAAACTCAATTATTCGAAGGTTTTTTTATTTAACCATTAAAACTCTGACCTTTTCATACTCTTCGTTACTCTCGAATCTTTCCCTCTGTATCCTTGTCATATACAACACGTCCGTGTCTGGTAACACATCCTCGAAACTCTCATATTCTTGTTGGTGGATTCCTCTCCCAGATACGAATTTGGTTATATGGCTGGGCATTTTTAAGTTTGACGGACTCACGTATCTCAGTTGCACGTTGTACAACGTCAGTAGACGTGCTAGTGAGTGTACTGTCCGACCATTTTTCAAATCCCCGACTAGAGTGATTGTCAGACCATTTACGGTACCGATTTCTTCGCGAATAGTGAATATATCCAGTAGAGCTTGGGTGGGATGTTCACCAACGCCATCTCCAGCGTTGATTAGCGGTTTGCGACAGTGTTGGGAAGCTTTCTGGAACATAGGCAATGCAGCACGCTTCAAAGTATAGAAACATAAATACATTGTCTAATTTCTTGGATTTATTAGTGTATACAGAACCATGCATAGCTGAGGAGATATCATCTTAATTTAAAAGTAATATCCACTAACACTTACATATACAGATCCTGGAAGGGGATGTCTAAGGACAATGACATCTGCGTAACTCGCTAATGTTGCTATAGAATCTTCAAGCGTTTCGCCTTTCTTCACTGACGAACTAGTTTCGTCCATGTAGATAACTCGTCCACCCAACCTTTGCATCGCAGCCGAGAAACTACAGCAAGTTCTCGTGCTTGCTTCGTAGAACACCGAAGCCATGATTTTTCCCCTGAGGACGTGATCGAGTGGTCTGTCTTTCGAGACGTATGCCCTAGAAACATATACATTTTGATAATCTTCATAAAGTATTAGCGCATTTGCTTTTACCTAAACGTTTGAGCCAAGTTAAAAACGTAATTGAGTTGCTCTTTCGAGAACATGTCCACTCCGAGAATGTGTTTTCCAGTTAAACCATGCGATGAATGATGATGATGTGGTTCCGGATGTACCGCCAATAAAGGGGCCAAGCCCTCCGATTTGGATTTTATTTTTTCTTGGTTGGAAAAACTTTCTGTTCTTATTCTGGTCGATGATGGAATTGGAGATAACATTGTTTGCCTAATTTCGATGTGTTGGGTATCACTTGCAAAATGTACCTTGCTGTCTGTTGCTAACAGTTTCGTAAACATTTCGTTTGGGTGTCCATCTTCATAGTCCAAGGAATCGACATGGTTCTTAGTAATATAAGGAGACGGCGAGAGGGGTCTGTCCATGGCCGATGACGGTCTACTTTCGACCGTAACGGAGCTTAGCATCCGTTTATCCCACTCCCTGACGTTTTGGCCAAAACCTAAGGGAACGAGAACTTGTCCCTCGACGAACGCTACTTCTCCGCGAAGCACCACGCGATGAACCGAGCCTTTAACTTTTCTTCCTGCAAAGGGGGTCCATTTGGCTTTGCTGTAAAGCGTTGTTTCTGGTATGATCCACTCTTCATCCATATCCACTTCCACGTAGGTATTGGGTTGTTCAGGCAAGTTAAATATTCGTTTAGGATTCCTATGGAATTTGCTAACGACGTCTTCCATACTCAGTCGTCCTTCATTCACAGCATTGATTAGAAGTGGAAGGATTGTTTCCAAACCTGGAAATCCAGGGGGCGCGTTTTCACTTAGCTTTTCATCCAGAGTATGAGGAGCGTGATCTGTTGCAAAGCAGTCGATTACGTGAAGGTTATCCCACAACGCTTGCTGATCTTCGGGAGATACAAGCATGGGTCTTACTTGACTTTTCTTTACCCCAAGGGACGGGATGTCATTGGTGGACAAGAAAAGGTGGTGAGGGCAAACTTCACATGTCACTTTGAGACCTTTTTCTTTGGCCGTTTTAATGATCAATATCTCTTCTTTCCGAGCTACGTGGCAGATATGGACTGGCCTATTCATTAAGCTAGCAAGAAGGATAATAGCGGCAGTTGTTTCTTTTTCGGCGTGGACGCAAAGAGGTGCCTTTCTCGGCCAATTGCTTAAATGTTTATTCCAGACTGTAAGATCGTTGAGTCGTAGAGTAGTAAACGTTTCGTTCAAGTACATCTTCAACGCTGCTGCTTCGTTAGCTAATTCGCAGATCGTGCTTGCGTTGTCTGAAGACGCTCCTAGTAAACGAAAACGAAAATATGAACAACTTCAATCTCAATTTTCTTAACAATATGGATATTAAGTCAATGGTAAAAAACCTGTTTGTCTATTCCATTCCCTTTAGACCCCAGAATAATTACGAGACAGAAGCAAAGGATGTTACAAAATTTGGAACATTTTAATAATACATGACATTTGGTAAAAATACAATTCCATTCACGGCTACCTCACGAAGATAAAATTACTTATACATATATGTATCAGGTATCATGTGGGAAGTCTCTAGAGTCTAGAAAGATAATTTGTACCGTTTCAAATGGATCTTTTTTCTAGTACCAACATCGAATGTCATTAGAAAGTGATACCTACCCACAAATAAGGCATAGTCGCATCTGGCGTGATCTTTGGCGAGTTTCTTGACAAGAAGGAACGATTCTTCGTCGACTATAGCTGGGTTTGTGTTAGGCATGGCGCAGATTAAGGTAACCCCGCCAGCCAGCGCGGCCGCTGTACAAGATGCATAATCTTCCTTATGCGTGGTACCAGGTTCTCGCACGTGAACATGGGTGTCGATGAACCCTGGGAGTTTTATAAGATGCCTTGAGCTGATGCAATCCGTATGGGTTTTCATTAGAGGTGCCCTACCGATTAGCCGAATAGCCTCATGAAAAAAAAAACATTATAACTAGGTACATGTTAATTTGTGTGATAAGAAAATATAACTTGGTCCTCATATTTTTGTAGAATAAAATGGGCATTATTAAACTAAATTTATAATGAAAAAATCTTAACAATTGCAAAACTGAAATTGCTATAATATTTTTTCTGAATCCATCGATACAATGTAAAAATAACTTCCTTAAAAATTGAGGACGGCAAAGGTTGTGTAACTTTAATACCCTGCGTATATTTTGTTAACATATACTCTGGTATTGGAACTGTAGAACGAGGTTGGTGGGAATTTCGAGATTTTCCTAATAGTTCTAAAACCCTGCAATAAAATAGTCATAATATTATGTAGGTAACCGTATATATCAATATCATTTTCTTTCTGTCTACGCGATAACAGTGATAATTAGCGAAAATAAAAACATGATCGTTAAAAATATTATCTCAAATCAATCGCGCTCGTTGACATTTTCAATTATTTTTCTCCGAATATAGACGTATTTATAACAATGAGGTAAACTGATATGTATGTTTCGTTTTTTTTTTTAGCAAGTGGTGGACCACAGCAGCGAGAATTTTTCAAATCTGTCATTATTGCATGTTAGTTCACAAAGACACCCGAATCGTTTGTATCACGATTCTGAGATTTATATACCAAATTGGAGTAACTTTAAGATAAGAACCAACCACTTAGTTCTGACAGATATGACGTAGGTTTTTGACCTTTAACCTCAAACACGTCCCGTTCAGCAAGCAATTTTTGAGTGACAGACAAACGCTGCAACAATTCTCTAGACCAGCACTTATGTAACGTAAAATAAAATAATTATTAAGTAATAATTATAACATGAATAATATGAAATGCTATTTTCGCTAGTTCGAATGTTTTTCGAGCCAATATAAAGTGAGAGTAATACAAATTTTATACGCAACATAATCAATTTAACGTGAAATGAAGTTTGATATTAAAGTGTTTTTGTACCTTCGCTGGTTGGTCATATCCTCTCAATAATCCTCATACACCGATTAAAAAAAAAAGAATTAACATTTTAGGTAAGTTGAATAGGACTTCCACAAACGGCTGAAATACTATTTACAAAACTTCTGTATTCCTCCTTCATCGATTCTTGCTGAATCGAACTTGCTGACGTTTCGCCGTGACGTTTGTTGGCTTCTTCAGAGCGTAACTGAAACGTCAGCAAGTTCGATTCATCAACAACCTTCGCACATTCGGACATTTGCTTTTTTTTCTTATTATTTCAAATTTATCTTTATTGCTTAAGTGACTTTTTTAAAAAACGATTGGATTTAGTAAAAACTGCTGAAAAATGGGAGAAAATGCTATTAACAAAGCCATATGCGTAAAGTATATTACACTGTTTTAAAAAAAATACTGATTGCAATGAATACTGTTCCCTAATGAGTATTTTTGAAGAACCTTTAAAATTGAATATAGTGCTGGTATTTTTTGTATCATCCAGTAACATGTAATATAATTTGCACTAAAATATTTGGAGATTTGATTACGGTAAATTTGTAAGTTTGACTCTCGACTTAGATGATATTGAGAAAAAATCCTTATGGCATTAACAAAAATGCTTCAAAAATAAATATTAGACTTTATTAGTCACATTTATTAAAAATTATAAATAATTCCCATTTATGAGTTAAGAAATTATTTCAGAAATTCTTTTAAATTTAATTTAATGGATTTGAGCGCATGAAAACTAGATTTTCAAAAATCGAGGTCAATATTTCTGAAACGATAACCGAAAAAATATTCCGGCCATTTGTCCATTTTGTGAAAGCTAAATGGGGCTTGTTCCTGAACTAGACGAAGTGATTTTACACTGGGTTACACAATAGAAAATATTTATGAGATTGAATGACTCAGAAAGTAAACTGGGGAATTATTGCTTCTTTCTTGTACTAATAGGCTAATTTTCTTATCAGAAAGTTTATATTTTGAATTAATAATGACTGAATAGTTAAACTCGGATCAAAACATATCGTAGAGCCTTGAATATTACCGTAGTATATTCAACGCGGATTAAATTAATATCTACCGATAAGGAAGAATAATAAATAATAAAACCCTAAAAATATTTTCAGTTGTTAAAAAAAAGAAAATAACAAATGGACTTAAACTTGAATTTGAGTCAATACATTCTCTTTTACTCACCTCAACTAGTAATTTTGCGCATTTGACGTCGGTAATCAATGGGATCGAATAGTCGATAGCCAATCGTCTGGTTCGATATCCATGAGTCATGAAGGAAGATACCCTCCTTGCGCCGCCATTACGCATTGGTAGGTTTATCACAAGTTCGAATTGTTTCTTCGACAAGAACTCGGCCAAAGGTTTCAGTTCGCTTTCGCTTGTGATATCGTCTATGTTTTCGAAAGTCCATTGTACTGATTCGACCTAAAACACATGCACTTTTAGTTTTACAACAGATAAAATCTCAACTGCAATATTTAATAGAGTATTATTGTCATCTACTAATGATGCTAACTTGCTTAGCAAAACGTGCGTCTAGGAAGTCGATTAAATTTTGTGTGTTATTTCTTAATACGAGAAGTTGAATATGATATTTCAATTTAGTAAGTACTCAACATGGCCTGGGATAACAGCAAAGATTAAAATATCATGGAACGAACATTCAAGAATATAATATAAAATGAATGAAAAGTGAATATTTGTCACAAAACAAAAATTAATTATATTACCTAATAAAGATATAAATTAAAAATAAGCAAAAATTTAGGGCAAGCATTTCTGGTCTCCAACTTATGTTATCACGCGAGCAGAGAAATGTATTTTTAAGGTGTGACTCCGTATTAGCAAAGTAAATATTGCGAGCAAAATGCGGCCTCAACTCCTGAAGAAAATACTGATGGCCAAAGATCCTGAGCCTGTCAATTATGTGATCTGTTACATAATGGTTAAAAATAAATGAACAAGAAAGTTAAAACCCATTAATTGGGTTTTTGAGAAGTTTAGGCCTTTCATTAAGTTTTGGCAGGTCAGACGACTTATCTACTAGGACTTGACCATCATCTTGATTGTCCGAAAACAGCTCAGCGTCATCTACAAAAGTTATGAGGGAGACATATATACTTAATTAAGGTTAATGACAATTTATTCAATGTAGGACCCAAAGTAGAGATTGCCGATAAATGATACAATGGCCCATTCCTAATTCCAAGGTCGTTCCTCATTTCATTGTCTTTGATCTTTTAATGCTCACCACTTTTCTAGCGGTGCATTACTCTTTATATTTTTAATTTTTTGTTCATTGACAAAGAGTTGTAACACTTTTTCTGTATTCTTTATAGTTCATGTGCGTGATACCTGTTACAGACAAAAATAATTTCTTTACGAATCTTCCCCCGTGACTGACGCAAATAAATTTATTGGAACGTGATCACTTTGAAATGGGTTTTTCTGATTTTTGGGGTCATATCCCTCGACTTGGAAAAAAAAGAATTAATGAAACATCGAAATGCAATTAAAATGGTCCAATAACGCACGCTATTAATCAGTATTTTCAGAACAACAAATAGTGATAACCTTAATTAATTGTAGAAGATCCAATCATCATCCGCAGTTAAATTTTACTGCTTTGTTTGAATCAGTGCCGAAACAAAGTCGTTTATGGGCCTTCACGAATATGATTTTTCAATGAATCATTAGATAAAAAATAACGGCAGAAACTTCCAACATTATCGATCTGTGAGTGATGTTTAGTACACAACGATCTAGATTTTCTGATACTTCCGGTTCTTTACAAAAGCAAGTCTGAAAAGTGTTACTTCACATGTCACCTCATCTGTGTCATTTTTTCTATTATTTATTCATAATTTGGTGGATTGTCAAAGCAAGAATTTTTTTCAGGTTAAGTTGTTAAAGACCAAGATTTATTTAGATTAAACTTCAATGAGGTCGTTTTTCAAGATAAATGGTATTTTTTAGTTCATCAAAGTTTTCCATTTTGCTGTTTGTTGTTAAGTATTTGATTTCGTTTATTTTATTAGCTAAGTAATGATATCATGGATCGAAATAATTAAGTTACGATGATCTCGGAAATGGGGAAGTTGTAAAGCATTCCGGAAAAATATCGTTTTAAACGAGTACCGAATAATCACAGATAATCCGTAGCTGTAAAACATATTTTGGGAAAATACCGTCGGTTTTACACTTGCATTGTAAATTAATGTCAAAACAATACAATAGTTATCTCTTGTTGACACTATTTTTAAAGCTTTAGTTTTGAATGGGTGCGGCAAATCCAATGTGCGCAATTGAGTCCCTAGGATCTATTGCGCCTTTGGTGAGAAGTGTACCCTAATGGTAAATTTCGTAAATTGACTCTGACATAAGTTTAACATATCTTTCAAAAATAGTGAGTGAATGGAAAATTGGGAAAATGCAAGAGATGGGGAAATGTTCTATGTACTCCTGCATAACCCAAACCATAACCCAAAAGTACATTTTGTCATGTCATATCATATAATGGCGGCAAATTCGAAGAAAATACATGAAAGTCAGGTTAGATGAAAAAATATAAAAAAAAATGTTGACATTTTAGAGATCCACTGACTGACTTTTTAGAAGAACAATAATTTCCTCCTACAATTTCAACAACATGTAAAACGAACTGACATTTCTGCTCTGCGGCAACAAACGTTTGTATTATGCTAAACAAATAAATCGTAAGAAATTTCAATGTTTAATTCAAAACTGGAACATCTTGTAGGTAAAACAAGTGAAAACACTCTTTTTCATTTTAATTGAAAATAAATATTTCTTAGTCCACCTCTGATAATTTAATTTTGGTAGTTTTAGGGCTTGATGCCTGTTGCAATCTTAATACACAAGTTTTATCCAATTTCACCGACACTGTATCTGTATTAGTTTAAAAGTTTACCACGAAATCAAAATGATAAAGTGGCTGCTATGTATAAATTGTCAATTAAAAAATCCTGCAATTAAGTAGACTTGCGTTTTGGAAAGCCCTTATAAATATCTGAAACATATGAATCCAGCAATACACAATTTAGATTTGCGGAATCACGAAAATTTTCCAGGAAATTCAATATAACCCCAGCGCAATTACAGTTAAACATTAGTACGGGTTTCTTTGTAACGAATATAAATTACCTTATCTACACACGATAATTGGTTTTTGATATTACTTTAATGCGAATTTAATTTTCACGAGGCAGTCGGTCCTCGTCATTGACTTTGAAATGACAATATAACCAATCGGTAACGTTTAATGTGGGGGCTCGAAATCGAAGATGGGTTGCCCAGTGTCGAAAAATGTTTCGCGGTCGCTTCAGAGGAAAAACGACGAAGATGATTGCAACTACAATGTTGAATACGACGAAGAAGGTGAACACGTGAGCAAATACGACAGGAACATTATAGATCACATACGGAAAGACTTGCGCGACAACCCGGAACTGTTTGTTTTAAACAACGTGTTGATGTCTACATTGTTTTTGGATAATTTTCAAACGTAAGTATCAAAAAACTGCGCAATTTTTGGAATTAGTCCATGCGGGTGAATTAAACAGAAACGGGATTTTCTTCAGAAAATACTAGTTCTCATAGACAAGCATCATTAAGGCGGGAAACTTTTTTATTCTTAGTTTTATGAAAAAAGTTCTCCATGGTCTAAAACTTGAATTAGAACCATCAGATATAAAGATTATTGAGCCGTATCCAAGGTTTCTCAAGAAATATGAAGTTACCTGGATCTTTAAAAACATCGACTTTTTGTACTAAGAAAAGTTGTCAATAATTGATACTCTTGTCGAAGATATCCAGATATAAGACAATAATTTCTGAACATTTAACGATTCGTTCCTCGAAATTCCCTTATATATCTGCAGTTATTTCCTGACATGGTTATGATCAATGTTTTGCAACTGATGAATATTGTTACAATATAGATCTCAGTTAGCAAAGCTACCATATATAGAATTCTTTAAAAAATATCTGATGGATAATGTTGAATATCTGACAATATATAATTTAATAATTTTATGGTTATGGTATGGTCGTGGTTGTAATTTTATAAAGAAAAACTTTTTTTTATATAAATCTAAACACTTTATTATATTGATTTAATTGGACACGCTGCATATTGAAGAACAATACTAGAAAGTTCATAGGCTGGCCAAATTTGAAGTTTCTAGTTATACATTTTTTAGATTTTGTTTTCGTTAGTTTTTAGATTTAGTTTCAATAACCCCAAGGTTCAATTACAATTTTTGAACTGAAACAATACTAACAAAACATATTTAGTGTGTGTTATTACCATTTTTCTTACTGTATTACCATAAGCTGTTGTTACTATTGTTATTTGATTATTCCTTTCGATTTTTTATATGAATTTCAGATTATTTCGTTTTTTAATAAATTTATTTTTCTTAAATGAAACTCACTCGGTAGAGAGTTTAGAGTGTTTTCAAGAAATCCATGGTTTAAAGGTTACCGACAGGAAAGCAGCGAGCATATTTGTTGCGTCTACCCTAATTGTGTCTTGTGTCGTTAAATGTTCATTTTGAGGTATGATTTAGAATTATTTAATAATTTCTAGTATTTATATTATTTTTAGGGTTAAATCATTCATCAAACTTTTTAAAGTTCTAAACTTTACTTATTATTAATTCATTTTTGTTAGGTCCGTAAATAATTGCGTTGGTATTTGAAATACTTCAATGATCAATAAACACCAAATAAACGACAGCCGTCCATCAAATGGAAAATGCAGGGTTAGTAAAAAGTACCGGAACGCTTAAATATCTCGAAAACTGTCAATGCTGGCACGATAAAATTCGATACCCGGGGGTTTTTGAACATGCAGAATTCAAAATCGCTAACGGCAATGTTGGCAGATCTACCACTTTTACACAACACGTCATAATTTAGTCATCCCTTATTTATTTTGGTTGCAGTAAGGTGTGCATGTCGAATTTAGTAGGGTTACATAATTTCAAAAAAATTATTAACTATTGAGCTACAGCTTTTTTAGTAAAAAGTACCGGAACGCTTAAATATCTCGAAAACTGCCAAAACCGGAACGATAAAATTCAATACCTGTTGGTTTTTGAACAAGAATTCAAAAATGCGACGACAATGTTGGCAGATTTCGCGTTGATATTTATAGTTCTGGTAACCTTTCACTGACAGACTTCTAAAATTTCCTATGTTTAAAAACCTCCAAAATTCTGAGATGTTAAGATTTTTTTTTATCTAGAGAGGTCAATCTGATAACACTGCTGTTAATATTTTTGATTTTTCTGTGTCCAACACTCCCAGGTATCGAATTTTGTCGTTCCAGCTTTGGCAGCATTAAAATAACAAAATTATGTCCTGTAACACAAAAGTGGTAAATCTGACATTTCTGTTGACATTTTTGAATTCTATACCTTGAAAAATACCCCGGAATTGAATTTTATGGTTCCAATTTTGGAAGTTTTGGAGATATTTAAGCGTTCAGATACTTTTTACTAACCCTGTATATTTAAACCAGTCCAATAATAATGTTTTTTTTTAATAATATGCTTGTCAAAATGTTTTCAAAATAATTAAAGCTTTGATTACTTACATAGCATATAGCGTGCCATGCACCAACCCAACAAAAATATTTTTTCTAATTGCAATTTATCATAATCTGCCATGGTGTCAAAATGATATATAAAGAAAAGTATTTCTGATACCAGTAATTGTGCAATGGGGCATCCAGGAAAGTTCCCCAGGCGTGTTTAAGTAATCGTTTAGTGTTGAGATTGCTCTGGAGGCTCAGTTTAAAAGACAAAAATAAATAATGCGAAGAAACTCACTCGTCCTTAAAAAATGAGATTTTCTGCAAGTAATTCATGTTACTACGCATAATATCTAGCAAGTTTGTAATATTATTGATTATTTTTGACATTCCTTTATTTTCTATTGCTTACTGTTTTGACGCAACATTTTTTAATTAGACTCTCAGGATAAGGATAGAGATTCTATTTAAAAAATTCGAAAATTAAACTCGGGTTCAAATGTCAAGCAAAATGAAATTAAAAGTATAAATTTAATTAGACATATAATTAATAATTGAACAATAAGTCCGAAAAAATTACGTTTATATGAACTGGGACAAAACAAAAATGTGTGAATATTTAAAATAAAAAATCCCCCTTCAATAATACCAAACTGGTCCACTTGAAACGAATCACGGCTATCTAGATTTGATAATAATGCTACTATTGATATGCCGTAGCAAGGAACACCAGCTAATGTCGCCCATTTTGCGTTTGATATTTACGACTTGCGCCCTGTTTCTCAGATAAAAATCTTAATTAAAACTTAATTAATCCCTGCAAACATGACACGATAAATACTTACACCGTGCAATAATTAAACTGAAATGATATTATCTGTTAAAATTGAGAGCCTCCGCATTGTGTTTCAAATAGGTAAAGTACAATGTGGCATATAATTGAGTATACGTGCTATAGAAAATCTAATATTGCAATTAATAAATAAATAAATTATATGGGCTTATTCTAATTCTTTTGAGTTTAGTTTGCATAAAATTAAGTAAAGGCAAAGCAAGCAAAATCGGCCATACTTTGTAATGAGATATAAAAAGGATAAGCGACAATTCAATAAACAAATTGGAGATAAAATGGATTTAACTAACTTTAACTAACCAAAACTTTGAATCTAAGTATTAGTGCTATAAAATATTAAATTATTATTTTATAAATAACAATATTTGTGCGATTTTTAATTTTCCTGTTAGAAGAGATTGGTTTGGATGTTGATAACGTCATTCATAAAGCTACTCGAAAATTATTCCGTACTTCTCTCTTATTGCTATCTTTCTCTAGTATTCTCTTTTATTTTACATTTATTAAATGCTCAAATTTAATTCGCTTTCAAATGGGTTTCTCTTTCTGGAATTAATCTCCACTACTTGTTTGCAAATTACCATAGAAATTACTTCAAAAGATTGATAACATTTTTGTGTGACCAAATTCTAATATTTTTGACCGCTCGCGTTCACTGCATCACGCGAATTTCATGCGATATTACATTGCATGAGAGAGATAGTGCGTAGTGTGTATACCCTAAAGATTGTCGTTTGAGTGACAGTATCGGATTTTTTTATCGTCCATTATTGTTCGTATCGTACTCAAATCCTTAGCTGTCGAAATAACAATCAACAGCCCGTTATTTGTTGTTTTTGTACAATTTAGGATCTATATGCGAATCGTAATGAGCGAAATTCAGAGCTTCATTTAATATTAGAGAGGGGCACGAAAAACGCCCGAAATATTTGTAATTGTTTGTTTAAAATATATAACTGTAGACTATTTTCCTTGTGGTGGCACAGTCGGTACCTTGGTAGTAATTTTTTTCACGGAACTAAACGTTTTCATCATCTATACATACATGGATTCATCCTATACCACACGGAAAATATAAGATTTACAAAAGTTTGTAAAAAGTATCAAGGTTGATTTTTTTTATTGGAACTCCCTGTATATTTCTCAGCAACTTTGCACTTTTCTGTCAAAAGAAGGATATCCGTCTCACTAAGATTTATACCCACACCCTAATGTTTATTAAATTATTTATGTTTTGTCAATATGTAACTTAAATTTATTTTTTTGAATAATTAAGAGGTACTTAAGTTATGCAAGCCAAATGAATTATAAAAAAACTTCCCAACTTACTGATAATAATCTAATAAATAATTTCTGTGGCTAATACGTCATTAATATACTCATTAATTAATTACTCATCGAATGACCTATAGCATGACCTATAGACCCTTCGCGTTTTCTCAGGACAAACGAAATTATGGCATTCCCCGCCATTTGGTGTTTTTATTGCACGTGAAATTCGAAAAGTTGACTAATCTATAACGACAATTAAGTAATCAAAAGTAACTAAAAAAAACTGAAGAAAATCCTGTATTTTGATGCCATTCTCCAATGGTCAAAATGGCATCTCTACGCTTTTGGGTAAATCTTGATTATATTAAGCAACACCACAATTTCAAAAAAATTCTACTAAAGCAAAATTAGCTAAAAATAACAGCCTACAGTATACGAGCAACAACATACCAACTTGTGACTGCAAAAGTTTAGCAGCTAAGATTTTGATCCTTTCGTATAGCCTCTAAAAGTCTTTAATGTGATATAAACATCAGAATAATTTTAGGCAAAGAAATATAACTAAAATCTTCCTGGAAAAATTGAACTTGAATAACTTTTTGCAAATACGTGTTTTAGGCAAGAAAAATAAGGATCAGTTGGACACTTGAATAGGTATTCCCAATTCTTTTTATATTATTTTAACGAACAATTCTTCTGTCGACACCTGCATCTGAAGATACATGCATAAAGGAAGACTAATTGTTTTCAGCGAAATCCGAGAGGTCATTCAGAAGCGTCACCTAAATGGAGAAAGTACTATCGAACCCGATATTTTACTCGAAAAGGCCAACAAAAACGTAATTTACCGCCCTCTGCATGGTCCCAAAAAGGATGCACCAGAACCGTTAGTTACGAAGAGGATCTATTTTCCCTTAAATGATTCGATCGAAGTGTATCAATCCATCGATGTACCGGATCAACTGGGAAGACGAACGAAATGTCAAGTCAAAATCGAAGACTCGCGCAGAAGAGGTGAGAATAACAGCGACCTCCAATTTGACTTTTTATTTAACAGCCTCGTACTGCTTTCGTTCAGGTAAATAATTTATTAACACCAATTGAAATTTTTTGCTTGCCTAAGCTTTTTTTGTGAAATATTTAAATTCCATTCATCTTCGAAGTTGAAAAGTACTAAGAGCTCTAAAGTGATGGTATATTTCATCTGCATTTGCTGAAAATTTCAAGCGTCGTTATTTCCTTTATTAAGTGAAGTAATGAATTTAATATTAAGCAAATAAGTTTGGCAGATTATTAGAAGAGTTTTATAATGCCAGACGACATATTGCAAGAATAGTACTGAATTATTTAAGTAACCCAATACAACATTTATGGGATCAAATGGATGATGTACAAAACATTATCAGGAGAATAAGGACTATCATCGATAAGGCAAAAATTAAACTTCTGGTTCAAACCTATTAGATAATTTAGTGACCCTAGTGCACTTCAGGCAGCTATGATATTTTCGTAAGGAGAGGGAATGATTTTGGCTCATTCCTCTAAATTTCATCCACTACCTGCACTTTACGCCATTTTCTTTCTAAACAACGATCTGCACACACCTAACTCATTTTCTAAGATTATTCAACGAGACCTAGATCTAAATAATGCCATAAAAATGCACAAATCTAAACTGAAACCTGTCGACTTAACGAACTGTCAGCGATAATGCTGGTTGTTGAACACCGCTAGGTGTTATTGGTTGTAAGCGAGATTTCATATGATTGCATGTGCATATTAAATGGTCTACCTTAATAGTTTTTTCATCATCGCTTCCAAAAAATTGCTATATTATCGGCGCAGGAAGTGCCTCTATACATCTAGTAGCTACATGAGTTCGAAGTATGAGTTATCGATGTTAATTGGTCACAAGGAGTAGCGGAGGAAACACCTGATATGGGCTCTTTTTATTTCGATTAATAAGCTAGTGAATATAAGAACAAAATGATGAAAAAGCGCTGCACTGACTTAGACAGACACCTAACAGCGTTGAAGCGAATTGCCATAGAATGTGACAAATATTGAGCAGAAAAGTGCAGTTCGCCAAAAAATTAAGTTTGAAATTGACCTGAATTTTAGTGATGCGTTAATTTTGATACGTTTTCTGTGATCTCATTTTTATGAATAATCCCAACAATGGTATAAGTAGTGCTGAGATTGGTCAAACCATCACGGATAATTGCCTTAATTGACTAGTCAAATTAGATCAAAATTTAATAATAATAAGCATTTTATAATAAATTATTATGCATTTGTCATGTCCAATTTACCTATCACCCTCTTCAGGGATTACCCGAATACGATACTTACCAATTCGGGGGGTCAGCTGACCAGTCAATGCAGAGAAAAAAAATTGACCGGTCAATTCCACAAACCTAGGCATAAGATATGCTTCATGTTTTGAATGTAAAGTAATTATACCTATTTAAACTAAAACATAGTTCTTGTCTATTTGAACTAATAAAAAAATAACAATATTATTTATTATTATTTTATTTCTGTGCCGCGTACTATGAATTTTCACAAATACAGCAGTATCCACCAAATCAAAGTTATGGTCAGTTTTTTGTCCATTAATTATCTCTCCCTCACCTCCTTCACAGAATGTTCGGACAGTAAACTTCCTGTACACGTAGGTCCTTCAATTATTGAAGGATTCCTCTCAGATTACAGTTATTTGTATTAATCGATATCTGTATCAAAAATACGTTAAGTGAAACAATGCATTTTATCTGTCCTAATCAACTTTAATTTAGAAATTCGTCGAATCTCGTTGTCTGTCGAAAAAACATTATCGAATGATTTAAATGCCAGTCGCATTTTAAGTGGCAAAAAGGAAACTCACAAATTCTACTGGCAAATACGAAAAATGCAAATTAAAACAGGAATATAAGAACCCAGTCATTCGCTTACCCATCACTATGGAAAAATAATATCGACTTCAATTCAGAATACGCGATGAATTTACTCAAATTTCTATTATCTATTAACCATTAAACACGAAATGAAATGTCATTTTTTTCTCTTTCAGGCTACGTTAAACTACGTGAACTGACGTCATCGATTCCACCGGATAACAATTCTCAGATTGAATATCTATCAATACCGTCATCAAGTACGAGCGGAACAAGCGATACCGACACAGATAATACATCCGGATATTCATCGGTTACAGACCTGAGGATTCCCAAACCAATCCAAGACGATAACGGAAACGTTGACAATCAATCGTTAAACGACTGTTTCGTCTACAGAAAAGTGAAGAAAGCGGATATAGATCTCGACATGGAAGATTTGGATGCCGAGGAACTTACCGACGAGGACGTGTACGACGTTGTATCGTATCTAACTTCGAGAGGGTTTATGAAATATTTTCAAAGCACCCTTTTCATCAATTCTACGGAAAGAGCCTTATGTTTCGACAATTGCCAAGTTACGGACGCCAAATCGATACCAGGAAAAATTTTCTGCAACTTGACCGATAACGAGGAAACATACCCCTGCGAGATTATGCCGTGTTTAACTATTTCGTGGCCCGAAGGTCAGACATTGGATTTTCTTTGGCGAGAAAATACGGAAAGAAAATCGCTTTGGCCGACGGAGAAAATGCTGAACGAAATGAGATGCTTAAACTGCGCTCTGGTTCCGAAAAGCTACGCCAGGAAACGCGGCTTCTACCCGGACGCCGATCTGGAATGGGAAATTCATTTTCCGTTGGCCGAACGATATTTAGATTCGTACATGTCAATGCCGCAGCTCAAATGTTTATTGGTTCTAATGACGTTGCACAAGGAATATATAGAACCTATCACGAAACAACAAGGTCTCCTGCCGGAACATCTGAAGACGCACATGTACTGGCAATGTGAGAAAAACTACAACGAATGGCCCGAACACAGGCTAGGAGTTAAACTATTGAATATAATTCAGAGTTTGTCCAACGCTCTACATAAACGGACTTTTCCAGATTATTTCGTGAAGAAGAAGAATTTGTTCCAAAACATCCAGCGGAAGTATTTGGAACCTGCAAACGAAGCGTTCCACGCAATTATTCAGTCACCGCTCACGTTTGTGATTAGAGCGTTGAGAAATTTGAGAAACAAGAGTGGCAAGTTTTATCCCCCACTTGATTACAAAGAACTCATACGGATATTGACGTCTTCGGCTTGGGACTTAGAGAACGGGACAGGAGAACTCGACACCGTATCTGTCCAGAAAAAGCCCAGGTTTACCGATGCGGAAAAACAATTACAATACGTCAAAGAAATGCAACGCAAGAGGAAGATTTTGGAAAAACGGAAGGCAAAAGAAGCCGGCAAGCAAAACATTACGAATCTCAAATACCATTACAGTTTTGCCGCCAGGAGGGAATCTCACGATAGCATCGATGACGACGTAAGTATTAGTAATTGGAGAACTAACCAATATACAAAAAAAAATAGCGATTCTCATTAGAATAAAATATTCTTAAACAACATGACTAAATATTACTGTGTTGAGCCTCCAACCTATTTTGTATGGAAATTTAACATAATTTCAACAATAAGAATAAAAATAAAAGTATTGATGATCTAGCAACATCCTAATATTTTAAACAAAAATTATACAATAGAAATGCAAAAAAAATTGATAAAGATCAGTTGAAAACTTGACAAAAATGGTCTCTGTATTAATTCTCAAGAATTTGCACCATCACATCCGTACAGACTAAGATTATAATTGAAAAAAACAGTCATGCAAACCAAGAACTGCTTTAAGTTTTCCTTTTGGAACAATCTGAAAAAAATTGTAAATTTTTGATACCTGATGCTTTACCACCACTCTTCTGCTAACATATGATCGCTGTTGATTCTTGTAGTTACCTAAATAGCTCAATAACTGCATTTAATTATTTTGTAAGGACATCTGCCTTTGGAAAATCAGCAATTTAAAAGGGTCCAGTTATATGTTTCTTAAAATAACTTTCTTTATGATTTAGATTATGATGTGAGCCTTGTAACTTCTCAGAGCTACTACAGAATTTTTTATTCCTTTGTAATACTAATTGATGATGTAACTGATGATTAAATATTTTTGCGAAATGATTTTGCCTACTCAGTACGTTCATAAAGGTATTTTCGGATCTAGTTTCATCTCCCTAAGTTTCTAGATATATGTACAGACTAGCCAGGTAAGAATGCAAAGTAATGTATCTCTACAGTTCTCCACATCCTATTTATGTAAGACAGTTAGGGTGAAGCAATAAAAAGTGTTTACAGCCTTTGCCTTGATCCAGCCGATAGAAGACGAATCCAATCAAATCTATAATCGATTCAAGTTGCATATGGCGTCTTTTTATTTCAAAGTCTTTAAAAATAAGTCTCCTCGCTATCTGTTTAATAAAATTTCCTTAATAGGGGATTGTAGAAGAAGTATTTAAAAGGCCATATTCTTACACTTCACTTTCACTAGTTGACTCTCTGGTGGTGCCTACATGCATTTAGAGCTACGATTAAATTTAGTGTTCTCAAACGTCAATTAGCTAATATATTCTTTGCTATCTGGAACAATGATTTTTCTTTTCTTTTAAATGATGCTTTACCAGTATCTGAGTTTTGCCTGGATGACCGTGATTTATTTCAAGGCTTTCGCTGCATGTTTTCCTAATTTACTTACACTTATGTATATCTAGTGCTATTATTATTAAATACTTTCTCCGACGAGACCATGCTTGATAAAATCCGTTCAGTCGAATAGGTGTTACAACTGTAAATTTTAAAAAATATATGTTAAAAAGTGTTAAACCAATAATAACGAATAAAGCTCAGCTTTAAAAAGCATTTTTTGGTACATGTTTCAAATGGCGAAAATCTTTAGGAATAAAATTTTTGCCGAAGTCTTAAGAGATAGTTGAAAGCGATGTAGTAAATTGCATTCTTGTCTGGCCACCTAATGGATTTTTTCCAAGCACAATAGTTAAATGTTTATTGCAGCCTATATAACAATTCCTTTTTTTACAGTGGAAATGCGAAAAACAGTTCGACATTCACAAAAAGATGGCTCTGCTAAAATTGTTCATTACCAACTACATAAACCTCGCGAAAACGTGCACCAGGATAAGCACGGTCAGACAAAGCATGTTTTACCTGAAACAGGCTTGGTATTTAACGAAAATATTCGAAGAGGAGTGCGCCATCTTCAGGGACGAAGTTCAAGAGTTCTACAAAAAAATTAAAAAGGAAGAAGCCAATTGTTTCGAAGAGAAACCAGTAAGCGAAGCGTTGAACTTAACTGCGCAACCCCAAATAGTGATCAATGATAGACAAACGAGTGAAAAAGACGATATAATAAATTACCATTCCTTGAACCGTTCATACAATAGTGCTGCAAGAAATTCTAGATAGCGAACATTTTGCTACCGCAATAGTACTTCATTTCGTATTAAATTGTGATTACAGCGTAAATTTTATATGTGTTAACTTATTATTTGCAATCCGCGTTCTAGTCACTTTCATTTTGTACTTACGTTCACGCCGTGCTCGTTATAGAAATCTGCGGTACCCAAGCTGGCGTACAACTTGTACCCCATCTTTCGCAGAGATCTCATGCTCGGTAGTAACTCCTTTTTGTGCTAAATGGTCGAAAACAAACGTACTAATAAACCGTTATTTTTTTTTGGTAGCTTTTTCAATACCTTGAAACTCCCAATCGACAGCAATATCGATTTTTTCGGTATGTTAAAGCCAGTACTCATTAGGCCCTTGAGGTACGCTTCGTATCGATTTTCGCCGAAACACGCCACTTCTCCGGTAGACGCCATTTCCACGCCAAGCATAAAATCGGCCCCCGCCAATCGGGAAAACGAAAACTGGGGTACTTTGACACCAACGCGTCCGCAACCGCCCAACACGTCGACAGGTTCGACCACCTCGCCCACGATCACCCTAGTGGCCATAGCGACGAAGTCGTGATCCAAAGTCTTCGAGACGAATGGAAACGACCTCGACACCCTGACGTTGCACTCGATGACTTTCAAATCGTTATCCTTGGCGATCAGTTGCATGTTGAACGGACCAGTTACTTCTAACGATGCCGCTATCGATTTGCTGATGAACGTGATCTTAGCGAGCGTTTCCTCGTTAATATCCTGAGGTGGCGTCACCAGGGTGGCATCCCCCGAATGGACGCCGGCGTTTTCTACATGTTCCGATACCGCCATGCATAAAATGACACCGTCACAGGCCACTGCGTCTACGTCAATTTCTTTGGATTCCAAGATAAACTTCGATATCACCACGGGACGCTCTTTGCTCACTTCGCTCGCCGCGCACAAGTAAGTCTTCAGGTCTTGGTTCGAGTGGACAACGTTCATCGCTGCTCCACTCAGCACGTAAGATGGCCTGACCAAACACGGGTAGCCGACTTCCTCGCAAAACTGCACGGCGGACTCCAAATTGGTCAGTTCTTTCCACCGCGGCTGCATGATGCCTATACGGTCCAACATACGCGAAAATTTAAATCTATTTTCAGCGCCGTCGATGCTATCCGGCGACGTGCCCAATATTCTAGCTTGCTGCCGATGCAAGTCCATGGCGATGTTGTTCGGCAACTGACCTCCCATGGACAATATAATACCTTCGGGCTCTTCCAAATTGTATATATCCATGACGACTTCGAAGCTTATCTCCTCGAAGTAAAGCCTGTCGGACATGTCGTAATCTGTGCTCACCGTTTCCGGGTTGTAGTTCACCATTATGGTTTTATACCCCAACCTTCTCAGTTCCCTTAGACATCCTACCGCGCACCAATCGAATTCGACTGAGCTTCCTATTCTGTAAACGCCAGAACCGATCACTATAATGTGTTCTTCGTTGAATTCCAAATCAGACGCCGAAGCGTTATACGTCAGGTAAAGGTAATTGGTGGTGGCCGGCCACTCAGCAGCCACGGTATCTATTTGTTTCACGAACGGCGTCAGACCGTATTCCTCGCGTCTCTTTCTTATAGCCAACTCGGTACTTTTCACCGCCGTCGCTATCTGTTTGTCGGAAAAGCCCAACTGTTTCGCTTTCAGTAACGCGCCGGCCACCAGGTGGTGCTGGTCGATAGCTTCGAGCTCCGTCATATAATCGACAATGTTTTTCATTTTTTGCAAAAACCAGCGATCGATTTTTGTCAGCTCGTACAGTTTTTCAATGGAATAGTTGTTCTTTAATGCGGCGGCGATTACGAACATCCGTTTATCGGTTGGCTCTTCTAGTTCGGCATCGTTCACTTCTTTCAGATATGGATCGAACCCGGAGAAGTTCTCGTCCACCATTCGCAACGCTTTCTGGAAAGCTTCTTCGAATTTGCGTCCGATGGCCATCACCTCGCCGACGCTCTTCATGGAGCTGCCGATTTTCGTACTGACCCTGGAAAACTTGTGCAAGTCCCACCTAGGAATTTTAACCACGCAGTAATCCAAGCTGGGCTCGAAACACGCTGTCGTGACGCCGGTAACGGAGTTTTTTATGTCCGGCAGAGCCACTCCTAGTGCTAACTTTGCCGCCACATAGGCCAGAGGATAACCGGTAGCTTTGCTCGCCAGAGCCGAACTCCTAGACAAACGCGCGTTTACTTCGATGATGTAATATTCTTCGGAGTAAGGATTTAACGCGTATTGAATGTTGCACTCTCCTACAACTCCAAAATGACGTATGACCTTGATGGCGGTGGCGCGCAACATATTGTACTCTTTATTGGAGAGCGTCTGACTCGGTGCGACGACGATAGATTCCCCGGTATGTATGCCTAAAGGATCGACGTTCTCCATGTTGCACACCGTTATGCAATTGTCAAACGAATCGCGAACCACTTCGTATTCCACCTCTTTCCAACCTTTTAGGGATTTGTCGATTATCAACTGACTCGAATGGGCCAAAGCCTGAACCGCTAGCGCTTTCAGTTCGTCTTTGTTGCTAGCGAAACCGGATCCCAATCCACCCAACGAGAAGGCCGCCCGGGCCATTACGGGATACCCCAGGATATCGGCAGCCCTGAGAGCTTCTTCGACAGAATGCGCGGCCACGCTTGGTGCAACTTTTTCGCCGATTTCTGCGACTCGTTCGCTAAATACTTTCCTATCCTCCGTCTCAATTATCGCTTGGATGGGCGTCCCCAAGATTTGGCAATTGTACTTGTCAAATACCCCCGCTGTTTGCAATTGCACGCCGCAATTTAACCCGGTTTGACCGCCAAATGTCAGCAAAACGCCCCCCGGTCTTTCAGATCTGATTACTTGCTCTACATATTCTGGTACCAGTGGGAGAAAATATACCTTATCGGCTAAACCTTTAGAAGTTTGGACCGTTGCGATGTTGGGGTTTATCAGTACCGTCTGGATATTTTCTTCTTTTAGCGCTTTTATTGCTTGCGAACCGGAATAATCAAATTCGCCAGCTTGGCCAATGGAAAGCCCCCCCGAACCGATAATCAGAACTTTTTTAGGAACCGTATTGAGCGGTTTCTCGACTTCGAAACTTAACTTATCGTTCAAAAGGTCTTTAACGTTTATTTTCGTCAACGGATATGACGAATATTCGCTAACGGTCTGTAGGAAGACGTCGAACAAGCATTCCAAATCTTGCGGCCCGGCCATGTGCTCCGGATGAAATTGCACGCTAAAATATGGCAACGTTTTGTGAATAATGCCCTCGTTGGTGTGATCGTTGGCGTTCGTAAACAAGGGCTCCCATTCGTCCGGCAGGCTGTTCGCGTCAACCGCGAACCCGTGGTTCTGGGAACTCATGTAGCAACGCGAAGTACCGTGATGGATGCAGGGTTGGTTGTGACCTCGATTTCCATACCTAAACGGAATTCTATTTAGTACGAATTAAAACCCGATTCAGAAATGTTTCGTGATTCCTTATGTACAATAAAATTTTAATGACATCTCTAAGCTTTAAATCGATTATACCCGTTGAACTGTCCATTGTATAGACACCAAATTCTTTAGTATAATACGACCGAAAATATAGTGCATTTATTGCTTTGGCGTTTTAAGTATTTTACAGTACCTTAACCGCTGACCTTAGCAGGCCAGCGGTAAAATCCATCCCAACAGATGTTTATTCTGCATTAAGCGGGTCTTGCCCGAGATGAACCGTAACGAATATTTATAGAAACTTGAAATTTTTATTTAAAACGTAAATCGTTCTTAAGAGTTTAATCTAAATTCATGATCCTTAGAGTAAGTAGGTATTTATGTACCTGATTCTCAAGCTCTGACTCTGCGGGGCTATTTTCACTGATGAGTTCAAATGGTAAAAGTACGTAGCTGTACTATATTTATCTTACAGTTAAGTTTCTTCTTCTTGTATTGTTGTGTTTTCTACAGAGTTCTCCGATTTGTAAACAACAGTCTTTTTTCAGACTATAGATTATATTCGCGTACGTCATAAGAATACAGACAAATATTTATTAGAATCTTACGTTTAAACATTTTTTGAAGGTTCCTGTTTTTAACAATTTTTAAAATTTGGAGACAGTAGAATGAAGCAAGTGGAGATGGTAGTCGAACCTAATGACAATTTAGCTAATAACTACCTCAGCGAATAAAGAAACGGATCCATTTGTCTTCTTATGCTAAACAAATTATTTTGAATGTTTACAATTTTATAAGAAATTCAGAAGGGGAAGTAGGAGCACCAATAAAAGCAAGTGACATGACCAAAGTTCCCAAGTCAACTGTAAAGGAAAATTTCAAATGGGACAGTCAAGAGGAAAGTGAGAGAAGATTCTGGTACTTCGCGAGTTTTTAAAGAGCAACACGCAGGTCTAATAATCTTCGACGCTTATAAAGTGAACAGTGTTTTAACGCTAGAAGACCCGCATAAAAAAGTACTATTAGTTGTTCCAAAGACTCGTTGCGTACTTTTTTGAAGAAAATGGGTTTTCTGGACGATTTTTTAAGTGACTGATACTTTATTATTATTATTATTATATTGAATATTTTGTATATTAATAAGGATACTACGTAGAAATGTATTGAAAAACTTCCACAGGCTACTGTAATGTTTTTTACAAAACTTCTGGATTCCTCGTGCGTCGGTTTTTGCTTAGTCGAAATTGCTGACGTTTCGCCAATCATCATGTTGGCTTCTTCAGAGCTTGACTGAAACTGCAAGTTCTGAAGAAGCCAACAGGATGGTCGCCGAAACGTCAGCAATTTCGACTAAGCACAAACCGACGCAGGAGGAATCCAGAAGTTTTGTAAAAAGTAATTTTTTTATGTACATGTTTTAAGAATTACTCGGCGAAAAAGATTGGAAACATACTTATATCCAGCGTGTTACTGTAGGTAGATAAATTCTTAGGACGGTCCTGGAATAGTTACGGGTAAGGGTCTGCTCGGCAGGGTGTTCTATAAAGGGCTGCGGTTTAGGAGTAATAAACAGTAGGCAAAGTTAATCGCGGGTCGGTTGTAAAAGCATATATTGCGGGAGGTATGGTTTTAGATATATCGTGGGTGTAAACATATTCAAAAATCAATAAAATAAGTTCATCCCAATTGGATTCTTGGGACTTGTTGTCGTCTTCCTCTGCGCAAATGATAAAATTGGTAAAATATCTTCAACTTTCAGTTTATAGAATTAGTATTACCTACACGTTTTTAATTTAAATCTGTTACACAAGTACAAGTGGGATAAGTGTTTTCTATTCTAATCGTTGCTTCTAATTCATGTTAAATACACTTTTGAAACCAACATGTTGAAAATTGCCATTTAATATAGACATGAGACATTTCCAAACTAATAACACTTTGCAGCGTTCTATACTTAAAATAGTGACTAAAAGTTCATCAGTTTGACAGTTTTAAGTTTGGGTATGGAATTTTTTCAGCACTATTTTGCCAAAATATGACCCGAAACCAGAATTCTGGTGAAAGAAACTAGTTAAATGTATTGAGGTAGCTGTTTGGAAAGAAAATATCCTGAGCTGCAGGTTGTTCTGTAAACTTTAGTTGCGAAAGTTATCTGAGATGCATCAGTCTGAGTGTATTGAAGGTACATACAATAACACTGCGAACGGACGTTGCTGTATGACCAGAAGCACTAGCAATATTATCACAAATCGACACTTTTAAATCAAGTAAAAGTATATTTTTATGAGTCTTCGAAGCCATTTTACTGAAGTGGCGATACGTACTTATTACTCTCTATAATAATTATACAAATTCTATTCTATTCTTTGGAACAAGGCGACTTCGAAACCCATCTTAAGGTAATATAAAATCTGGATCTTGATGATCCGAATTATTGGTTTAAGTTTATACATAATAACCAGGAGTTTGGAATAAAACCATTCCCGAAGCCAAAGAACACAGGAGTTTTTACTACTCTCCTAACTTAGCTTCTAATCTTAATCAATAATTTAAGTTTACAGCTAAATCCATTAATTTCTCTTTGTTTTCGAAAACGAGACTTTAGCTGAAATGCTTAAACTTTCAATGTGGAGAAAAGTACCAATCCTTGTGGGCTCAAAAACATACACAATAATATGAGAACCATGTAAACGCTCCTATTATATAGTTTTGGTTAGTTTTAACAGTAATTTTACGAGCAACAGCGTCAGATCAATTTTATTGCAATAAAAAAATATATTTGCTAAGCGTACTTTACAGTTTCATGATCATTTCCAACTCACTTCATTTTGTAGCTGGTGCAACCTATGGCGATCGAGAGCAATTGGTGTCCTAGGCATATCCCAAAAACTGGTTTCACCTCCTTTTCGTCTAAGACCGCTCGGATATTTTCGATAACTTCCCGGCACATTTCTGGATTACCAGGCCCGTTACTCAAAAACAGACCGTGAAATTCGTTAGGGAGTAATTTATGGTTCCAAGGCACTAAGTCGACTCTAGCACCTCTGTTCACTAGGCACCGTATTTGATTATATTTCATTCCACAATCTATTGCGCAGATTCTCGGAAAACCGTTTGGATTATAGGTGACGGGTTTCTAGAACAAGAAAATTGAAAACTTCACCAATTCGTTAAAAATATCGTAGTGCACCTTCGTCGATACTTCCGCAACTAAATTTCTCAAATTCGGATCGGCGATTTTCAACTCCTTAGGAATCGGCAAAGAGTAAATTATACGTCCGAGCATTGTACCGGACTCTCGAATTTTTTTCGTCAATTGCCTGGTGTCAATACCTTGTATTCCGGGAACATTCTGTTCGTTCATCCATTTGGAAAGGGTTTTCACGTTACGCCAATGGCTCGGGTTATCGCAATGTTCTCCGACGATGAGGCCGGCAGCCCATATTCGATTTGACTCAAAAAAACTGCAAGGAAATGGAGGCAAAATAGTCGCATTATTAAACAGTTACTTAATTGTGGAGTATATTGCATCTCAATAAACTATTTCAGAACCCCTTTTTTTGCAAAGCCTTTTAACAAATATCAACCTCAATTGAAATGCTTTAGGTCCTACTTACAATTTAAAAACAGGGCCAAAATTTTCATTTCTAAGGAATAGTATAATACTGTGCCTCATTTTTTTTTGTTAGTTTTTTTAAGAAATAGCCCCTGAGCTCAACTTTAACACATTTTTAAAGATAATTGCATAAACGGTTTTGAAGCACACTATAACAAATGATATCATAAATCAAGATAAGATTTGTTTTGATAAATCTGGCACACATGTTAGTACTTAAAACGATACAGGGTATGGTATTTATATTTATGGCATATTGACCAATTGTTAAAATCAAGATTCTGTAACTTTTACATTTACCACGACATTTATATATTACCAAATTTTATATTTTAATTATTGTTGTTCTATGCCCGATAAGTTGGTACACCCTGTAGAGAGCTTATAGAATAAGTAGCTTTTCACTTACTAAGGTAATCCATGCTCATCTTTGAGTTGATCTGGGACCCCATAGTTGCCTATGATTGGGTAGGTTAGGATCAGCAATTGCGAGTGATAACTGGGATCGGTAAGTGACTCAGGATATCCAACCATCCCAGTTTGGAAAACTGCAAAACAATACGATATAGGCATTGCGTGAGGTCCGTTTTTATTGATTTTTTATATCCAATAATATGTAAATGGCAAATATAGCAGTTATACATTTTATTGTGGGACACTAGATTCTTCAGTGCACCGAAGATCACAAAACATTAGTTTCATGCAAGACTAGCTAATTCCATATTTGACAGTCCTTCACATTTATTAATAATTAATAATCGTAAAAAGCTATTACTTATGAAATTAGTCTTCAACCTTAATGATCTGTAAGTCTGTTGTAGAAATAGCTACCTAGTTCTAGTTCTAATTGATATAAGATATTGAGATCATTGGGGTTATAAAAGACGCAAAACTGCACAGAGGCATTTGCAAGACATCACAAATATCTTTTGTAATAAGTTTCTTTACAAATATCAAGTCATTTTTGGTTTGTGGTACTCGTTAAAATAGATATGTAGACCAAAGATAATTTTAAGCGATACAGCCGTTATAAGCATATTAGTATTTTATTTATCTTAGTAACATTAATTAACAGAATTAAGATTTGTTTGTCAGTTGAGTTAACAATTTAAAAAATAGCCTATTTCAGTCTGAGATAAAAAAGAAAATATACGTTTGTGGTTTCTGTATCATCATAAGTATCATTTACATAGACCACAAGTTGCAACATGTGTGATATTGGATATAGAGTATCGCAATCCAAAGCGATCACGATTACTTGATGACTCCAATAGTTTTACCATAAAAAAAAGCTAATTGTGACTAATAAAAAACGATTTGTTCAAACATCGGAAAGGAGATTAACGATATCTTCGATTTTCAAAATCATAATTTTCATTTTTATTCGTGTCTGGCATCGACTAGACTAAACTAAAGTCGAATAAAAGTTGTTAAATTAAAGCAAAAATTAAAAAATTGAAAATTGAAATAGCTACCCATCGAAATATTGAAATTTGAAAATTTAAATTTAATTTATTAGTTTTGCGCAGGGAAAGAAATTGGCTATAAATAAACTATTTATTTATTAAACAATGTGAAAGTGACGTTATTTTACTTTCTATTTATAATATAACAATAAAAGCCTAAAAGTTGTGCTCAATATTAGTTGAATGCTTTGATTTATTTTATTTCAAATGATTGATTACTTCAAAAACAATAAATAACATGATTTTAATCGTTGTTTTTTTCAATTTAAAAATTTCCAAACATATTTCCAAATAAGAGGAAAAAAATACGATTTTCCAAAACTTATTTTTTTACCTTCTAAAGGGCATATTCAAAATGTGTTTGTGGTCTCATACAAATTAGTGCACTCTTTGAAGAAACATGTACATGTTTGCACTAAATTCGGATAAGCGCACCTTTTTTATGTGTGGGGTAGATACTCACCAACCTCTCCATCCGTTTCTTTAATTTTCCCGAAAGATTTTCCTGCGAAAACCGTACCGTCTTCCAAAATTAAATAAGAAACAGCACTTTGCTCCTCCGGGGCCATTAAAACAGTGTTAACCGATTGAGTGGGCCGATAAAAAAATATTCCTTCACGTTACAGAACTTGCGACCATATGATGGAAATCTTTTAGATTAGTTTAACGCGGCGAAATTTAAACGCGTGATTTAAAGTTTAATGACTACCGAGATTAGACGGTGTTCGAGATTGGTGAAGAACCCCCTTTTAACGGGACATCACTTGGAAGGGGCACAGCGAAACCGGTATTCTTAGTCGGCTTGTAGGTATAAATGGCAGAATAATATTTGCCAAGACGATTTAAGCGACAAATTTCTACCTAAGTAGGTAGAAACTTGAAAACTGTCCTTTGCAAAAGTCAGTACTTTATAATTATACAAAGTGAGGAAAGCTGTTGCCTTTTTTTCACTGTTCTTCTAATGTTTTTGAAGAAATTGTCCACTGTTAAATAAAATAAATATGAGTTTCGTAGATACAGTGATTTTAATTTTCTTATACACTAAATATTAATAAAAAACTACTACTAGTTTTGGTTAGTTAACGAAAACTACAAGTTTTTATTAACCCTTAATTATTCCTAGGCAGAAATGATAATTTCGATTCTGAAAATTATATAAGACTGTTTCTTTCATAGGTACATAGAAACATTGAGACAATTAATAATCTCTAAGAAATATGACATAACATATTTCTTGCTGTACGAACAGAAATTTGCCAATATTCTAGTAAAGCACACAATTAATTCTCCAATATTGGATCCAACTATTGTTAAAATTGGCGAGCTTTTTTATTATTATTTTATTTTATACGTTTATTGATCAACAGTACAACGTAGCAAATACAGACAAAAAAATGCTACAATCACATCCCAAACAACACAAAGACCCATTAAACCATGGAAAACAACAAAAGGTTTAGACTGTCGGACTAAACTAAGATTAAAATTACTGTTTCCATATAGAAGTTGAAATATTGGACCATTTCATGACGCTTTAACTCTGATAACCGATTTGTGAATACATAACCTCCTGTAACCATCTGAAAAATTCACGACTACATCTCAGCTATGAATTCTGTACAAATCAAAGTTAAAAAAAATCAAGTTTTGCACTTAATATTCATTAATTTCGCCGTTAATTTAATTAATTTAATTTATTTAATTATCGACGAATCGTCGGAAGAACAACACTGGGAGATTAATAATCATAAATTATAAAGTCACCGTGTACAGCATAGTGTCTTATATTCAATATATAGTATATATAACCAATATATATTATATATTACCAATATATAATATATACTAGTATAAAATTTATTTAAAATTTTATTTGGATTGGATAAGATGAAGAATTTAATTAAATTAGAAACGCTACAATGTGTTCAAAGTTGGACAATGACCGTACTTGGTTGGGCTCAATTCACCATCTTTTATTTACCAAATATTTTTTATAAAAACAGGACGTTTAAAAGTGCTTGTGAAACCGGTACATGGCGCCCAATAGTTCAAACTACCCAATTATAAATCAATTTCAACGTTTTCAACGCAGTATCATTAGTCAAATTCGAATTTGGCGAGCGCGAAATGATTAATAAAGGCGAACATAACCTCCCCAAACATGCCGACACACATGTGCATGAATATTACCGATTTCTCCATCAGTTTGCTTGATTGTGCCGAATGATTCGCCAGCGAGGATTGTTCCATCTTCTATAGCCAAAAAACAGGATACTTTCCGGTTTTCTGCGGCCATGTCAATCGTTTGTTGTTGAAACTACGCGAGAACCGAACGTTTGTAGCGGCCCAATTAATATAACAACAGTACATCAACCCAAACACCGAGTTAAATAGTTTATTTGTTGGTTGAAATTATAACCTCCAAATTGAAAATGGAATTTTGTTGCATACACGTAGGATACGGAAAATTTAATTTAAAATATTCGGAAAGAATATTTTAATTACGAGGGATAACGATTTATCCTTCTTCGAATAATTCATGCAAATTATGTATCAATGGATAATTGATTTTTTGTTTTATTCCTGTGAACTGTAGAAGTTATATCTTATGAATTTTTTATCAACAAAAATGTTCGTAAATTATTTTCGCTTCTTGAAGTTGAATTTTAGAAATTAGAAAGAAGCCCAGCTTACAAAAATAGAAGTGTGGTAGTGGTAAAAATATTTACCAATAATTCATTCCCTACTCGTCTTGGGCATTCGCCATTTTATTATTTGAGAATAAAATCCTGTCGCTACAATTTAAAAATTTCGTTTTGTGAAAAACGCGAAAGACGTTTTTTTTTTTATTTTCAGTAAGCACGGCACAAGATATTTCAATTTTCCAATTATATATATTATTATAAATGTACTTACATTGCAATGTTTATAAAAGTTTGATATCGAAGGCACAGGCCAATGTCAAAAGAAATGTGTTGAGGAGAATTGGGAAGTTATAATTCTAGATTTTTTACCTAAATCTCTAAGTTATTGAATTTATTACTAAGGCTGTGTTTGTAGCTACTCCCAATCAATTAATTTGAAAATTAGTATATTATGCAACAAGTACGGTAAACGCCATTTGACTCACGAGTTTATTTGACACCAGCGGAGCGAGTGTTTTTAATAAATGAGTGACCTAAAAAGTTTACCGAACGTGTACCATACTATACTTTTTCTACGACCTTTAGGTTTTGGGTACATTTTCGCAAAACAACGCGAATACTCTGAGGTAACCGTCAGAATTGACAAACGTCAAAATTCAAGGCGTGGGAAATGAAACTGATGTAGTAAAGTGACAAACTTTACTTATAGATTTTCAATACGGGATATAAAGGGTGATTCATGATGAGTGTTCTATTTAGAAGATCTGGAGAACTAAACAGGTTTTTCTATTTATTTTGATATTTAACCACAATGCGCAATCGGCAGCGTTACCAATTCAAGTCGAATTAAGCGAAAACATGGAGAATTCAATGTTTTTAACATTTCCTATGCCTATCTACTTCTTATACTTCGAAAAAAAAATTAATTTTATTTTATTTTGAGAACTACACCGTGGCTTTCATGGTAAGCTGTACCAAAAATTTTTATTTCTTAAAAAAAATAGTCAAAATAAAAATCAATTTTTTTATTTAATTATACGCCGATCTTGTGGACGGAAAGTGTTATTTTACCACTTCAGATTCGTTTCCTACAGATCCGAGCTCCTTTGGACATTTCCGATATATTACCGGACGGCTTGGAGAGCAATCGCTCTGAATTTCATGTCATGTCATGTCAGTGAATGTATTCTTGTTGTTTTGCAAAAATGTACTCAAAAACTAACCCTCGTAAAAAAAGTATAGTATGTCACACGTTCGGTAAACTTTTAACTCACTCGTTTATTAAACGCTTGCTCCGCTCGTGTCAAATAAACTCGTAAGTCAAATGCCGTTTACCGCAGTTGTTGCATAATATACTATTTTCTAATCCCGTCTGTAAAATACCTAATTACCTACCGATCTAACGTGCGGGAAGCGTCACTTTACCACGTCAGTTTTATTACCCACGGTTCCGAGCCATTTCGGACATTTTCGAGATTTTACCGCACTGGTTTGGGAGCGATCGGATGATTTCGAAGACATTTCCCACTCCTTGAACTTGACGTTTGTCAATTCTGACGGTCATATCAGTGAATGTATTCGTGTTGTTTTGCGAAAGTGTACCCAAAAACTAGCGGTCGTAGAAAAAGTATACTATGCAACACGTTCTTCAAACCTTTTTAAGTCACTCGTTTATTAAACACTCGCTTCGCTCGTGTCAAATAAACTCGTGACTCAAATGGCGTTTACCCCACTTGTAATATGCTATTACCAAAGGTGTTGCATACTATACTTTTTCTACGACCGTCAGTGTTTGAGTAAATTTTCGTAAAACAAGACGAATGCATTCACTGACATGAGCGTGAAAATTGACAATCAAAATTCAAGCGGTGCGATAATATCTTCGAAAACATCCAATTGATCCTAACCCTGTGCGGTAATATCTCGGAAATATCCAAAGTTGCTCGAATCCATGGGAAACGAAGCTGACGTGGTAAATTTCACTTTACTTACCGACTAGTCCACTAGGTTTTAATTGTAGCTTATATCACGTAGTATTTAAATTGTCTGATATAATGCATAACATATTTCTGTGTATTAGTTTTTCGGTATATTTTTGCAAAACAACACGAAGACATGACCGTCACAATTGACGAACGTCAAAATTCAAACCATGCGGTTAAATCTCCGAAAACATCCTATTGCTCCAAAACTCGTGCGGTAAAATCCCGGAAATGTCCGAAGTGGCTCGGATCCGTGGGAAACGAAACTTACGTGGAAAAGTGACGCTTCCCGCACCTTAGATCGCTATGTCATTAGGCATTTTACAGACGGGAGTAGAAAATAGTATATTATGCGACAAGTGCGGTAAGCGGCATGTGACCTACGAGTTTATTTGACACGAGCGGAGCGAGTTTTTAATAAACGAGTGAGTTAAAAAATTTACCGAACGTGTTGCATACTATACTTTTTTGTACGACCGTTAGTCTTTGGGTACATTTTCGCCAAACAACACGAATACATTCACAGACAGCCGTCAGAATTGACAAACGTCGAATTTAATGCTTGGGAAATATCTCCGAAATCATTCGATTGCTCCTAAACCCGTGCGGTAAAATCCCGGAAATGTCCGAAGTGGCTCGGATCTGTGGGAAATAAAACTGACGCGGTAAAGTGACGCAGAATCTTCATAAACTGAAGAAACAAAGAAAAAACCATTCTCGTTTCACAATATTTAATATTTTGCTATATCTACGGCTCATATAGATATTATTACTTATGAACAATAAAAAACATTTTTTTACAAGTTTTCCACTAACATTTTTCGTTTGAATATGAAATGTGTTTTGGGGATGCTTTTTGTTTTTTTGTTTAGACAAAATACGACATTATTGGCAATCAAGCAAACGCAACACTCTTTTTGGGAGCGTTCCTGTTAGTAAAACTACTCTGTTTCGGTTTCAAATTCGTCATTTTTACTGGCGGAGGTCCGTTTGCGAAAGACGTCTGCAGCTTGTGCAGACGAACCGAGTTTTTGCCGATTTGCTGAGTAATTTCGTTTCTTAACGGCACAGAAGGTTTCTCGTGGTCGCTGCTTTGAGACGCGGTTCGGATCGCCTTCCTCTTGATCCGTTCCTCTTCTTCGAATATGATCGCTTTGTATTCGCGAGCTTCTTCGATGAACGCCCCAGCAGTTTCTTCTAGCAAAACCGTAAGGTAAGACGCTTGTTTCAGATAGAATTCTGCCTGTTCGCCCACCGATACCTTCTTGGCTACTTTGGCGATTTCGATAAAGTTGCGCAAGAACAACACCAAAATCGCTTTCACTTTGGAGTTGTCGAACGTTTTGTCTATTTTTACCTGCAAAAAGGTCGTGGATAAAAATAAACGCGATATGTAATAAAAATCCCACAATTCTACTTGATCGAACGGAAACCAGATGCATTACTTAGATAAGATATTTAGGTGTCATGCCAATAAGTACAATTTGTTGATTTGATTGACATTAAATCAATAAAGAATTTGAATAATATGCAAGTACAGGCAGCTTGGCAAAGGATGTGCAGAATATAAAGCATTTGGATATTTTTGGAAGTAATTCTCATTGTGTTGTATATTATTTATTTACACTACTGACCTCTAAATTTAGCCAGTCTTGAGAGGCAGCGGCTTGGATTGCTTCCGCTTCTTTCATAGCCTGTTTTTCTTCCGCTTCGCGCCGCTTGCGCAAAATTTCCTTCTTCTTTTGCAGTTCTTGAATATGTTTCCATTGCAGTTCCGGGTCGTCGTACTTCCTCGTTCGGATGTAGGTCGGTCTGGGACCCGTTGGAATCTTCTGGTTTATTAAAGTAATACTGTTTTCGGCGGTCAGATCTGTGTACAGTTCTCTGTAATCTAAAGGCGAATAGAACTTGCCCGATGTGTATCTCAAGTTGCGTAATGCCTTGATGAAATGCGGTGCCGGCGACTCCAAAATCTTCAAGAATGTCTTTTGGGCAAACTGGAGATATTTCTTGGGGATATTATCGAATAGATTCTGTTGCTTGATAAAGAAATTCGGGAGGGTGCATTGAAAAAGCCTTTGGGCTAGATTTTTGATAACTATCAACAATTTAGTTCCCAATCTGTGTTCGGGCCAGTTTCTATAGTTCGCTTCGCATTCCCAGAACATGTGCGTTCTGATATGTTCCACCAATAACCCTTGCTGTCTGGTGACAGGCGCTATGAAAGTTTTGTGTAGGGTTAGCAGGACTAGGTAGCATTTCATTTGAGCGTGAGACATGCGCGCTTCCAAGTAACGCTCGGCTTTAGGAAAATGTATTTCCCATTCCAAACCTGCGAAACCAAAAAAAGTGTAAGGCGTGCGTCAATATTTTGCTTCTAACAAATTTTTTGAGGATAAAACTACTCAAACAATTTGTTTATTTTTTTTATAGATGTTACTGTGTTATTATATAATTAAACCTGGTTGGGGTCAACGTAAATTTAAGTTTTTTATAATATTTGAATTTTTCAGAAGCATTTTGGCTTGCGTTGAATGTTGTAAGGTGGTTTTTTACTTATACCACTTACATCACAATAAAAATTATACATTTCTATTGAACAAAAAAACACACAGTGTGTTAAAACCTCAATATCAGATACGAATTTTATCAGATACACATTTACCTAACTTTAGCATTAAACGATAGTGAAATATGACGTAAAAGTTTCATTACATATAGATATTATTTTTTCTAATCCCTACTCTAAAATACCTAAGTATGCACTGATCAAGCGTGCTCAAAATGTCAGCTTGGTTAACCATTATTGCCAACACCTTATGGCATTTTCATGTATGTTATTTAGTTAGCTTGTTAGTCATGTCACACGTCACTAAGGGAATCTATACGTGCTATTTTGCAAAAATATACCCAAACATTAGTGGTCATGGGAAAAGCACAGTGTGCAACACTTCAGTCACTAGTGGCGTGTATCAAATTTATTGCATAATATACTATTACTTCTATGCTCTTTTCTACAGCTTATGCAATTTCAATATATCAATTTTTATCAATAATTTTGCAAGCTTGCTGCTTTATTGATATTCACGTTATTCACGACTCTATCTTGACACGTTTAATATGTTTGTTTTTGACCTATAACTTTTAAGTGTTCAACGAGCAAGAGTATAATTTTACTGCTAAGGTGAGAATCAAATTTTTAGACCAAAATATCTAAATCTTTTTGCCGTAATGTCTAGTTCCTAGGCAAGATTGTTAAGATAAAAAACACTGTACTCCAACGGTTTTAATGAAATGGTTGAGTGGCTATTTATTATTCCAAAATCCAAAATTTGAATGGTCCGTTCGAATCATTAACGAATGAAATTTAAATAATACCAACTCCAAAAATATATATTCCATTGCTGGACACTTACTTGAATCTTGGTGCTCTCCCTTCTTTTTAACGTATCCCTTTGGTACTAGACAACAGTTCATCGAAGTAATTTCTTTTACCATATCCGTAGTCGGCCATCTATAATTTATTCCCGTCCGCGTATCGATGAACGTTGGCCTATCTTCTCTATAAATAAATTCGAACGTCAGTTCCTGCGGCCATTGTATCGACACTGACGGGACAACCTATGATCGAAAATTCATGTAAATGCAGACCTTTATACATGTTTCCACGCGCAAAGAAAAGAAACTGAACTGATAGAAATGGAAGCGGAATCTTGCAAAGAAGATTCTGCTTCTATCTAGTAGGAATTTTCGCCTTCATTGAGTGACTTCTTTTATTTGGAATGGATCAGATTAGTTTCACCTGAGATCCAGACACTACAATTATCGGCAAAAAAACTGCTTAAACTGCTTAAAACTGGTTTCAATTTCAAAGTTGATTTTTGATGTCTTTTTTTTAATTTAGAAACATGATACGTTTTTTGATCGGAGATAAATTTTTTCAAAGCGAAGTGGAGAAACTGTTTGCAGCCATAAATTGTGACGTGATAAACCGGTATCCGGGGTTGAATTTAATTGATACTGACATTGACATTAAATATCTGGGAAGGATCTTTCAGTATATTCTTTTGTTTATACATAAATGTAGCTCGTATGGTAACCTTAGTTGAGGATGGCTACAGTCAACGTTATGTGTCCTACACCTTTGGTATATCTCAAACAATAGTTCAGCATGCCTAGAATCGGAAGGCAAGTATAGTTGACGACCCGTTAATTGCTTTATGAAATCATAGAATTGCAGCTGTTCAAAATTAATATCTATAAATGCGCACCGATATATTGAAGATATTCTCCATAATTCCGCGACAAAACGTTTTTTTAGAGGAATTGGTGAAGTGGGTATTCAACTAATGGTTTGGCCAGCTTGCAGGCCTGATCTTAATCCAATTGAGCATCTCCGGGACCAACTTCCAAAACGCATTCGTCGCCGACCTGCTTGAAGAATTTGAAACCATTCCACAAGAATTTGTTACCAACTGTTGTAAAAATTTTTAGATTAAACTTGTTTTGAAACATCGCCAATAAAAATAAGATAATGTCGTAATAAAAAAACTAAAACAATCAGGAAATATTCCAGTAGCTTTTCAAATTCGAAATTGGGGGTAGTTGTTTTTTGCCTTTTAGCATACAAAAATTGCGTAGTTTCTTTTCATAATTGCGCAGTTGGCCTAGGCCAAACTTTTCTCATTTTCTCATCACTTACCTCGCATGAAGTAATCACATTGGTCCCAAGATCCAATTCATCACAAAATATTTTTCCAGGAATAGCCCGGGCGTATGATAGAGATTCTTCGTCATATCCTAAAGTTTTTCCAAGAGTTCCGGGAAAAAGGACATTTTGAAAATATTTCATAAACCCACTAGAGTTTATATAAGTGATCTCTTTGAATAAATCGGTGGATGCTAATTGTTGGAGATATTCGATGTTATCGTCGTCGAAGTATTCGTCCGGGATTTTTCTAACTTTTCGTGTAGAAAAGCACGTTTCCGGTAGAGTGTCCCTTCTTTCCGCACCCTCCTCTACTTCTAACGGTTTCGGAGTTCTCAGCTCCGTTATTCTAGTGTAATCGTACTCCGAATCCGGTCTAGATGATGGACCTGGGGTCGGCTCGTATTCCGTGGCGTACTCAGCTATTTTGGGTGTCGTTGTCACTTCCACCTGCTGAAGCTTGACGAAACCTGAAATCGTACAGACAACTCCCTAGGTTGCACATGAAAGAAGACAAAGTCTGTTATAGCTCAGAAACTAAGAGAAATAATAAATAATGAATTAAATATATTCACTCCAAAATGTTACAACACAACAATAGTAAAACCAATAACTATAACTAAATAGTTATGACGATCTCCTAATATGTAATAAATTACAGAGCGCGAAAACTTATTTAGATAATAATAATGTTTCCTTTAACTGATCGAGTCATCCGAATCTATATATTTCAGGTAACGTTATCACAAGACAGCGAGACTTTTCTCTTATCTGTTATTTTTTATGCGACCTACTTTTGAATCGTGGATACAAATATGACTATTACATCCTCAATCCTACAACTTTTTCACACATCGCTAAGTTAAATATATAGATATTGAAAATTAGATAAAAGTATTGGTAGATATCTATTCACCGACGGCGTAGTCTATTTGAGAATAACATTGGTTGAATTCTCATATAAATGCCATAGCAAGCAAAATGTCTTCAGCAATATTCACAATAGGAAAGCTACGGGGTGTTATGTAACAATTCATTATGTACTTAATTCATACACATCATACTCATATATATGTAGAATCTCCTAATATGCCGCTAAATTATTCAGGCTTCAAGAAGTTGTTAGATCAATATGCATTCCCGATTACAGAAAACATTGAAATTCATTTTTTAAAAACTTCAAGATACTTTCAACTCTTTATACATAAAAATAAAGCAGATATTAATATAAAAGCAGATTTTAACCTGTAATGCACGAGAACGGCTCAGTGCATTAGGCATTCTAGGTTAGTTTTGGATTTTGACTTGTTTAACATTATTACCTCAGAAGTTGAAAATGTTATAATTAACTAAGAATTATCAAGTCCAAATTAAAATATGTATAATAATTTGGGCAAAAACAAACATAAACTCTACATTTATTTCATATTTTATATTAGTTGCCTTCGTGCGTGAGTTTGTGCCTTGCGTAATGTGGATCGTTATATTTGTATATTTTTTTCTTTGAGAGAATTTGTTAGATGAGTTGCTACAATTATAATTAATTGTGGCTATAGTTATTTAACAAAGCGTAGTAGCAGCGAAAGTTATAGATTCACCTTGTGTGCTCTTAATAGAAGAACGCTTATCTCAAAACTCTCTGAGATTTCCAATCCACGAACATTTTTTGTTCTATTCAGTAGTTCAAAACGCCTATTAACTCTATATTTTTTTGTCTATCCTTATGTATATTAGCATGAAATAAAATTGAATTCTAAAATACATCTTAATCCTTCAGAAGTGAAGTTTTTTTTCATGTTTCTTTTTTTATTTTTATACGTTTACATGCTCGCATTTAAGGTTACCGAAAAGGCTCTCATATGTTCTTTTTATTCAAAATATAAACGTGAATAAAAATATTATACGTGCAACTAAAATGCTAAAAAAAAACATTGATAAAAAAGGCAGGATTCTCTCAAAAAATTATTATCCGACGAACCAAACATTTTTTCTGTCTTACTGTTATTTTTAGTTCCACTAAGTACCAGAGGAATACAACAATACAAACTGCTAGAGATATGGTTATTTAGACAGGTTGTCTAAAGTTTCGTAGTTAAGATATCTTGTTTAAAACATGTTATTATGATTTTCGGGATTGAGAAAAATTATGAAATACTTTGCATCATTGCCTTTGTTTGTCCACATTTCTATAACTGTAATCGATCATTTTGACAAATCGTTGGAACTTTCAAGATAAAGATCGTGGTTTTACTTGGTGAGAATTTCATTCCGCAAATGCGTGCTTGGGGGGCAACGGTAACAGGAAAACTTAATTTTATCTGTTCGATCAAAATACCAAAGCATTTTTACTCAGTACAGATGAGTTTGTTATGATTTGTGATTAAATAGTCTTTTTCCAGATTGATATAATGTTTAAAATAACTGTTAATCGAAGGCTACAGATTTTAAACAAAAGATTATATTATATTCAGCCTACTACCTATGCTACTAACAAATAGGTGGGCAATCCCTCCTAAAAAGTGACCAATTTACTATAGCTAACGTATTATTTAGGAACCAAGCAAACAAATCGTTTTTTAAAGTATATAGTCTGAACTAGTGAAGAATCAATCAATTAACGGTCACAAATTCATCATAATGCCTTATTACGTTTCAAAGTTACATACAAATTATTTAGTAGTATAAGTACAATTTTAAATCGCCTTACCGTACTCCATCGAAGAAAAAACATATATTATCAAATTAATTAAACTAAAAAAATGCTAAAATTAAATACTTAGTCATAAAACCCTACAGATTTTACTTAAGTCGTACCTATATACTGAAATTAAATCACCCTCAAATATAATTTATCTTTTTTTATATATATATATATATATATATATATATATATATATATATATATATATATATATATATATATATATATATATATATATATATATATATATATATATATATATATATATATGTATATATATTCTCACGTATTGATTCACGGATGGAAAAATGTGATGACACTATATTCCGGGATATCATCCGTTCGCTCGTTGAACTCCGACTGGAATCCTGCATCCGACTCGAACAGTGTTCGAAGTGTTTTCTGAGCGCGAGCATTGAAGGTGCCAAGTGAGATTTTGGCGAAACGTCTGCAGGATTCCAGTCGGATGCAGGATTCCAGTCGGAGTTCAACGAGCGAACGGATGATATCCCGGAATATAGTGTCATATATATATATATATATATATATATATATATATATATATATATATATATATATATATATATATATAATATTTGTATTCATTAAAATTTGTTAGAAAGAAAATTAGTAGCAGAAAAAAAAAGAAAAAAGTTCTATAAATGTAGGTCCGAAAATGCTTACTTTCCAATATTTTCAAGAAACAATTTTTTTTCAAAGAAACTTCCACAGGTCACTGTAAAATTGTTTAAAAATCTTCTAGATTCTTCCTGTGTCGGTTGCTCATAAATCGAACTTTCTGACGTTTCGCCAATCATCCCCATCAACCGACGCAGGAGAAATTCGGAAGATTTGTAAATAGTATGCAGGGTATATATTAAGAATAAGACGGCTCGTGGGAAGTTCCTTGCATCCATAGATTACTTGCCTACAATTAAGTTCATGGTGGTCATTATCAACATTTTCGTCAGTGTTAATTTTGTTGAACTTGAAGTTTGCTGACACCAAACCATGAACAAAAAATAAATGTTTGTCAGATACGAAATAAGTCAAGAATCAAAAAAGTTTCACTTTTAGTGGTTTATCCACAGTAAATAACAAAAATTGCAAGAAAGTTAGTGGCGTATAATGCTAGTCGTTGGAATACCTCTCGGGACGACACTGGACAATTTAATTTAGTTTGCAACAAAATTCGCAATTTATCAGTACAAATGATGTCGCAGAATCCCAACAAAATCGGAAAACATATATTTCCTATTAAAAAAAAACTGTTCGGTTTATTATTAAATATTTAATACCTTATCTTATATGATTTTTTTATTTAAATGACTAATCTCCAGAAAGGAGCAGGAAATATTCTGTTACCAATTTTTTTGATTTGATATTTTTTAAATCGCATTTTTAAGCTCTTATTAAATGTAAATGACATATATAACGTATTCTGTATCCTTTAAAAATGTACTAAGGGGTTTGTTAAAATTTCTTGCAATTCAAAAATCAACCAAAAATTCTGCGATGAACCGGCAATAATGAAGACAGACTTACCTTTGCGATTTGATTCTTCAATTTTCACTTGATAACTAGGCTTATCGATTGACGTATATTGAGGAATTTCATTCGAGTTCACCACTTCTATCAGGTCATTTATTACATATGTTCTCCTGGCAACTAGCGATTCTGGCTGACTGTCTTCTTCGTATGATCTGAATATAACATTTTCGTGTACTTTTTCGAAAATAACATCCGGATTTGTACATTCCATGATTTCGTCTTTAAGAAGGGTCTTGTTGAGCTCTTTCTCCCTTGGACTTGATGACGCGTGCTGTAGCTGCTTTATAATCCTGTAACAACATTCGATGAGCTTTTAGATAGAACGCTTACTAACTTTTAACAAATTGAGTGCCTTATTTTCTGCTTCAAAAAACAATAAAATGCTTTTATTTGTTTGCGCACAATACATATGCATATACATATACAATACAATACAATACATATACACCCCTGATTATAAATGTTAATTCTTTAATTGCAGTTAGTTATTAATAAAATGAATATGTCAGTATTTAAAAAAAAATTGTCAACAAGAGAGTAAAGTGGTAAATCTGACAACATTGCTGTTGCATTTTTAAATTCTGCATGATCAAAAATCCCCATTTATTGAATTTTATCGTTCCAGGTTTGGCAGCCTTGGATTTATTTAGACGGTACTTTTTACAAACGCGGAATATGGTTTAATGGTTAGTTTCTGGTTTTATTAAAATTATTTCTTCTAACGTCTACTATAAATCCATACTACTTAGAGAAAATCCCCAATTTAATTTCATTGTCTTGAATAGCTGTACAAAACCTTTCTATCATTTATTTGCGTTGTTGGGAGTATTAACTCAAAACAACTTAATCCCGCTTAATTTGCAAGGATTAATACCAGATTTTTCTCCAGTTGTAGATAACACCTAACTTTAGAATTCAATGGATAGTTTTGTAATTCCAAGACTTTTAAACTTCAAAAGTAAGGTATATAGGCCTTTAACAAGTGTAAATGATTTTTGTATCCTTTAACGTAACTTATTTCAATATTTCAGTAATTTGGACTCTTTTTGAAACTTCGCGGCTTTTAATTAATGTTTCATGTATTCGTTTATAAACATCATCACGACTCTTTGTTAAAAAAATCCTCCCCCAATATTTTACTGACTTTATTTATTTACATAAGAAGCATTCCATAGGTTTGCATCAATATGCCACCATTTTCGGTGTGTAAATAACTCAAAGTAAACAAAATAAAGATACAATCTGTCGGTGGCCTGTGCCGAAGTTTACTACTTACTCTTTGTGATCACCAAAAAACTGAGTCGATAGAATCATATTATTAATCACAAAAATCTGCGGGGTTTGGTGCAGTTCTTTCGTAATAGTGTCTATAATGTTCTGGTCATCTTTTCGGATGGATTTGACCATGACATCGCGATCACCGTCACTTATCCGAGGAGTCATTGCGAACCCGTTTGATCTTGTAGACGTCTGTTTGGGTCGTCTTGGTGTTTTAGAACACTGGTTCCCCATCAGATTTTGAAACGGTTTTTAAAAACTCGCTCCCCATCAGATTATCAAACGGAAGCTTGCATGTTTGCGGTAGACCACAATGGATTAGTGATTTGTTAGACTGATCGTATTTACTTACATTTCCCCTAGATAAATTTGCACTGATATCGCTTATCGATAAATTTTTTTCTAAGGTTATCTTGTAAAAATTTGAGGGGATTTAGATAGTGATTTTAACAAATCCGATCAGACAAAATCACAATTGATATTAAATTTAAAGGATAAAGTCTACGTGTAATTCACAATGAATTTTATGACACGAGCTACAGCAATCTATTATTTTTAGTTTTTTTAGGTTTAATATAACCGTAAGCATTGCTGGTAATCGGTAAATACCGAGTATTAATAAATTTGTGGGAATACAAAATAAATTCTTCTTCACTGAATGATTATTGTTATTGTAGGAGAATATTGAGTTCTGGGACTAATTATTTATATTTTTATTTTTATAAAAATGATGTCTCAGAGGAATATAATATGGATGATTAGAATGAGGAATTCCATTCTGAATTTAGTATTGTCAAATTAAAATCACTTAAAATTATAGTTATAGTTGCGTATAGTAGTATGGAGTATACGTAGTATGGACCCTTATATCTTTTTTAAAAACTTTGAAGGTCCCTTAATGAAGACTGATATCAAGAACTTAACTTAACTTAATAACTTAATAATATCTATCTATAATAACTTCTACTGCAAAAAGGAGTTCTTACGAACAATTTGTAAGAAACTCCAAAAATAAATCCAAAAATTGCTGGAAATTTTTTAACGCTAAAAATAATCATCGAAAAACGAATCCAATAAACGACAAGTGAAAACCAAATGATTTTAATGAGTTTTTTAGCTTAGTCACTGAACATGGTGAAGTCATTACGAGATTCATCAACATCAAACTGATTACCGGCCTAAAATACCATTAAAAAATTGCAGGTTCTTTTTATCTCCAGTTACACTTCCAGTGCTCTCAAAAATCTTAAAGATTCAGCCCCAACGGATTTTTTTACCATAATCAGTATTATGCTGAAGGAAACTGTCAATATATTGGCAGCTCCTATCACAGAACTTATAAGCCGCTGGTTCACAGATAGTGTTTACCCAGATTGTGTTAAATTGTAGTTTTAAAAATATCGCCCCTTTTTATGAAATAAAATCCAGAGCAACGGGAGAATTATCATCCTATATCCATTATGGTGACCTTCCATAAGGTAATAGAGTCCCTGTTAAAGGAGAGATTGGTTGGATACCTCGAGTCCATCTCGCTTCTCAGTGACGGCCAGTTTTATTTCAGGTCCAGTGGATCCACTACTGGGGCAGTTTTAAAGATTCTCGAGAGGTAGGGCAAGGCTTTCGATTGTGTTTCCCACGATTTACTCCTCAAGAAACTTTCTATCTATGATATTAGAGGAACTCCCCTGAAACTCTTTGAATCACATCCAATCATCATCATCAGTGCGTTCCATAAAATAACTCAGTCAATCTTGGGACCAACACTGATTGTGATCTACATTAATGATTATGATACCAACCAATAGCGTAATATTTGCAGACGATAGGTTATAGTAAAAATTTTGCCGAATCTACCAAAAACAGAAAGTATCTTTATTTCTAGTAACTTTAAGTTTACAACTGGCAAGAAATGTAGGTTGTTGGGTTTTACGATTGATGACTCGCTCAACTGGTCGCAACATGTGGATACTGTAAGGTCGAAGTTGACGAATGAGGCAGTTGTAGGGCCGTTTAAACACAGATTACTTGAAAATAGCATATTTTGCTATTTTCCATAGCCACATCTCGTAGGGTGTAGTACTTTGGGCGAGTTCCAGCCATGCACAAGGAACACTGTCACTCTCTTTATTTACCACAGTTTGCTGGAGGTTCATAGGAGGAGAGACTTGTTCACCCTACATTCTGAAATACATGATCATCAGACAAGATAAGGTAACTTAGTAAGAATTTCACGCGGTGGTCTAGCTATATCTGACGAAAACTGTCTTTCCCTGAAGCTCTTTAATTCCGTTAAAAATCAAAATGTAAAATTTGCTACTTATAAAAATATTACAAAAACACATTCACTAAAATATTGCTTTTATTCTATACATGAATGTTTTATATATATATATATATATATATATATATATATATATATATATATATATATATATATATATATATATATATATATATATATATATATATATATATATATATATATATATATATATATATATATGATGACACTATATTCCGGGGATATCATCCGTTCGCTCGTTGAACTCCGACTGGAATCCTGCAGACGTTTCGCCAAAATCTCACTTGGCATCTTCAATGCTCGCGCTCCGAAAACACTTCGAACACTATATATATATATATATATATATATATATATATATATATATATATATATATATATATATATATATATATATATATATATATATATATATACCTTACTATCTTAACGGCGTCTATCTATTATGAAATTGCATTCACTAGGGCGCCAGTGTGCAAAGAGCGTCAGTATGTTGACGCTCTAAGCTGAGCCATGTCTTATTGGATCCGGGCGCGATTCTACAATTTTCTGTGGTCTGTAATTTTGTTGAATGTATATGACCTGCTACAAACTATATATGTGTAAAGCAGTCAATAAATATTATTATTATTGCTATTATTATTATTATTAAGTAGTTTTTACATTGATCCAAATTATTTCAAAAACCTTACCTACTATTGAACATTTTAAAGGAAATTTAATTAGAGCGTAACATTTAAAAATCACCATTTCTGTGTGTCACCTCAGAATCATTAATTTTAAAAGACATATATTGCAGAATAAATTTATTTAAATGCATATAAGTGCTTCCGCAAACAGCAACCAAAACTTCAGCTTTCTGCAAGTTCAAATGAAGAAAAAAAAACTATGTTAAAAACCACTCCAAAAAGAGGAAAGTATTAAGCACAAATATTCTGAAGAAAGCGATGAATCACAAAATGATTTCGTCTAAATGTTATTTTTCTTTTGATTCCATGTAAGCTGGTTTATCTAAAGTAAAACCAAATAAGCGATCTTTGAAAATTAATTAAATTAGGACTAATTTTAAAATAGCGAACAGAACTTAAATCGTTTTATTTCCATAAAATTTAAAAATTACCTCCTTTAAGACTTTTTTAACCGACCTGCTTCGCGCGCACTTAAATTAATGTCTGAAAAATTCGCCCGACACGATTTAGTTTTTGTCTATTTCATTGTTTCTTTTTTTATAAGCAAAATGGTGTAACGTAGCAAGAATTTTTCTACAGGATAGCTTCCTCGAGGATTTGTTCAAAAAATTAGCGCTCTAGGAAGGCACATCCGAGTAAAAAACATTAGTTCATTTTTGGTAACATTTTATTAAAATATAATATACAGTAGTTTAATAAAGCTTTTACCGCAAGACGAAAAGACGTCGAAAACATTTAAAATCTACATTCGATATAAACAACTTTATTGTTATTCTGCTTTCGTTAAGTATTTTATCATGCGCTTTGACACGAACATTCGTACGCACTCGTGTTATCATCCTCATCCAACAAAAAACACATAAAAACAGGAATCATTCGCATTTACATTTGGCACTGTTACTTTAAGTATTGTTGGAGCTGGATATTGTCTCTCGTATCCAATCAACATTCGAGGATATTTTATCGTACATTCGAGGCCTTTCGGTTCCGTTTTTGGTACAGGCGATCCTCCAGTTTGTGATTCCGACCAGGGTCCATTTCCTGGTGTTAGGCAGTCTGCAGACCATACAGCTTCCGGCAAACTCTTCTTCCTAAATTGATAAAAACAATATTTTTCGTTTTTAATATCTTAACTAATGGGTTTTATTTTTCTTTAACTAGACATCTAATTTAATAAGAATAAGTTTCAGTATTCGAAGTACAATACAGTTTTTAAATTAAATTCAAACCGTAAATAATATGAAATTCGATAACATTCAATATTTCAATTTTTTTATAACAAACAAGTTGCTTAGTTTCAACACTTTATCTAAGCAAGTAGAGGCCTTCATTTTTGTATGCACTGATCAAGCTTGCAAAAGCTTTGTTAACTGTTTGTTTTCCGAATGAATGATATGGAAATATAGAAAAAGTTTTAAAAAGGTTAAGGTGGAATTTTCTCATGAAACGTGAAATTTACGACCAATGTTTATTTGCAATAAACACATTGCCTGTACTCACAAACATTTTTTTTTTATTTTCCACATGTCAGACAAGAGTTTTAATTGATTGAGGATATAAATCATGTAGTGCTTTTCATCAAGAATGTTTTTGTGAAATGTAAAATCTCGTGTAAGACTACCCCCTACACCCCTTCCATTAATAAAATACTTTTTAAGACGCACTGGATTTAAGATATGCCGAAACACATCTACCTGTTATTGCCGTTATTAAAAATCATGAAAACTTTTTTCAAGCATTATAGATTTTTTTTTCGAAAAATTCTATTTTTATCCACTGTGCGAAGTTTTGAAGATTCTTTAGTTGAAGTGCCAGTTGCATTTATATGTACACAAGATCACTAAGCTCCTTCCCATGAAGATGACGATACGATTATTTCCATAATCAATGCTTCTTGATTCTCTATTCCGAATATTCTGCATTATTATTAAAAATTGACAGTGAACAATTTGACATAGCTAAATTCACCATGCAATAATTTTTAGTTAAACTGCAATTCAAAAACACTTCAGTTAAAGTAATGAAAGTTGGACGGGAATTTACGTACAATATGTCGCATACTTACGTTGCAATCGTTTTGGCCGTGAATGGTTTCGGTACAAAAACTATTCACGTTCGATATGCTGACGTTTTCGCATTTTTCCATAGCGACAACTTGAACTTGAACCCGCTGAAGATGTTCCCGATTTCTGGCCCATCCCAGAGTGTTACACTGAATGGCAGAAGACAAAGGCACATTTTCTTCGGGTAAACACACAGGCCTAGTGAAGTCGTTATAGGATACAGGCTGATCTAATCTCACCAGAGCTATAGTGCTCCCTTCCACTGGCGACTTTACCTAAAATGGAATTAATTGAATCTCAAAACCCTTTCCCCGTATTATTACTGAGCTGCCAAGAATTTCTGAAATTTTAAAGCTTTCTCTAGATCCTTGAAGCTTTAATTATTTTTTAAAATACCATTCCTATTATCCTCCGTTCTTGTTCCCAGGGGGCCGTGGACATCAAGCGGACAGCGCCAAAACGTGCGATCCATTCGGCTTTGGGTTGTCCCTGGAAACAAGATGCCGTTGTTCCAATCCAATTCGGAGACAACAGCACTCCGTCGCAAATGTGGACGTCTTCCTTAAACAGTGCCACGTGCCATGGCCAATCGCCGTGGGATGCCATTTTGGGCAATACGTTGTTTGATTTGGAGTTTTCGGCGTTCTGAATTCCACATTCTACAAGTAATATTTTTGTTTGGAATTGTCCTATATCTATTCCCGCGTGACTTTTCGAAAGTACTTATTTTATAAAGATAGTCTTTGTTCTTTGATTCTTTTAACCAACAAAAAGTTGTCATTGTTATGGGAAAATTAAGTAATATTATGTCTTTGGAACTATGAAATATGAACTATCTATTTAATGTCTCAATTTCTGGTCGTTTGCGATGCATTTTCGTGAAAGGGGCTAGTGATTAATACAAGTTAATTAATAATAGAAACAAAAAATTTAATACGAAAAACTAAGAAAAGTCTAAGTTTAGCTTAGTAATTACATATTTTCATTTTTTAAATATATTCTAATAACTCTTCCCTTAAGAACAATTTGCTCCCATAGCGACGTATCACTGAAATAAACTCAAAAATACTAAACGGTAATTTTAAGTAAGAATGCAAAGATTACCGCCCTACTTTTTTGAGACTTAAAAATTGGTATAATCAAATTTTGAATTTGGAACCTCACTAACCAAAACTATAAGAGAAAATTGAAAAATTGTCAATTTTTTGCATAATTTATATCCGTTGCTTTCATTGTGGTTTAACTCCCAAAAATATTATCTTTTAGTTTTTTAAACCAGTTGTTATTATTAATATTTTAAATTTAAGAACAGTTTTAACACCTAAATTATGATGAACCATTTGGTTTCTGTGGCAATGGCGAAGTTTTTAAAAAATATCTTTACTGAAAATATGACAAATCTCCGATTTTTCCTTTGTAACGAATCTTAGAACACCTTTTATTTGGTACAAAATAGATATAATTATTAGGATTGTTCATAATTTTATTGCACCATACCTAGTTCATCGCAGGTGACTTTAAGGACTTGTTTGGATGCGCATTTGCTTTTTACGAAATTTAATTCTTGCGCCAGTGGATCTCTCATTTTTACATACGAAACGTCCGATTCGTGATCTTTCACTACATTGTGTTCTTGGACATCCCTGCAAAAATATTAAAAAAAAAACATATAATGTTCGTCGTGAAACTTCGGAATCATTATTTGGAGCATTCTTCTCTGTCAATTTACTTACTGGTAGTTTAACATCTTGCACAATGAAGACGAAAGCGTCCGAAGAACTTGTTCAGTGCGATTGCGTGATAAACTGCGGTTTAGATTTTCGGTACACAATTTTTCAATCACCCCTTTTTCGTTAACCGTAACGTACCCTTCGGGGTGATACGATGTTCGGTGAAGACTTACGGCAGACATGTTGCTTAAGTCCTTGGTACTGGGATGCAAATTAACTGAAATTTCAAAATGAGGGATTAACCAAAATTACGTACTAAATATTAACCACATTGCTATTAATATAAAATGCCCACAAATCCCATTAAATTACTCATAAAAAAGTTGCATAAAAATATTGTATGGACATAACGAGGAAATGGCACAAAGGGGCAAATATAGGGGAATGGGATGATTAGTCCCTTTTGTACAAAAATACCTTAGCCTGAGGCACATCAATTTTATGGTATTGCCTATTTGATTGCAACATGTCTATAAAAATACCATATTTAACTGCATTTCAAGAACCTCATCTTGTTTATTCCCGTTTGTTATTAGCTATTATTATTGTTAGTGAGAGTTATGAAAAAGAAACTAATATGTTGCATTGTTTTGGTTGGAATGAAACATTTTTGATTAAATTGCCTCCTGGTTTATACAACACCTTTTTATTGGAAACAGAACTTACTAAAAAAAATGTTTGAATGGTCCTGCTTGCATTTTTAATATTACAAGGGAGCAAACAATATGCAGAAACAGTAAAAATTACATTTCTTTATTCATACTAATTTTCCGTTTTTTGAACAATAACGCCAAATTGAAATATGTATTTCACTCTCACACATGCTGAAAGAGCGTTTAAATTATTGAAACTTAGAAACTGTTTAAGATTTTTTGTTGTTGATTTTGTCTATCTTCTAGTTCGGTGATAAAAATACTATCCTCCGTATTAAGTTTTTTTAGTAATGCCATGGAAAAACGAAATTCAGATGCTGACTTCTGAAAACAGTTCACAATTTCAGCTGATCGATTTCCCCCAAAACAATTGTATTATTTCTAAAATTGGGTGCGCTTTTCAGAAAAATCGACAGCTTGTCTTTAATTTCATTCCGTGACCTACTACATCGAAAACCGCTGTATTAATAATCCCTTTCTCTTTCGCATCAACTTACGACACGCTCTTTCGTCGCTACCATCCGGGCAATCTTCTTTGCCGTCACACCTTTGACTCTGCTGAATACACGCTCGACCTACGCCGCAGTGAAGGTGATTTTTAGGGCAGTAGGAGCACGACGTTTCGTCTGAGAGGTCCTGACAGTCTAGGACGCCGTCGCAGATGCGTGGAGACAACGCTCGAGATTGCAATTCTTCGACGCATCCTATTGGACCGAAAAGTGATAAACTGAATTATTCAAATTCTACATCGCATTTTCGACAATATCAGAGATCCATATTTGATTAGTGTCCACGGAAAAATTTGGAAATTATTTTTACAGGTATAGATACTATTCTTGATTTTTTTTTTCTTGATTAATTCGCACAAACAAATTGACGAATTGAAAAACGGTGCGGCATGAAAAGACTTAAAATTTGCTGCCCAGAGGCGTATCGTCGGTTTTAGTTTTAATTCAATAGGTATCAACACCGGCAAAATAGTGCCTGTAATTTCAAATGATGTTAAAAACATTAAAAAGCTGTCAAAATTTTACAAAGCCCCGAAATTATAAGAGGGCAATGTTTGATATTTAATTACTCAAATAATCGTCTGTTTTCATCTGCGTTTAGTTTATTCTGGATTCTGTAAATAAGGGTCGATCCTACGCTCCGTTAATAAAGTTTGCCTTTATTTTGAGTATTATTAGTAATAAGGTAAATTTTTAATACTTAATTTATCTCGCATAATTCTGGGGCTACTGTTTTTTCATTTTGGTCTATGCAAATTTTGGTAAATAAACTCCTTATCTGTCAATTACTAGGAAATAGAAATACTAAACAAAAACATACTATACTCCTCAACCCTTCAATTCTTTCAAATAGTTTGTATTAAAATAGACATTTCAGGGCTTTAGAGAACAATGTCTCTCATATCTGTAGTAGACCTGTCGATCGATTAAGCAACGAGAAAGGTTATTTGATAATATAACAATAAACAAAATTAAGTTCCGAATAATGCCAAATTAAAAACGAGTAGAAGTGGCAATTTTTGGATAATAATGTCAATAAGCGAAACAGATTTCTATAATAAAATTCAATTCTTTTTATTTAACGTGACAAAAAAATGCAAGATGCAATTATAAATTGAAAACTATTCTATGTAATATACAAAATTGCATTAGGGTAAATAAAATAAAATTAGAAAAGCGACGAACTGACCCTACCCGTAGATATCAATAACCCAAAAATAGTTGATGAAAACAATACAAATGGTAAATAAAAAAAAAGGGTTAAATATGAGCCCGTTGAAAAAAAAACACTTCCTGCATCCTATTTTTGAAAATCTGAGGATATTCAATAATTATAAATGTAGATTAGAGTTTCGATTAGGCCAATCTTTTAATTCCGCAATTTCCTGTTTCGATTGCGCTGTTTCCGTTTGCATTGATATATTCTAAATAAATCGATGGCAATCTGATAATGAATAAACACATGGTCGTGCGTGTGCATGAGATTTTAAATTCCACAAAAATCCTAACCACGTTTACTAATTAACATCAAGTATTAATAATTTAAATCAGACATTGAACGGTTCGTGATATCCTAACCAATAATATTATTCTATATACAGCATACGCGTCATCATTTTTAGTTCCATTTTGCAAATATTTAACCCACAACCCACCTATAGGCAACGTACTGCGCTTAAACGAGCAAATCTTTTTTTTAACGAAATGGTGCTCGATTCGTACACGATGAAAACCATTTGTTTATTGCCGTCGGCATTATTACGCAATAGTGCAATAAATACTAATTAATTTGTTCACTACTGTTACACATAACTGTTTGTACCCGATATACGCGCGATATTTATTATTTTGTAATTTCAGACCTTAAAACAAATCGCAGTAGCCGAGTAGGTTATTAATTAATAATAATAACGATAAAAACGATAGTAATTATTTTCATAAACGCTAAGAATTTCAGTAATCCGCAGTTAATAAGCGTGATCCACATACTGCGTGAGCCAAATAGAGGTTAAGTCATAGTAACTTTTTAGCACCAAAACTGTATTCCTTGGTTTATTGTTTTTTTTTTTTTTGCTTACATGTATGAGTAAATGTTATATTACTATAAATGTAATGAGCAGATTCTTTGCCTCGTTGTGATTATTGTAATTATTATTGGTTTGGTTTAATATTGGTGTGTCACACTTAAATAGATTTTATAGATTATGTTATTGTAAAGTTTAAATTGTATAAATGTTATTATTATTATTATAAACAGCAAAAGTAATCAAAATACGGCGGGAATTGGACATAATGGGGGTCACGCTGTCACGTCACGTCACAGAGTTCGGAATTTTAACCTCTAACCTTTATTCTAGAACGCTGTAACTATATGTATAAGGATTATACAAATAAATATAACTTCAGTGAAATTAACTAGCAAAAGATCATTCCTTCAATATTTCGCTTTGGGAAATTAATTATGTGTTCGTTTAAATTGGATCTGAAGAAATGTTTTAAATAAATGTAGACTTGGAAATTTTTCCCAAACAGTAAATCGAAAATGCAATATTTTTATTTTCCAGACCTAAATTACATATTGATTTTTCTGTAAAATATTTTAGATTTTTAGAACATAAATATAGAAATAAATAATACAAAGTATATTTAAAAAAATCTTTGATAAATGGAAACCAATATTTCTCTAGTAGTCTTTTCTTTCATTAATGAAAGAATCTACCAAACCACTTAAACTTTAAAAAATAATTATTAAATTTTGCGGGTATGTTTATTTAAATAAAAGATTTTACGCTTGGCTTTAGCTTGGCTTATGTTATATTTTTGGCATAAATTTGGAAAGTTTATTGTAATTCGGGAAGGTTTTCATAGCTTTTGATTAATCAAATTGATGGAGGGTGATTTCCATAGTCAGTTTAAAGGTTTTATTTTATTATGTAACTTTCGATGGGCTTTTAATTTCTATGCTTACGTCTGATCAGGAAATAGATAACTGATATATGTACCCAAATTTCGAAATGTAAAAATAGTGCGACCGATGGGAAAAGACAAACAAATAACAATAACCTTGGTTGTCTAATCAGACATGATAAATTCCTTGTATGCCAGGCAATAAATAGTCCGGGGAAGCGAACAGATGAGGACCAGGAAAAAGGCATTCTACAACTTACGCCGGTGATTTGGATTGACATCAGTCCAATTATTCAGAACTATGGCAAATAAAATTAGAAACGCTGTGATTATAGCCATTGTTCGTAAAGAACAAGGCACATGAAAAAGTAGATAAGAATAGATATTATTCATTGGTCTGTGTTAAACATAATCTAATGTTAGTTTGGATGAGGTAAGCATCAAAAATTTGTGTCTATGATTGGAATAAAGTCTGCAAAATACAGGAGCAACGTGTTTTATATACTTGATTTCGTTTAATCGGGAAACTAAATATGATACCTTTCAGCAGATATTTTTTGAACCACATTCTATTTATCAGAGTTCGAAAAACGCATTCTACTCACAGATAATTGAATCGATTTAGCCGTCAATTTTATAGACCATATATTTACTAAGCTAAACTTTTACCCGGTTTCGTGACGCAAGTGCCTTCGCCGTAAAATTCCGGAAATCGACCGCAATCTATGAGATTTTTGAATTTTTCATTGAGACGACTTCCGCACCCAGACATGAACTCTCTGCAGAAACTACGGCATGGCAGGATCATCTCGGCCGAATATTCTTCGTGTTCTTCGCAGGGCGGCTGAAGAATTTGACAGACGAATTCATATGCATGGCGGTAACACTCGGCATCAACCAGTTCCCTGTAATGAAAACACTTGCTGCAAATTTATTGCAATAACTTTAACTTAGAAGAGCTGTAAATACGGAGCGTTTCTGAAATAGTTTCACTAATAACTAATAAATTTTAATATTTTTTAGAAGAGCGAGTTCCCAAACATTTCTAAAATTTCTGTAAGGTATAAAAAAAGTTGTATCAAGTTTTATTTTACTTATTTTACTTTTAATTTACTTATTTTGGAGGTATTTGAAGTTCAGTCAAAGGTATTTACCGTACAAATTTCATTTATTTATCTCAAACGGATTTCGACACCATCTAAGTTATTTATATAGCAATTCAAAATTAAAGCATACATTTCTCCGTGTCATTTAGCTCTGTACATGTTTATTTTCAATTAACTGCTGATAATACCGTTAAACTAGGATTATTTTTCATTCTTTAATAGTCTATTTACCTGAGAAATTGACCGAACATTTTTTTAAACATCCATATGTTAAATACGACACTTACTATTAGTTACACATGAAAAAGCCTAAAACCTTACCTAAAAGTGATCACGTGTTCCCTTACATCTCTAATACTTTTATGTTCTAACACGTTGGGGTATGTAGTGACGTTATATCCCAGTTTGCTGCAGTATCTTAACTGCAAAGGTGTACACGTTCTAGGAGCATCTGCTGGGGTTTGGGTTACTGCTAGCGTCGTGATAATTGTGGGCAAAGTTGTAGCATAAACCTGAGGAAGAGCATCGGCAGGTTTCATATCCAAACTGTTTGGATCTATTGTAATGTTTTGGAAGAACAAGGATTCGGTAACCGATACTTCGTTGGCCAATATCCCATAGAGATCATCCGCTTTAATATGGACGTACGACGGGTCTATGCGAAGGTCGAAATGAACTATCAGGTCTTTACCTTCCGTTCTGGAATCAACAAAATGCGATTTAGCTCTAATTGGAAAAAGTGTTATGTAAGTTTCCATGAATAATTTTATAACATTGTAGCGTAGTGCGTATTCTTACCCATCTAAAGCTAAAACGTCGGTTCCCAAATAACCGTGTTTGACGTAACTCCTTCTAAATAATAAATTCAGTCTTTCCATATAGTCTCTCGATACTGCTTTAAATTTATCTGAACTGGGATCCGCCAATTCTGGTAGAAACGAATCGCCTTCTATAACCCTAAATGTTCCTTTGTAGATTTGTTCCCCTGGATATTCGGGCATTAAATATGTATCTAGAATTGAAGAAAACCATTTTACCACTGGTGCGTAATTGCTGGTAATAGTATTTAAATATCAGTGAACTCCATTTATCGAACTGGAATCCTAGGGATCACGGAGCAAATATGAATTTTCAGACAAATTTTACTTAGACTGTAATGGGTATAGCAATGAGGATTGTTTGCTTTGTCATACATACTAATGCCAGATAACTAACAATATTAAGAGACGAATTGCTAAGTCCTTAGTTGCAATATATTTCGACTCATAGTGGTATTAATTGATAAACATTTTAAAAAGTGGTAAGTTTTTGGGTTTCATCAAATAATAACTCATCGAGTTATTAAATAAAGAAAATATATAAATTGTGTATATAAATAAAGTATTTCTATGTAATAACAAATATTTTCAATTTGATTTTGTCGTAACTTTTGGGTATATTTAAGTGGGATCTTTTTTAAAATTTTCTATTTCGCAACCAATAAATTTTAATATATATATTTTTAAGTATATCAATCTGAATGAGTTTTTTTCGCTTAACAATTAATTACACAACTATTTTAAAAAAATGCTTGGTCACCAAACAATAATGTGTAAAAGTCCAGGAGGAATATCTAAATAAATAAAAAAATAAAAACAAAATAGATAAAAAAATAAATAAACTAAAATAAAGTAACACGCCATTATCTCATTCATATGAGCAAGAGAGGTACGCCGTAGTTCCAATTACTGGTCACCTTTAAAAGTTGGCTCACTTTTCTATCACGCTGTTTCCGTTCCACCTTTGGTATTAAACTTTTCATCAAAAAGTAAGATGTTACCAGAATTAGGCTCATTACATTATTTAACGAAATAAAGCGATCCAAACCTTTCGCAAAACCGTGCATATTACTTTCGTTATTATAGTTTTTATTGCCAATTCTATTGTATACAATTTATTTAAACAAGAACTTAGAAAACCTATGCAATCACTTTCGTCAGCTGGTAGTTGCGATCTATAGTGCTTAAAATATATGATTTCTGCCACGGTAAATTAAAAACGTAATTGATTCTGAACAATTTCCTGCGTCGAGTTGACTTTCTTTGCCTGTAAAATCCACATTAAAATACGATCATTCTAATTACAACATTTCGGTCTGGTGAACACAAAAAAATGTCAAATTGAACCATATAGAAAAGTTGACAAACAAGGAAACTTAGTAGACTGAGACGCAGTACGATTTTACAGCAATAATAGCTAATACAAATATTTGGTATTGTCGCTAAACTAATAAAACTATCATTCAAGCCTTCATCAAAACCGTAGATCATTCGAGCACATTTTCAAAAATAACTTAATCTAATTTGTTATTTACATTACATAGAATTCAATTTAGATTTTTTTTTCTACTTCCTAGGTAGCGTGCGGACAGTGTCATTTTGCCACGTTAGTTTGGTTTTCCATGGATCCTAGCCAGTTCGGACATTTCCGGGATATTACCTCACGAGTTTGGGAGCAATCGGATATTTTCGGAGATATGGCCGCCTGGCTTGAATTTTGACATTTGTCAATTCTGACGGTCATGTCACTCAATATATTCGTGTGGTTTTGAAGAAATGTACCCATAAACAAACGGTTGTAGAAAAAGTATAGTATGCAACACGTTTTGATTTAAGTCACTCGTTTATTTAACTTGTGACTCAAATGCCGTTTACCACACTTGTTAAATGATATGGTATTTCTGCAGAGCAAAGATAATTTCGCATACGTAAATTTAGACACTTTTTAAAAGTAAAGAGTAAGAGCAAAAATTAATAGTAATTGTAGCGACAAGGTTAATAGATTCTAATATTATAATATAAACACGTATATAACGTAACACTGCCAATAACTAGGCTGGTCCCTCTGTATTTAACAAAACATTTTCCTATTGTCTTTCGAGTTCAATTTTTTTATCGCTTCAAGTTAGGAAATAGTTTTTGATAAGTTTACAATTAATATTATTTCTCCTCGTTGCTTTTATTTATCGCAAAAATTTGTAATTTTTTCTAATGGCCATTTAGGTATTAATTACATGAAACATTTTTTTTCGTAACACTGCCTATAACTTAATTCGTCTGTATTTTAACAAAACCTTTATTTTCCTATAGTTCGGTTTTTAGGATTTTTTATCACTCCAAGTGAGGAAGTTGTTATTGTTAAGATTACAATTAATAATATTTCTCCTCGTTGCTTTCATTTATCGCAAATTTAATGGTTACTACCACTACATGCAAAAATCAGATAAGATAGACAAGAATGAAAGTGGACATAATTAGAACTGCAAAACTATGCAGGTTTGTATTGTTCAGAGGCAATTGGAAGGTCGAGTTATCAAGGACATATCACATTGGAAAAATATTTCCTCATTTGGCCCCCAATAAGTTCCGCTTTTTGCAGGTATAGCAAGTATTTTCTATTTGTTGTTCTTTTTTGTTGACAAATATAGAAAAGCTTGCATAATTCAAATCACGTGAAAAATGCGGGACCTACAAAAAAAGAAACAAATTTGTTGACTTCTCTCAACAAATAATATTAATCGCCACACCCAGCTAAATCGCTAAACAGAAAGCACCTGTTGTTTTTCGACAATGACCTTACTTTGCATTACTTACATCCTACGTAGACTGAAACGGCGGCTAACAATAAAAATAGCAAGAATATCGCTATAATTATGCAACCGCAGCGTGTTTGAGCCGAAAGCTTCTTCCTCGTGAACCTTATGTCGGAATCCGACGATAGGATTGAGCTCGGCGATCTTCTGAAGTTCCTGGTTCCTCTTATTGAGCTTACAGTACTGACAGACATCTGAAACGAGGAAAAATTCTTATAAATTTTTGAGGGTACTCCATCAAGACCAAGTTGTGCTATCTATTGAATGAAAAAACATCTGCAAAGCAAAGCAAAGGTAGTCTTTACTTTTATTGATTTTATAAAATACGTCACGTCAACTTTTGATTGAGGTATGTGATTATTATTGTTTTTTTTTTCTTTTGTGTGTTCTTTCATATCCAAGATTGGCTCTTAGTCGTAGGTTTTTATCTAGTATTTTTTATTTGTGCTTATTAAACATATTAAACGTTGGCCAAAAATCAGAGCTTTAATTTGTTATGTTAGAACCGATCTCCACTATTCAAGTTAGAACTGAGGAACATAATGGATATTAATTTTATTTTAAATATTTGGTGAAAATAATGTAAAACAGATATTAGAGATGTCAATGTCAAATTTTCCGCAGTAAAGCAAAAGAAATTTGATATTATGCAGGAATATTTCTCCAATTTCATTCAAAGCTCAGAATATCTTGAATTTGATATAGCGAGCAAGATTCAACAAAACAGATTTTGGGTTTGTATTTTGGTGCATTTTTATTTGAAATTTTATGCGTTATATCATTTATTTTTTTAAAGTAAAATGGACTTGTTTCTGTTATAAAAGACGAAAAGCCCAACATTTCCGAGATTAAGGAATTCATTGTTTGATGGTGCTTTTTCTTTGGAGTCGACTTTATTATTATTAGTATTATTATTATTTTGATATTACTATTAATTATTTTAATCTCATACTGGTTCTTAACATTACTTCACATTTTTTAGTGTGTGATTTGATTCACGCGCAAGAGACATTTTGTTTGGGGCATCTTTAGATAACCAAGGGTACCCATCGATGAAGGTCGCAAACATTTTAAAGCAGCACGTGGGTTTCTCTGCACCATACGCGGTAATAGATGGTTTCTACACATCCCGATGTTCAATTCAATTTGCAATGCAATATTTTGCAATATCCGACATTTAAATGTTATAAATATTGTTTCCTACGTGTTCATCTTTGATGCCGAATACGTTTCTTTTGTCTTGGCGGTGCACAACAAGACGCTGCTATTATTCAGGTGCTACTAAGAACAAACTTCGACGTAATTAGAATTACAGTTTTTTGTTAACCGTTACGCAAAACCTGATGAATTATTCAACATCTAAATTAGTATTTTGAAACGACAAAACTTTCTTCAGCAAAAACGTCTTCAATTAATACCATTGCCAAACCTAAACAAACCAATTAATTTTTTAGATAGAAGCGACACGATTTGTATTGGATGGTCTCTTGACTTGCACAACGGAGAGTCATTAATTGTTTTTAACCCTGCATTTTTTTATAACAATGCAGAATTAGAGGTTAAGCTTGATAAGGGATTTAATAGAGAACCTATACCTAACCTATATATGAAAGTAATTTTTAGTGAATGTGACTAGCTTTAGATTTTAGGCATAGCATGACTTTGTTGAATTTAAAATTGAACATTATAAATTGATTATGTTATGTTAGTTTGGAATAATTTTTAGCCAGTTCTAGTTCCACAAAAAAAGAGTAATATTTGGTGATATCAGTGGATTATTTCTTTAACAGTAAGCAAAAATATATTCTACGACTATGAGTTAACTACAACAATAATCATCTATTTCCATCAATGCTAGTTTGAATTTAAAACAATTTCTAAATTTATTGCCATTTATATATGCAACTAATACAAATCTATCAATTCTCCAGACTCGTTTCCACAAATAAAATGCAAAAAAAAATAATAGCACGTTCAGAAAAATCTGGAAAAAATATTGATATTCTAGCAGCCTATTAAAAAATCTAACAGTTGAGGAATAGGATACTAAATAATATATTCCTCGAAATTATGTATCAAGATTAATCAAGGCTCTAGTTGCACTGGTCCCATACAATAATAGAAAAAAAGAAAACAACAAAACAAATTTATTATCAACGGAACATAATATAAATTGCACCCACTTTTCCGACCTTGTGGAAAGCGAAATAAAAAATAGTATATTAAGCAACAAGTGCGGTAAACGGCATTTGACTCACGAGTTTATTTGACACGAGCGGAGCGAGTGTTTAATAAACGAGTGAGTTAAAAAGTTTACCCAACGTGTTGCATACTATACTTTTTTTACGACCGTTAGTTTTTAGGTACATTTTCGCAAAACATGAATACATTCACTGACATAACTGTCATAATTGACAAACGTCAAAATTCAAAGCGTGGGAAATATCTCCGAAAACATCCGATTGCTCCCAAAACCGTGCGGTAAAATCCCGGAAATGTCCGAATTGGCTCGGACTCGTGGGAAACAAAACTGACGTGGTAAAGCGGCGCTTTCCGCACGCTAGATCGGTGCGTAATTAGGTATTTTACAGACGGGACTAGAAAAAAGTATTTTTTTAATAACTTGAAACATTTGTGAATTTTTTAAATCATTATAAATCACTGGAAAAATCTTATAGCTACTAGAGATATAGGGGCTCTGTTTATGCCGATAACACAGAAACTTATGAAGCAACTATGAAAAAAGTTTTGGGAAGGTCCATTCAACATGCGCATGCCCGAGATTTAAAATTTCGGTTGACCTTGGAGAATTGAACAATCAACATGGCCGTAAGTTTTGATGCGGCGTTTTTACGGCAGAATTTTTTCAAAATGTGCCTAGATCTGGTTAAATGTTCTAGGAAAACGACTTAATTTTCCCTTAAGGAATACTTGAGGAAAACTCCAGGTGCTGTTGAATAATTAAGTTTGTATCTCCAGAATAATTGGATACACAATATATGCTCCAAATAGGTTAATTTAACCTATTCGGATTTCATTTTTGTCGATCGACGAGACCGGTTTATATTTTTAATTGTTGTAAATCACACCGATTAGTTATACTGACCTACCTTACCGTCCGTGGCGATCTCTTTCCGAGAAGAATTGTAGGTCATCGCACCATCCGAGGCAAATAGCAAATATTATGAGTGACGCGACTAAAAAGTTCCGTTATTTATTGTAGAACACAAGATTTAAAGATTTAAAAGTGCCAGCGTCAACCCATTAGTGTTTTAATATTTATATTGGAAAGTAGGCCGTTTCGTACATATTCGCTTAAAAATTCCTCCTATATACGGCCCACTAGGAAATTTACATCGTATAAAATTATTTTGGCTTTACATTGTAAGGAAATTGTTTATAGCGTTTTTCGTACAACTAATGCCTTTAGTGTAACTGGGTAAGCCTTCAGATTTGATGCAAATTTATTACATAATAACAATAGATAATTTAAATTTCGGAAATGTTAATTGTGATATTTGTTTATAAATAGTAAATAGCACAATTAACAAATATAATAAAGGCTGTGTTATCAAGGAGTTCCCTAAAAAATATTAAAAATCTGTATAAAAGGAGATTACTTTCGTACTTAGACCCAGTGAATGCTTAAAATAAAAAAAGAATGTGGGAGTCAAGGTTATCAAATTATACGCTTTACAGTTTTTGACTTGAATATTACATTCATTGAAACATTCACTTCATATTAACGTGTAAAAATTTTTGATTTGCCTAAAATCACGGAAATAAATTACCCACTTACAGAGTTCATTGAACTCACCTTTTCTTTTGTGTATTCACAAAACATTAAGTTATTTGCACAAAATATGTTTGCGGCAGTAGGTTCATTTGAAACTTTATTAGCTATTATCATTATTTCGTTAAACTGCGTTGACAAAGTATTTGTAAAAATGGATTTTATTGTTTCTATTTCCATTTACCGTAAATCTACTGACATTTATAATTGAAAAAAGTGGGAATTTTGCATTGATTTGCGTGTCACGTTAATGGGATCTTTTGAAGTGAATGCATTCGTACTCCTTTGCAACAAGGTACCAAAAACTACTGGCCGCAGAGGAAATATAAATCACGAGAATTATAGTAGAGAATCCGTTTATCAAATACCGTATAATAAACTTGGTTTTTAGTTTTAGTTAATATAATCAAAATTCCTTCTTTGCATCATACAATATGTAATCCATCAGGACGAGAACTCAAAAATTATCTCATTTTCAGGCAACACTTTTTAAATAAATTAAGCCAAATTCAGGATATATTTCACTAATTAGCAAAAATGTATTGCTGTAGATTCTACATATCCACTGGGCATGAAAGTTTGGGTATTCTTGCGTATGATCGATCATTTCATGCCACAAGCTTCACACAAGTTAACCTCGTAAGTGGTTTAAAAAAAAGAAATAAGAATCGAATGAGGAATCTCGACGAACTAATATACATAGTGGACCAGGTATATGGTTGACAAGATTTAACATTTGAAACGAAACAATTTGTTACGATATTACGATTGTAGCAAATCTACAAGAGGAAGAACAGGAATTTTAATATATGTGTTTAATAATTTGATTTATTTTTTTATATAACAATTTAGAGTAAGTGATTTTACTTGAATAAAATTGTAGTTTTTTCTGCCCTTTTACACCACAGGCTTTCGGGAATTTGCATACTCGCCCAATAAAAGCACTTTCGAGACGTGTTATACGGACACCGTGTGTCAAATCAAACGATCCACTATACGATCCGGAAACCCATAGGAGATACGAAAACAAGTTTCGTGCAAAAGTTTCTTGGAGCCTCCTGAAGATTTAAAACATTATAATTATAATTTTGTTGATACAGGGTCTCAGAAGTGTCCCCCGACATCACCTTTATTATTTTAAATGCAACACCCTGAATATTTCGACATTTTCGGAATGCTTGGTTAAAATAAAGGTCACTTTCTAAAGAAATTCCTATTCGAATTTTGCCTTAACAATTAACAAAATCTCAAGATTTGGAATTTGGAATGGAACAAGCAATAATTTTATTCAGATATCAATTCTAGGACAAAAAAAATGTAAGTTTGTAATTTATCCTATTATATTTAAATTTTACTTACTTTTTGAGATATTCGAGGTTTAAGATGACACCCGTATAAATTGAAATTAAAGCTGCCCAGATTAGGTCACTTGTTTTGAATATTAGGTATTTTTTAAACAACAAAGACATACTACTTTTTTTAAAGATACTACTCCAGATATTCGAATAAAACATATTGCTACAATACATGCTGTCTATTAATAAGTGGAGATTTTTGGGAAAAATCGACTCTAACAGATTTAATGACTTCAGAATTCATATTTAAAGAAATATTTAATAGTTAACTAACCTAGCTTGGTTGAAAATACCTAATAACAAAAAATAAATACGTAAAGTTTATAGGCTAACTAAACATTTAAACAAATTTGAATAAATAAATCTACACAACAAAAAAAAACAGAAACAAATAACTAACAGAAAACTTAATGATTGTAATATTGTAATGTATTTTCAATATATTGTCCATCTTCTGTAATACACATTGTATAGCGCTTCACAATGATGGACACCGCATTTCTAACAGCATCACTATTATTTAATGCAAGAACCTCTTGTCTAATTTTTGAACCTCGAATTTTTTTAAACCTCGAATATCTCAAAAAGTAAGTAAAATTTTAATATAAGATAAATTACAAACAAAACAAAAATATAGTGTGTGTGTTCCATTTGAAAATCCTGAGATTTTGTTAATTGAATTCGCCACAACGGCACCACCTATTTGGGACTCCCTGTATAAGCTGAGACGCATCTGTCAAACTGATTGAGTAGTGCATCATCTCCTTAGTCTGAGGTTAAATTTTCGGTGCAATACCTGGATCAGTAGCTTTACAACACAATTTTATATGGGGCAATCAAAAAATTAAAAAAAAAAAACGTAACCTCAATTTCTGCCTAAACTATGCAAAATTTGAATAGGAATTGCTTAAGAAAATGACCTTTATTTTAATCAAGGGTTCCAAAAATGTCGAAATATATAGGGTGGACTTTTTAAAATAACAAAGTTGATGTCGGGAAATACACTTTTGGGACACCCTGTATCAACAAAATTATAATATTTTAAATCTTCAGGAGAGTCCAAGAAACTTATGTAACAAACTTCTTTTCGTATCGCCTATGGGTTTCTAAATCGTATAGTGGATCGTTTTATTTGACACGCGGTGTACAGTATTTTTTTTTTATACTAAATCAGTGTTGTGCTACCGAACGAATATTAAATTCATACTGGGGATCAACGCCAATGTCAAAAAAATTTTACTTTATTTATTTAGTTGCTAGGGAAACCATCCGAACGTCACATGTGAACTATTTTGGGTGTAATATTAGGTCGAAATGTTACATACTGTTTTACATAAAGTTTTTGTTCCCCTTTTTTTTAGCATTCTGTCAAAATCACTTACGTACGCCATTGTCAATTACCAATAATACCAATTAATACTTTTTAATGTTAATTGTAGTTTTTAACACATGAGTGGTTATTTAAATAAAGTTTTTTCTTTACTTTTCCAAACAAACAAAATAAGATATATTTGTAATTCGGACTTCGCTAACCAATGTGGCGAGCCATTTCGTACGTTTCCGTTACTTTGGATACGGGTTTGGTAACTATTGTATGTTTTCGCTACATTTTAGTCACTGATAGTATTTTGACGTTTACCACACATCCCTCAGTGAATATACTCATCCCCTTTTGCAAGAATGTACCCAAAAATTAGTGGTTGTAGAAAAAATATACTGTGAAATACATTAAAAAATAAAAGTTCGTTAAAGTGTTCGTTATCCAACTTGTTGCATAGTATACTATTTTGAAAGTCAATGTATATTATATAGATATATCGTTCACAGTCGCAGTCCATGGTCAGTTTAATATACTCTTATACAGCTCACCCAAATATATCTTATAACAGCGTCAGCAATTTTTTTTTGCAAAAAAATTCTGTCGCAATCCCTGACGCAAAAATTTTTGAATATATTTTGCCTTTGTCTTTTTTTTTCTCTAAGTTTATCACCGCGTATCTTGAAAAAGAAGTAATTTGGGAGATCCTTTTATAAATGATTTTTATTCATAAAAATTGTTTGCCTCTCAACTATTAGAGATAATCGTAAAAACTTGACCAACCCAGCAGCAATTAACTCTATACAATTGAATAATAAACATTATTCAAACCTTTATACACGTTAAGGCGTTTTATTAGTAAGCGCAGATTAGATTTTAATGTCTTTCCAGGGTATTTAAATAATGTTTTTCTACTTGCTACTCTATAGTACTACTCAATCATGCACCGATCAAGCGGAAACTACCACTTTAAGAAGCCAAAGTCGTAAATGATTGTCGCGAGCCACTTTGGCCAATTAGACACTTACTACTTTAGTCGCGGTTTTAGTATGGGCTCTTTTCGGCAGATTTTAGACATACCAAGAACAAAGGGTCAAGGAAGGATTCTAATAGCTATAGAGGAATAAGCCTATTGTGCAACAAGGTTTTAGATATAACCGATCCACAGTGGACGCCATATTTATTCCTACGCAACTAATTGAGAAGTTATTTAATTTAATTTAATAAACACATATTTGTCTGCTTTGTGGATTTGACGAAAGCATTCGACAGAATAAATCTCCAAGACGTGATTGATCGATTCTGGTTGGAAATAACATTCACTCCAAATATATACAAATAATCAGAGAACTAAATGTTAACAATAAAACACGGATTAAAACAGAAAACTGCCTGACCCAAGAACTTATAATAAAGAGCAGTATCAGACAAGGTGACAGTTTAAGCCCTACCCTCTTCAACATGGTAATGGATAAGATAATGTGAAACTAATGAATGGCGCATATCGAATGAGAAATAGCTCTCTGAAGATTCTCTGCTATGCGAACCATGCTGTTCTTATAGCGGAGACTGAAGATGAGCTGCAACGACTACTACATAAACTCGAGGAAACTCGAATGAGATATAACGTGATCATCTCCACTGAAAAGACACAAGCTATGGTGATTAGCAATGAACCGATACAGTGCAAGGTCATGACATTCAGTTATTTAGGGGTCAGCATATCCAGCTCCAGAGATGTGATAGAGGCAGTTCGAGCACAAATTAATAAAGCGACACGCATTGGAGGATATCTGAGATACGCGACCTGGAAGAACAAATATATGTCAACTGAAAGTAAAGTCAAATATACACATACAAAACATGTGCCATCATATACCGCGCAGACAAGATAACTCAACAACAAAAAGAATGCTCCGAATCGCGGAAATGAGAATACTGAGGAATATAAGAGATCCGATGGGCAGCGAATCCAATAGAACAGAGCTACCAGAAGCTACCAAGAAGATACCAAGAAGCTAATGGTTGTAGGAAAAGTATAATATGCAACACGTTGAACTTCTTCCGTCAATCGTTTATTAAACACTCGTCCGCTCTTGCAAAATCCTGACTAATGTGTCGTTTATCAAACTTGTTGCATAATATACTATTGTTCTCTCAAACGGACGGTTAAAGGCCCAAACAATTGATTTTTTTTTTAAATGCCTCAAATGTGTAAATTGAAAAAATATGCCATTCCGTGCACGAATGAACGTTGACATTTTTTTTACATAACGTTTGCAACATTCCATCGACCGCAGTTTGGTTTAAATTCGGTGCCTGTAGCGCGAAATTTGTTATTGTTGCGACACCGTCTATAAAATAATAGCAACATTACTCGGTTTGAAAGTTGCGGCCGACTGGCGGCATTTTGAACACGACCCGAACTAAGGATACATAAAAAAATAGCTGACATTTAGCCATTTTGAAGAATATGGTTATCCGCCTCGAGCGAAATGGTAAAACACGGCGAACGATATTGGAAAGTACAATTTATGGCGGAATATTGTCGGAAAAACACAGACTATTGATCGGCACGTAATATTGGCCTAGTTGTGAAAAAAACTTAAATTTAAAGTAAAAGACCGCAAAAAGAATGTTAGGAGCCAAAAAAGTAAACACAAATAAATACATTTTAAGAAATGAAGCAGATAAAACATTTTGCCTCAGAATTGGATAAAGAAAAGTGGAAATGTAGTTGTCGAAATTATTTTATTAATAAAGGAAACTAGTCGAAACTATTACTACTACTAACTATATATCTTTGTGCTTTTTGGTTGACCATATATAGAATGCTCTTTCAACTAACTATCATGTCGAATTTAACTTAACCAACTACAAATTAAATAAAGGGACACAAAGTGTGATTTTAGTTTTCTTTTAAAATACATTTTTGGGCAAAATATCTTACGCAAAGTTTTTAAAATTATCTCCAAATAATTAATTTAAAAACAGTTGGTTTTTCGCAAGTATAATTTTGTCAGACTAATTTAATTCCAGTGATAATTATATTTTTGATGCGAAGCAAAAAACACAATTCAAATGACTCGTTAGTTTTAAATAAGTAAGTTCTTTTTATTATTGGCTTTGTATGTAATGTAAACTTAAATATACAAATAGGCTCAGTATGGTTGGCACGCGTAAGCTACAGTCCTAAGTTTTATTTTAATTATCTTAAAATCAAGTTGAAGAAATGCTCTCTTAAAAGGTGTTCTTTTTGGTTTCTTAATTAATTATTCGTTGTTGGTAGTCTAAGATGCGGCTGAACTCGAACAATACTTATTGTTTTCCAAATATCATACTTGATTGTAGGTACACTACTTCTCGATTTATATTGCGTCGGGTATGTCAGTTGTCTGAAACTAAAGAAGTCAGCCGCATGTCAGGAAATATTGTTCAAGTTCAGCCCCATCTTAAAGCACTGAGAACAAAGATAGTTAAGAAAACAAGAAGAACTCTTTTTAGGAGAGTGATTCTTGGTTACTTTATTAGCTCTCTCTTCAGGGAGCTGTCTGAAACTAAAAAAGCATGTTGGCCGAAACGTCAACACGACTTAAGAGAAAACCAGAAGAGTCCTTACAAATTTCACAGCCCGCAAAAATTCTTCGAAAAGTCCTACTTACATTATTATATTAAGCAAATAATATATTAGCAATTAAAGCTAATTTTCTCACCTTGGAATCCCAAGAATTTTTCCGGTGGCTTTTGTGATCCATGGAAATTGTCATTATCGTTAATTACTCGGACAGGAAAGCCATTCGACCCAGATATTTCGGATGCACTGCTCGGTTGACACACTTGCTGTTTGTTTACAATTTTACTCAAGTCACGTCACGATGAGTCGATGTTTAACTGTACCAAAATCGCGTTAACAAACTACACAATCCATGTTACTAAACACTTTGGGAATATCTTGTCGATTATTGCTACACCGATTCGTGTCCGTGTTCGGAGACAAGGTTCTCACACATGACTTACGGGGTTTGTGTTGTTCTCGTGATTTTCACTTCAACGTATTGATCCTATCTGCAGCGGTGTGACTTTCTCCTGCAACAGATTAATAATTAAGATTTATTAATTTATATGAATATAAGTTGGAGCGCATTAAGAAGTCAGTTAACGACGTATCACGTTTGAGAATAGAAAATGAACACGCAACGCGTTCAGGGTGAAATCATTCGGTTAAACAATTCCTTATTTTTATCAAACGCCCTTTTTAAGGTAAAAAGTTCGATGTTTATTCATATAGATCGGTCGTAGAACTCACAGAAATCGATACATCTCACACAGTTTTATATTACTCGGAAAATTATAATTCTATCTACTCAAATTTGAGTAACCTCGGGGTTACAAGGTCCTTCTCTATAAGGCTTTTGTTTATTTATTTCATTTAATTGTTTGCAAAAAACAACTTCTTTTTCTTTATAGCCTGTTGAAGCTTGTTGGAGAATAACTTACAACTTAAAATTATTGCCCCTAAATTTAATTCAGCCATCAGCAAGTCGCTATATTTTCCCTCTTCCTACTCTAAAATACCCATTTTAAAACGTTAGCTTCAAGTCAATTAGAGCGTTTCAGATCCTTTAGTCACAGGATGAAAGCGATTGTCTGTTTTCGATAGATATTCAAAGCTTTTGTGGTATTATTCTTGCAGTAATTTTCATCGTGTCGGTTGTAGAAGAACTATATTATATAACTCATTTATACATTTCGAAGAAACTTCCACTGGCTACTGTAATACTACTTACAAAAATTATTGAATAGAATTTGCTGACGTTTCGCCAATGATCCTGTGGACTTCGTCAGAGGTTAGCTGAAACTGTCGGCCAGTTAGATTCAACAACAACCGGCAGGAGGAATCAAGAAGTTTTGTAAATAGTAACACATTTACCTACTTCTTCAGACAATCGTGTATTAAATTATTATATTATATGGTTTATAAAACTTCTTACATAGTACCGATATTGATTTTCGATGCTTGTTGAGCTATATCGCATCCCTATTTGAAAATTCTGAAAGAAGAAAGAAACCATCCACCACTACTACGACCTTGTTAAAGATTAAAACGTATAATAAAATTCAACGAAATTTGGAGGATCGTTTAAAAACGAAATACAAAATATTAATAAATAATAATTAAGTGAAAAAATGTAATTTTGCTTTTAATTGTTTTTGCTTTTATATTTGAGCATTCTTGGTTATAATTTTTTTTTCCGTAATACATAAGCAAACAACAAGAAAAAGCATACAAGTGTAGGCAAATGAGAACAAACATTTATTTTTTATTTCAATTTTCTCACTGACGGATGCTTCTTTGAAATTAAATATAAATCTAGCTAAAAATAAATTTTATAGAGACGATCTTTACTGTAATAACGACCAATCGACAAATAAGCGATTCTGTTCTAATCTATTCTCTTCAAATGAAAATTTTTATTTTTATTTCTAAAACATTCCACGTGTTATGTGGTGTAGGCAGAAACGGCACTTTTATGTAATAATGGCTGACTCCTCATTTTGGGTCAATTTGTACAATGCAGAGTTCGAAATTTCGGCTAATACATAATTAACCAATTAAATGTGGGAATTTCGTTTTGTTCCGTGTTATATAATTAGTTGTTGCGAGTGAGTTTAACAGATTTCATTAATATATTAACTAAGCGAGGATTTACGAATTCATGTTTTCCAAAGAACTGTTTCTCACAATAGAAAATTTGCACGATACCTTGTTGGTCAACATAAATAGCACTATCGATTTGTAACAACAAAACATACCGATACTTTAGAATCACTTGCTAAGGTAATCCTTTCTATGACATTTAAGGAGCCGTGATGGAACGTGAACAGAACTAACCTTTATGTACCAAACTGGACCCGTTTTATTATGGCACGTTTATTTTTTTATTAGAGAATAGTTCTCTTGGGTGCGGTAAAAACGAAATAATATTGGAGAAACATTGCCAAAAAAATATTCAATACTGTAGGAAACGTGGCCGCGATTTTAAGTACACTTTCAAACATTATTTTTCATGTTAATAACGATTTCGATATATTATATATTTACTCTATATTTCCTGTTTTATAATCAATTCAAAAAGTCACGGACTGGTGTAGTCTCCCGAAAAACAATGAAATTCTTATGGAAGAATGCCGCAATCGTTATGGTCTTATTATAATGCGGTAGGTGCGTTTGTGGGCAACGCAGAATCGTTACTGTTACTCCTTTCGACGTACAGGGTGTGCCAATGGTATACCTACACTATAGGAATAGATTCTCTGGTGGTGCTAAAAAACCCAAAACCTTTTAGTTTCAGGACTACAGCGCATAAATTACTTTTTTCTACTTGATAGAAGGTTCAGTACTAGTTGAAAAAATTCTTAAAAAATAACTTTTTGTTTTTGTTGATAATATTTGAATAATATTACATTAAAAAGTAATCCTTACACACAAATTATGGAAGTAGAAAGTAACCACACAAATTTACTTTTCAGTAAAAAATTACTCATTGCAAACTTTTAATTCAGACATTTACAGACCTCCAGGTTAACACAAAGTAGTTATTTTGTTGTCGGTAGTGCACCACGGAATATTTGTTGTGATTTCTAACATTTAAATCAATTTCCACATTTGCCTTTGAATTTCAGTTTTTTTTTCTATTTTTTCTTCTTTTTTCTTTTTCAAAAATTTTTTTGCAAGTACGATCGCGCAGACATCCTTTCAAAATATTGTTTTCGAAATAAAGGGCCAATTGATTCTCCTTTGTTCCGCCTACAACGCAAAAGGAACTGAAAATCAATTATTTAGTTTGATCTGACCGAGAAAGAAAATATTTCGCCGCCTACCGAGACTTTCGTTGCTTTCTTCTGCCAATCTCCTCGACTTTTGTTTCACGTTTTTCTTATTGGATTTCTTTGTTCGTGCTCCAGATTAATTTGACCGATAAAGTTTATTCATTCGTGAAAATTGGGTGTTGGTAAACGCTCAGGTTGCACGAGTGCGAGGCGGCGATATGGGTATAATACCGTTGCAATTACGTTGCCGTTGATCGAAGTAAAAGTACCTTTTATTACAAATAATACAGTTATTTTAATTTATATACCCCTCTCGTGCAATGTGATTGCTAGTACCACGGCAAGAACATGTTTCATAAATAAAAAAGGTATTAGAAAAATTTTCAATTTATTCAAAGGGATATACTGTCTTCCTGACTCAGAAATATGTAATTACGTCTCACTGAAAGGAAGTCAAGCTAAATAAAGGAAGGTTTATCATGAAACCATGAAGATGAAGATTTGAATTGATGGAATCAAATATTATAATAATATCATTTATTGCATCTAGGAGAAACCTCCATTAAAAGAAATAAAGTGGCTTACATAAACTACAAAAGTAAAAGAGAGGTAAAATATAAGAAACAAAAATAATATTTTTTATAAAACTTCTGGATTCATTCTGCGTCGGTTTCTGTTGAGTCGAACAGTTTCAGTCAAGCTCTGAAGAAGCCAACAGGATGATTGGCGAAGAACGAAAAAAGTAGTAAAGACCCTATTCATTTGTAAGGTTGCATAATGTCTTCTTACCAAATTAAGCAGCAGCTGATTAAATTTTTAGAGTTTTATCGCAATTTTTGGTCTCTTTTACTGCTTTTTCGAGAAAAACATGAGCGCTACATATGGCAGCCTAACCGTAGTGCTAAACTATCTATTACTGCGCGCGCAAATAGCATCTGGCACCCATTCGTTGGCTGCGAGAAAATATAATTTCTTAGGCAGAGATAAATATCAGAAAACACTACTATAATTTATAATAATTTGCAAATGTTTTTTATTTTCAAACAGTTTCATTAATTTCCTACGTGAGAACAGCATACGTATCTAGATATCGATGACACATTACGCTGAGTTCGCTGAACTGGAAAGTGGCAAAAATAATTGCGTTGACTATAACAGATAAAATAAACCACAACAATCGTATGATTGCAAATTATTGATCGGTGCAACTGCATTCACCCGTTTAACGGTAATACGAGGGATTGTGCAAAATCTCAATTGAAATCAAATTTCATTTAATATACCGCTTTTGATTTGACGATTGCCGAAAAATATTCTTCTTTCCTTTGCAATAAATAGTACCTAATAATAAATGTCTAATCTGTAAAATTTACAATTTGAATTAGAATGACAAAAGAATTGATGTCAAAAATACAGCCTGCTAATTGATTAATTTTTTTTTATTAAAAAAATGGTTATTTTAACAAACAGTAATTAGATATCTGGATTAACTCCATACAATATTTGACCGCAACAATTTTTATCTACTCCCCACTCTAATATAGCCAATTATGCACAGATCTAACCTAAGAAGATCAAAATGTTTCTCTACGTTCATAATATTCGACAGACCGGTAATAGATGGTGTATTATTTACGTATTTGATCCCAAAAAACAACTTGGCAATCCAATTCTTAGAGTCTGATCATTGCGCATAACCGTTCGGGCTTATGTTACTTTAACAGTACTCGCATTTAGCGACTGGTCTTACACGGCGATACTTGTTCGTATTAAATCAACTCTCGTTAATTTTTATATAAACCAGTTAGGTAGTTTTGTCAAGAAAGTTAAATTCATTAAAACATTTACCGTTACAGAAACCTTGTAATATAGCTCTTAATATTTGATTATTCGTTTCTAGTTCTGCCATTATTGTTCATTTACTGGACGTTTAAAGTGTTATGATTTATGTTTTAAGTGTGATATAGCGGTCCATTAGATGGGTGACTGACTTAGTAATGGTCGGCCAGACAGTTAAATTGTTTCCATTTTGTTATAAGTTGTTTCCTGTTATAAGAAAAATTCAGTCGCATTCAAGCATATTTAAAAAAAACTTTTAAATCTAGTCCTGTTTTAAATTTTATTTGATGGTCTATGTAATGACTAAATAAACTGTCCATTATTATACAATATATAATGTTTTGGAAAATGTTGAAGGGCCTAAGCATAATTAATTAATTATTCTATAATGCATATTATTTCAAATAATTCATTAATCGGACAATTAATTTTTCGGTTGTTTATTTGCTCTAAAAAGTAATCTAGCAATCATTAACAAGATTGCAGTCCTCTTTACCAGATGCGGCATATAAGGAATACGAAATAAACGATTCTAGAAACTGAAGAAAGTAGACCGAAGAAAGCTCCTTCCTGCAGGAAGTGCTCATATTCAAAGTCGAGTAGCTCACGTTGTATTATTATTAAAGCGCGAACCAATCAAATCAATTATTTACGTTAAAAATGCACGTTTTCAATATCGAACCGTTATATTATTATGTTAAAATTCTTAACCTTGCTTTTCGTATCATACTTTCATTATTATTTTTTGTACGGTGCATAAATTGGTTTGAAATAATTAAATTATTTGTTGCCTCAATTATTTTACGTCGCCTTTTTATTAAAATCATTGACATTATCGCTCCTACAGACTCAGGGGCTACATCTATTCTAAATTCCGAAGACATGAAAAAACGTTGACAAGGAACATTCAATATGCGCATGCGCGGGTCATCTCAAAATTTTCAGTTTCAAGTCTCTCTTTCAATCAATAATAATAATAATGATCGTTGACAGTTGACGAACGAGAGTTTTTAGTTTGGATGTGCCATTAATATACCAAGAAAAATTTGAAATAAAAGATAAATGTGTGGAAATCCTACAATGGGTTGGAGCACCCAGCTCTGAAAATTTATGCCTTCTAATTAAACAATTCAAAGTCTTAAAACTGAAAAAACGCAAAAACCGCGGGTGTGTGGCGGAAAAAAAAGAGCTCGAGGACATTTTTTTACAAACTATTTCGTGAGGTTGAATAATACTCGCAACATTATAAGACAAATTGTCGTGACTTATGCCATTCGCGGTAGTTGATGGAGGCGATTATATTACCCCCGATTGCCCCTGGTAATTCTGCAACTATAATTTGAAAAGACATGAACTTTATAGACTTCCTGGCGAGGCAACGAACGAAAATGTCAGCCAGTAAACGGAGAGGTCAAAAACAGCTTCGGGTCAGTCAAAAAATGCGGGATCTGCATTACTTTGATTCGAGCGACTGGAACTGTTTTAAACGTCCATTCGTGTATATTTTTTTAATGCTTAGAATTTAAACAACATAATCCCCCGTTTTTCTTTATCGTTACTATCATTTTAAAAACTTTGAAAACGCTCCGTTGTTATCAAAAAACATCAGATTCGTTCGAGTAGCTATTAAATATTCTAGAGGCCTATGCTTATACTATACTTTTGCAGTCAACGTCGCATTAGATGTTTCGAATTTCGATTCCGGCTTTTTCCTTTAACCCCACATGACATAGCAAAAAGTTTGGTATATTGCGATTAAATTTGGATGGTGTTATATGAGACAATTTTATATTTTTTTACTAAAAATTAATGTTACATTATATAATTATTAATAATTAATAATCATTATATAACAATTATTATAATAAATAAAATTATAATAATTAAGTTAATTATGCATATCCTTAAATTTCCCAAATATGTATAATTGGTAAAACATTATACATATTTGGGAAATTTAAGGATAACGGAGTGTTCACTATACAGTGAGTATAGGGTGGGCCGTTCATCTTGGACACTACTTGGGAAACCTTAAGCGATGATGGAGCCAAAAGTTAAATTCAGTTAATTCAGGTATTACAAACATTTATATTATTTTAATTTCGTATATACAGGGTGTTTCATTTTTCGTGGGCGAGTTTCAACTTTCTTATTTTAAATGGAACATCTGGTATACTACTTCATTTTTGAATTCATACAAATTTCTAGATATATGTCACCTAAGTATAACCGTTTTTGACATTTTAAAAATTTGTTCATTCGGAAGCATTTATTGTTTCACTTAAATAAGTTTTTTGGTGACGAAGGACTGGAATAACGTACTTCCTAAGAAATTTCGATACATATGGCAAAATTATAAAAATGGGTAGTTTCCGTTTAAAAAAAAAAATTTTTGGAAATTTTTTTAATTTCATTTTTAATCTTCTTTTTCGCGTACCATGTATTATTATGAATCGACTTAGGATATATACACAAAATGTTTAGAATTTTGTATAAAATTCAAAAATGAAGTAATATACCAGGCGTTCCATTTAAAATAGGAAAGTTGATACTCGCCCACGAAAAATGAAACACCCTATATATACAACATTAAAATAAATTGAAGGTTTGTAATACCCCAATTAACTTTTGTTTTTATCTTTTGGCTTCATTCCCTATAGTTTCTGAGATAAGGTAGTGTCCCTATATATAAAGTCCGTCGCCCCCCTCTAACTGTTGAACTCTTTAGTATATTGCGATCAAATTTGGGATGGTATTGTATGAGACAATGGGTACTAAAAATGACATATGACAGTGAAAATGACGGCTTGACATAGTTCCGGTTTTTTTTCTATGACCCATAGGACACTTTATTTTCAATGTCTCTTTATCCCTAATTCAAATCTTAATTATGAAGACATTCAATTCATTCATTTTCAAATGGCCAGCGGTTTGATTTAATTGATTGATGATTTAATGATTAATTTAAAAAATAACCAAAAAATAAATGAATGCTAATAATAAAATTTTCATTGAAATATTATTAGTCGCCATTTGAAACTGAACTAATCGAATGTTTTCAGAAAAGGCCTTCAAAATTAAGTGTCACATGACCCACTAATCCAGAAAAAAATTAGTCGAATCTATGCTAAGCCCTTATTTTGACTTATGGAAATTTCATTTTTTGTAAAAAAAAAACATAATGAGCATTGTCTCATAGAATGTATTTCAAATTTCATCGCAATATACTGAATTGTTTAAAAGCTAGAGAGTGGGGGGCGACAAATTTAATTTTCGGTTTCCTTTTAATAATTCAGATATTATAGACTATAGAGGATCCGCGGAGATCAATATAACTTGTAAACCAGTTTGGTTCATGTGAAAATCAACATCATCGTACCATCAGGAATATATTTTTAAGAAAAGAGAAGAAAAAGATTGAAAAACAAAAAAAAAATGGATCATTAGAACAGTTAAAAAAGTAAAGACAAAGTTGTAGAAATTCAAAATGAACAAAAATAATATTTATTATAATATTAATAAATTTACCTTTTTTACCGTCGACCACCACAGTTGAAAATTTAAAAATGAATTATTCGCTAATGCTTTTTTTTTCATCTTTGTCTAGAATTTTTTGGTAAATATTTAATGAAACCACGTCAAAAGTTATGTATTTTAAATATTATTCTAAAATTTAAATAAGTAAATGTTTAATTTTGTGCGCTAAATATTAAAATATTAATTTTATTTATAAAAGAACTTACATACTTTGTATACGGTATAAGTTCCAACAAAATGGGTTTCACACCACTGATCACAGAGTACCAACGGTCACAGAGGTCAGTCACAAAAAAGGGGGCTAGACGCACACGAAAACTTCGCAAGCGGGTCGAAATATACGAGAACGCTTCCGTCTGGCGACGAATGGTAAAATGCGCTCTCTTGGAAAAGGCAGGTCTTCGCGCTAGTCTACCTCCGCGACACCATTCTCCAAATATACACACGCATAATCGGTGGTCAGTTGCCCCACTGTATCCATCGAAGAATGCCAATTTAAGTGTAAATTCCTCGTTCCGCTATTCCAAATTTTGAGAAAAATAGATGTCCTTACCTCATATCTACTGTTTCTGGATACTACCATTCAAATATTTTTCCGTATGACAATTCGATATAATTTTTTTCCTACAGGCCTTCCCTACGAAGAAATAACCCAAGGGGTCCAACTGGAAATTCGTTTTTCATATGTTTAGTTTATTAAGGGCGGAGACGTAGCAGCGGAACTTTTTAACACCCTGCATGATAAAGACAAAAATAATAATATAATATAATAAATAATAATAATAAATATGTCTAACTACAAAAAAGAAAAAAATATACAATTATACATACGATAAGATAAAGTTTACAATAATAATTGGTATAACAACGTAGTACATAACATATAAAAACAAACAGGAATAAAAATGAATAAAAGGAAGATACCGAACACAAATAAACAGTGGCCACCATCAAGAATAGGGTAGTATAGTAATATCCTTTATCTTCTGTTTGTATTCCTCTACAGAGTAAAAACAATACTCCAAAAAAAAAAATTATATTTTGGTTTTAAAATTTGTAAATAGCAAGTTTGTAACTTGAGTTGGAATTGAGTTGTTGAACTTAGGTCAAGAGAATTTTTCATGCTTTTGGTGTATTTAAACTTCATAGTTCGAAGCAAATTGAAGGAGCAAGTGGGATATTTATGATTATCTGTATTTGTAATACCTTGAAATATCTTGTGATATATGTATACCGATCGCAGTGGCATAACGCCAAGATTCTAAAACTACGGTTGATAATGGTCTCTATATCCTGCGTTGGATATAATTCTGATCGCTCTTTTTTGCATACGAAAAATTTTTATGGACTCTGCCCACAGAGTATAACAAAATATGAGAAAATTGTATGAAAAAGAGCATAGTAGCTCGAAACTAGACAATTCTTTTCAAAAAAGTTGACTCCAAGAGAGCCTATCATCCAGGACCACATCCAACAACCCCGCAGATCTTCCTTCCGAAATATTTACATTTGTTAAAAACACTAACGAGTAAGTTTTATCCTCATTCAATTTTAGACGATTCACTGTAAATCACATATCTACATGTTCTTTCGCAAACATTTGCGTTTGATGTTTTAAATGTAGAATCGTGTGCAAAATTAACTGCAGCTACAGGATCCATATTGCCAAAGAGGTCATTAATATAAACTAAAAACAATAATGGACCCATAATGGAACCATGTGGAACTCCGTGCATTACATTACGTAAACTTGTCATTTTATTTTTTTTTCCACAGGCTATTGTAATACTTTTCGTAAAACTTCTGGATTCCTCTTGCGTCGGTTTCTGCTGAATCGAACTTGCTGACGTTTCGCCAATCATCCTGTCGACTTACTCAGTTTCAGTCAAGCTCTGAAGAAGCCAACAGGGCACAACTTTAGATATTTTAAACACCTTCGAATATATTCCAGTGAATTGGCCCAAGAAAGCACTGCTTTAATAGAGTAAATTGAAAGTATAAAGAATTTAATTGTTTTCTTCGTAGCGACGGTCTGTAGGAAAAAGATTATATGAGCTGCTCACATTTTGCCGGTTATCCGATATAACGCAAGTGATAAAAGAACCCCCTTAATCTTTGGTGAATTTTAAGAGCACTCTTTCCTATAAAGTTTTAGCTTTATAGGGCGGTTCATTAAAAAGATAAGAAAATAACAAAACAGCGGACATTCATCACATCTATTTTTACGAATGTTAACCACAACTTAAGTATTTTGCTTAAATTTAAATGCTCCAGTGGCGGAGGTACTGATGCTAAATTTTTTCTGAAGAAAATACTACAACACTCTTATGAAAAAGCATGGATTTTTTTACTACAACGTAAAAAACGGCCTAACGGTCTAATATTCTTTTGCTGTGGTGGGGATAAATGTGGTTCGAGTCATTTTTTGTTTATTCCACGAACTAAACAGCATAAAAAAAATTACAAAGAACACAAACATATTAACAACCCGCGTGCTAAGTCTCAAGTTTGACTAATCAGAATAAGAATTTGGTGCTTAAATCACAACCCGGAAACGTTTTATTCCTGTTATTTTTTACTGTATGTGCGCATACCAGAACGTGACTTCCATTTGCCTAAAAAAGTTTAAAATTTCGTTAGCTCTCTTTTGCAGTATAACGCACATTAATTATTTAAATTATGATTAAATTATTTTAAGCTTTTCCAGTTTGGATGGCGGCTGCTGGGAGCGTCTAAATCAAACCACAACTACAATTATCAGAAATGTATTATTCTATAAATTGCATGCATATAATGATTCAAAAAGGCAGTGCCTTTTGATAATCAATTTCTACCCTGTTTTTCAATAAATTCTTTAGTCGATTAAACGAAAAACATTGAAAACACTTACAAGAAAGGATGATGTTGATATAATGGACGTAAAATATAAAGATGTAAATTATTGTCAACAATACAGAAAAAAAAGGTAATCTACAAAAAAAATCTAGGTATAAATATTCTTACAAATACTGCTTATACTAAAATATAGATAAAACTCTACACATTTACTGTGAAATAAAAAAAAATCAAGGAAAATGCTTCATCACTTATAAAATTGCAAAAAGTAATCACTACAGCTGAACGATTCAGCTAGGTTTTCTATAAATTAAGTAATAAAAATTAATAGAATTAATTGGTAGACAAAATTGAAAGTTTTTTTTTTTTGAGTTATCCTCTCCATATATAAATCGGCAATTGCAGTGAAACTTGTATAAAACACACTGCGAAAGTAAATAGGGGTACAATTGTTCAATTGTATTCAACAGGAAGCAATGCGTGGTAAATCATCACACCAACTAAGAAAAAATTTTCAATTTTGCCGCAACAAAAATGAACACAGAATAGGTCTTACACCTAAATGATTACACCAAGGTGCCAACAGACTTGTCAATTGGAAAATCCTCACATTAAAATAAAGAGTGTATTTCAATAAAATATGGCAAACAGGGTCGTCCACCTGGTGACGAATATACGAAGTAATGTAAGTTAGATCGCGCCATTTATGGGGCAAATTTTACAATGTGTGATTTTAAGGAATTTACAAGTCTGTATCGTACCAAGCTGCCACTTGGTTGTTATCTTGAGGTGGGGTGGGCAATTGATCTATGGTATCAAAATTAAGATCATCAGCTCCGGTTACATCCATAGCATCTAGGGCGCCGTATGTTGAACCGTTGCCCCCAGCATGCGAACCTATTTCAAGACCCTGCATGTCTATGGGTATCGTGTCATACCCTATAAAAATAAAACCAATTATAAACCAGACTTTGCGTAACAATGTTCTTTCGAATTTAAATTACCAATATTCAAGAATGACCACTATAAAAATAAATGAACCAAACAAAAAAGTAATGTAGTTCATATTTTGACATATTTTGTTGTTTATTGTTTCCCTGGAACAATTCATTCATTTTTATTTTCTACTTATATATCCACTTTTCTTATAGTAACAGAACAGCAACAGAAGACAATATTTCCATGAAATTTTTGCTGCACACAAAATTATATTTGCAATAACCCTATACTAAATAACGAAATGAACATATAAAACTGTGAAATACAAAATGAAGGTCCAATCCAGTGGAAAAATCTTATAAAATACATTTTTGTTTTGTAAAACATGCAACAAAGACTAAAAACAGCTAGCCATAAAAAATATAAAAAAATAGAAGTTAAAGATACTGGCATGCATACAACCATCACCTCATTTTGTTAAGCTGTTAGCTTGCCTGTCTCTAGGGTCCTGAAAATTGTTAATTTACTGAGAAATCATTTTAATTCTTAAGTACCACGAATAAATTAAAGAAAAATGCGGCCATGAAATAATTTAGCTTTTTTTTTATAAAACAAAAAAATGTTATTCCCTCAATATGATATGGATTCAGAAGAAAAGTCGAAAAGTAACAGAAGAAACGAAACAATAATTTTTCTTTTCGTTAGTACACAAAATGTTCACAAATAGTATGACCAGAACATTTACCTTGCTGTTGGTATGGTCTACCACCGTGACTGCTATGTACGCTAGGTGGGCCCTGAGTGTACATATTATCATATGCTTGTTCAGGACTCAAAATATCCTAAAATAATTAACAAAAAACAATGCCAACAAAACGAAACCGAAAATAAAACAAACTAAATGTAAATCAACATAAATGTAAACAAGAATGAAACAATAAACGCTATTCATAGCAAAAAATCACATACCTTGACTTGCATCAAATTAATACCCTTTGCTAATGGAAAAACTAATTTACCTGAAAATCAGCCCCCATACCAAGGTCGGGATTCCACAAATTCTCTTCGCGGAATAAAGAACTGGACAGTTCCATGGAGAGACGCTTTTTGTAGTCCTGTGGCTTGTCCTCGCTCATGCGGAACAATACAGCAGCAGCATATGTTGCAACGCCTAAAGGAAATGAGAAGCAGAAGCTATAGAAGACATATCAGTCCAACAATGATTGAAGTTTTTGTCATCTACAATCCTTATTCCGCATCTACCTTTAAAGACACAGATAGAACTGACATATGGCAGTACTCTTGTGAAATCATACATCTCCAGGTCGATTTTGATTTACTAGGCACTCAGTACATACTTTCACAAAATAATATTTGCACTTTATCAAAAATAAGATCAATTTTGCGAAAAGCAGACATACCCTCGTTTCTTGAATGCAAGAGTTCAGTTAGGGGCGCAGTGGCTCCTTCTTGTTCGATCATGTCAGCTCCTTCCTTGTCTGCAGCCAACTCGCAGAGGACACCGGCAGCCACGCGTTGTATATTCTCAATGTCATTGAAGAGCAATTGTACAAAGATAGGAACAACCCCCTGCTGTCTTATTTGTTCTCGGTTGTTCCATTCCCGAGCCAAAATGTGAAGCGCTCCCACAGTGCCTTCAATGATCTCCTCCATACGTACGCCGTCAGCATATGTACCAGGTTGTTGACTGCCACCGCTGGCCAAACTTGCGCGCTAGATGTAAAATCACCATCAATTTTAGGCCAATTAAATTAGAACAAAAAATATGACAATATTCCCACACCTATATAATCAGGTAGTAATGGAGTTTTAATTATGGGTGTAGGCCTATAAATTTAAATTTAACAAAAGAGACACATTTAAATACAATTGGATATTAAGTAATAGATTCAAACTTGGACATTTTTGAATTTAAATGAACGGCATAGTTAGAATTCAAACTTTTATTTTTATATGTTTCTTAAATGTTCTACATGTTTGTCTGACATAAATTTTGGGACATATGCCCGTTCCAACGTGTAGACTCCGGATTTTTGAGTTTTTTGTAGTTTGGTTTTGTTTTTTAAAAAATGTTCTCTGGTGGTTTCAGTTTTACACGCAATCTTAAGACCATATTTGAAATTTTCTGTCGAAAGTAGTATATTAAGCAATCTGTGGTTAAAAGCATAAAAGGCAGCTATTTTATGTGTGTAAGGGTGATTTTAGTTATTATGTATTATTGTGTCCGTGTGTGAGGGTTTATGGTAAATGGAAAAATCTAATTTGTTTTGTAGTTTAGTTATAGTTAAATCCAGAAAGATTAAAGAATTATCTAGTCTTTATGGTAAATTTTATACGGTTATATATGGAGTTAATACGATTCAAAAAATTGTCTTTCTTTTCCAGTGAACCAAGGAAAAACATCACTTACGTAACTATACCACCAGAGAAATCCTTTACGCAGAGGATGTTTGATGTATGACATTTTCTAAATTGTCCATGAAACTTTCGGCATGTAGTGGACTAAGTTGGTTGCCCACAACTAATCCTTCTTTAGCAATATAACATTGACCATTAAATTCAAAATAATTTTGGTCTGAACAAACTATTAAATTATCTAGCAAGTCTTGTTTTATGAGAGGGTTGACTTGCCCCTGTGTGAGAATATTGTCTATTATGTTTATTATGTCAGTTGGTGGAATGCTAGGAAACAGATATTGAGCGTCAAATGAAACTAGAATTGACTTAGGAGGAATTTTAATGTCTTTAACCTTGTTGATTAGTTTCAGGGAATTTTTGATAACATATAGGTTTAAATGCAATATGTTATTCTAAATTTTTTATTAATCTTGTTGAGAATTTAACTGATTGTACTGTTACAAAAGAAACTACAGGCCTTATTGACATATTCTGTTTGTGTAATTTAATTCAAGAATGTAACTTTGGAGGGTGAGGATTCATGAATATTAGCTAGTATTTTTCGCTGTCATTAAAAAGTGATGAATCTGATTTGTTTTTGATATAACTCGGTAGAATCATATTGTATACTTTGGTATATGTCTGGTTTAAGAAACTGTTTGGATTTTGTAATATATTCTATATAATAGATAGCAATGAGTATCTTTCCTTTATCTGCTTTTGTAAATACTATATTATTTTGGGAACCCTCAATTTAAGGTGTGGGAATATTGTCATATTTTGTAGTTGATAAAGGCACCGTGTTGACGAAACAGCTGTCATAAATCTTTAAATAACTGTGAAAATCTGAATACCTTTTTTGTTCTAATTTAATTTTCATCAAATAAAAGATACCTCAGTCCAATTTTAAGCAACCAAACCAATATTTATAAAGATGTTCTCACCCTTTGAGTGTCTTGATAAGCCCTCATTAAAAGTTGCACCAGGCAATTGATGGCACCAGATTCCCTCAAAGGGAAAAAGTTGTCCGGACACAATGCGAGATTTCTAATCAATCCGATAACGGCCTTCACCAATGGCCATCGGGATGGAGGATTCAATAATCTTACAATAACCGGTATGCCTCCAACCAAGCGGACTTGATTCTGTGCATATTCTGATTTATCATGCCTAGAAGTGAGATGCCTTAGAGCACAAATTGCGGGCTCTGTTATTTCCTCGCGATCTCCGGCATTCATAATTGTGCGTACCAATGCGGCGATTCCATCATATTGGCAAACAGTTTCTTTGTTAAACTGATTATTGCACGTTAAATTAGACAGAATACCGGCAGCGCAAGTGACAACGTTAACGTCCGAAGAAGCCAAAACTTGCACTAGTGAGGACAGCAATGAATCCAAACCATTAACTTTAGTAGCGGCGTCCGACAAGTTTCTTAAGGTCCAAAGACAGTTCTGAACCAAGCGCTGACTAGGATTGCCCAAATGCATGGCAAGAGCTTGCATGCCTCCTGCTTCAACAATAGCTGGTTTGTTGCTGGAGCAAACTGATAAAACCTAACAATTTTAACAGTTTTGTAATGAAATACTAATCTGCTGTGATATTAAAAAGTTACCTTTAAAACTCTAGAGGTTGTCCACAAAAGTTTTTCATAGTTGTAGGACCTCATAATCCTCACAAGTTCGACAGGCCCTTGGGAAGCAAGAATAATCAATTTGCTTTCCTGGTTTCCATATGCCAGAATTTGTAGACAATCTGTCACAATGGCCAAAAATTTGGTGTTGTTACGTTGCAGCAGGGCAACCATTTTTTGTAACCCTCCCGCCAGACGGACAGCCATCTTTGAGCCATCTTGGTGCAACAGTAAATTGTGCAAAGTTGTAATGGCATAGAACAATACACTTTCTACAGGGGAGCTCAGCAGTTTAACCAATGCAGGTATCCCACCACTTTTAAAAATGGCCAACAGACCTTGGCGATGGTGGGATAATTTGTGCAAAGTGCCTACTGCACCTTTGGTGGTCTCTAAATCATTAGAATTGGATATGGCTCGGACTAAAGCGGCCACCATCTGTGGACTATTCATAATAGCATGGCGAGAAGCTTCTTTCTTCGAAAGCTGATGCACCATCATAGCTGCTTGAGACACTACCACCTGATCCTCATCATTTAACAATTTAATCAATTCTGGAATAGCTCTTGTGGCTAGTTCAGCATCATCTTGGTAATTGATCAGATTTACAACAGCATGCTTAAGCATTTGACTTGGTTCAGCTAATCGCTGAACCGCTGTTTGGCTTTGCTGGTCAAACTGAGTAGATGGTATCTCAATTCCTTCCTCTAAAGTTTCAGGAAACATGGCAGCACGCACACGGTGTGAACGAGTTTGATTAAGTTGATTGTTCATATCATCTACCTGATCCTGGGTAAAGCCTTGATAACCACCCTGATCAAGGTCGAACAAGTCCATCTCCTCATCTTCTTTACCACTGAGGGATGGCACTTGAGTTTGAGCTCCAGAATGGATACCTGAATCCCCCATATATGAATTCTGCTGCCACATAAGGGTCTGATCCTTTGAGTTTGCCATTGGAAGATCTCCTGGCCCTTGGTAGGGCACTAAAACATTAAATATTTTTCAATTTAGTGAACACAGTCATTATAAACAATAAGTAATTAACTAATAGGATCTAAGATGATATAGAGGCAAATATGCATATTATACTTAGAAAATTGTAAGCAACTACCAGAACTTTCGGAACCACATCCACTCACAATGCATAATTATGCGCAATACCCAAAGAAATTGTTAAGAAAAAAAGCTCCATCATTCAGGCAATGCATTTTTGCAGCAGTGTTATTATTAGTTATGGACTTTTATATTTTGGCCAGAAAATAATATGTAAAGCAGCATCGAACACAAAATCCTTTTTGCATATTTAGAAAAATCCAAATTAGACACAATTATTTCACTTCAAAAATGTTTAAAATTGGATAATTTCTTTAATGAGGCAGAAGCTCACAGCCAGATTAATAAAAATGTGATAATAAAACGTTATTAAATATTTTAACAAATAGACCATTAAAAAATATGGTAAAAGTATTACTCACTTGTCCTGCTTTGATTAGAAGACATGTAGCTCATGATGAATAGGTGAAACACTCACACCTGCAAAGTAATTTCGAAGAATTTATTGAATCATCAATGCATGCATCTTTTCAACGAGTTTTGGTGGCAGGCATATTAACTATTTTAAATCGAAACGAATTGAACGACATTTATGACAGGAGGCAATTTCTTCCTCCATCTTGTACACAACAAACTTCCAAAAAAATTTTTTGTTCTATAACGATTTAGTCAGAAAACGATTGATCCTCGCTCACAAACGTATTCGAAAAAAAGCTACTTTACCTTCACCGAAAATTCGTAAGTTTCACTTATTCGTGCAGTAATTTTTTAACCACTTTTCGTTTTAAAATACACCACACCCGATCACAACACACAATGGAATTTTCAAACGATCATGCGCAGATATAAAGAAACCAGAACAGAAATCATGTCAATTTCTATAGTCAGTGAAAAATTGCGTCACCGGACAAAGACCTTTCAGAATAATCAAATAGCCAACAAAATTTAATATTTTATAAATAAGGAAATTTAAAAGATGCTGTTTGGATCATAACAGGACATTTCAACAACGATAAAATTTCAGACAGTCCTACCTTTTTTTGTGTATAAGCAACATACAAAACGACGAAGTTTACTTTTAAGGGCGTATAGGAGCATATGCAACTAATTATACACATTTACGCATCAGTGCCTGGTTTCGAAATTCATGTTCTCTGCTTTGTGTGTTGGCATTTTTCTAAACAAGTATATCTAATATAAAAACCTTTAATAGATACACATAACAAATAATAATACGCGAAAACACCGCCATCTAATGTCCACACAGAATTTGTTTATCAGGACATCACTTTATTAATTTTTTTTAGTTGTCCGGGAGATTTCTTTTTAGCCATAAAATCTTCCATGGTCGGAATCCTCGGGGATACGTTTTCTGAAACGTATTTTGCTTCTTTTATTTTCTTTTCCTTGTCAGCCACTTTCGGCTTGTTCCTTTCTACCAATTGGTTTCTTCGATATTGGTCTAAATATATGAGAAATTCGCGATATGTAAAGTAGGTTTTGTCTGGACCAATCCAGTTTCTCGCAGCAGGTTCTTGTAGGCCCAGAACGGTGTTCCAATGTTGAAAATCTTCATTTTCTTGACCGTACCAGTATTTTATGATGACGTAACTAAAAATACCAAAATATCCACGGAGTTAGATATACTAGTCTCATTAAAGATATGGACATACAATAAATTTAAGGAAGAAAAAAAAACAACATTGTATCTTGTTATTTCTAAGTAGGTACCTAGATTATGGTACAAAATGATTATTACTTACGCCAATCCATCGTCGAGCATTTTGCAAATCTTTGAATCCTTGGCCAGTTCCATGAAATCCGGATTCTCCGGATTTCTTTTGATATCGACCAGCTGCCACGGTGCCACGTTGCCAAAACGGACGCATTCCATAACATCGTGTTTGTGTTCATCCCTGACTTGGGGGTCGTGTTTTAACCAACGAACTGCTGACATGAATATCTCCATTTCACTAAAGAAGTAGATGGTAGGGTAAGGCACACATGCAATTAAAGCAGACATAGAATTAAAAAAAAAACAATAAATTTACAAAGTGTCAATTAAATATATAATTTAAGTCGATGTTTTCCTCCTTTCATTTTTTGTTAACCCCGTTACTGCCAAATTGGTTAAATAACATAAATAAATGAAAGACATCCCGAAGTTACCAATTAACACTGATGTAATTCGATTTCAATATATTTTTAACGTCTTCGATATCCATTTCCAGCCAATCTTGGGAGCTGACCAGGGTGAGGAAGAAATTTTGTATGCGGGGTAGCATCACTTCCTTTACTTCTGGCAAGTTACGCCGTTTCGCATCCATGTAGAGCAAAAACGCGGTGTCTTCGTTGAAAACGTCCACGTTGTCGATAAACGCCCAACATTGCTCAACCAAATCTAAAAACGTATTCCGCATATAAATTTAAAAAACCCTCGTAAAATATGCCACTGCGAACCGATTTATCATTATTTATTTTTGTCATATTAGTTATAAAAAAAGTCATTTTTTTGATAAAATTTTATCTTCAAGGCACTACATTTTTCGTTTGCCTTTTTCGACAAGGGAAAAAAGTGAAAACTTGGATTGCGGAAATTTCTACTAGGATCTTGTTTCGAAATTTAGTTAAAACCAATTTCGGGTGTTTTAATGTCGTACCTTTTATTTTCAAATACTTGGCAGCTATAAAAATATCGAGTACGTTTTCCCTATTCAAGTTCCTGCATGAGGGTTCGTTAATTACCATCCACTCGTAGATAAATGCGAATGCAGAAACGCTACACTTGTCCTACAAAAAACATACGCGTTCTACAATCAACTGAGCGCCAAGTAGATATAGCGCCTTACCACTGGCAACTCCACCTTTTTTACTGCCACGTAGGCGTCGAAGAGTTCCGAGTAACATTGTAGAACGATCAGGTGGCAGCTGAACTCTTCGTTGTTGATGTAAACCTTACAGTCGGCGTTACTGAAACGTTCCAAAAATGGAGAAAATAGAACAAATAAAATTGAGTAGAAAATGACTTAATACGCTATTCTTCACTCATACCAATACACACTCCTAATTAAAATGGTGTTTATCAAACGTGTTATATAATATACTACTATTTACAGTGTTTCTTCTTTAGTCACCTAAAATATATTCAAAAACAAATGCATTTCTCTTCCCTCTCATATTCTGAAACAGCAACACAAAACCAAAAGAAATATAACGTTTTAGTTAACGTCACAGTAAAAAAAAATCGATCTTTTCCCTGTGTATAGGGCGAATCACTAAAAATAATGGAGAACTAGAAAGCGAGTTTTGCCAAACTTGGTGCACGGTCATGATGATCCATATTTTAAAAAAATAGTGGTAAAGCTACACACACATCACTACAAAAGAAATTGACGACTGAAACTCCACTCAACAATCTAAAACCTCAGTCTTTACATCGAACCGCAACTCCCAGGAGGATTTTTGACCAGGAAACAACACAAAAGTTATCAATCTTCACGATTTCTAGTAGATTTTAATAAAATTCCATTAAAAATCAGCCTTTTAACTAACGATTGTAACGAAAACTTTATTAAACACACTAAATTTAAATGAAAAAATATTTTAAAGCATTTTTTTCTCATTCTTACAATTCTATCGCATTTAACATTAAAAAAAAAGTAAGACTATGTATTATAATATTTCAAAAGTTTCACAACATTTTTCCATTGTAAAAATGCATAGACGAATCAAGAAGATGGCGTCTAAACATGACAAAAAAAAACATTCGACCACTGTTTCATAATTTTTTAGACTAATAAATCATGTCCGGAAAGAAAACCGACAAGAAATTATGTTGAACGAATAATGGAAAACCTTATAACACTGTTCAAGTTAGGCAGTTTTTTTTTTCTTAAATTAAAATCACAATAATAATAAAAATTAATTTAGATGGCATAAAACTGTCAAACATCAAGTTCAATGTCTCACAATCGTAGCATTCTTGCAATGGAAATACATTCTTTGGCTAATATTTCAAACAACCTTTTCAACAAATTTTGTAAAATTTTTTGAAATAGGCAATCTTTCTGAAGGTCACCCTTTTTTAATTACTAAACTGGATTAAACTATAAAAATGAGGTGTTGTCACATTTCAAAGAATGACTCTTTAATAATTTTTTTCATTTATTTTTTTTATCATTGACTAAATTAAGGCCAAATATATAAGAAAAGCTGTCAGTTGGTGAAATCGATATATTTAGACCTGCGAACTTCAAATGTCACACTAAAATCAAGTATATATAGGCTATCATAATTATATAAAATCTAAATTCGAAATGAAATGTGGGGTGTTATATTTAAAACAAGAAAGAAAGTTGTTACTGGTCTACGAAAATACAAACAACCTGTGTATATAAAATATAATATGTAAAATGAGAAGTAAATCTAAACAACTTTTGTCTCTAACTTTTTCTTTATATATTTTTCTTTCTTTGTTGCATCGTATCAACAAATAACCAATGTTTATTGATAAACAAATAGGAAAATGCAAAACTAATAAAATATCAAAATTATATCTCAACAATAATTTCTTATCCCCAGTTTCATAAGTAAAATTTTGAATATTTTGTTTAGAATGAAATTTTAATGCGACTTTTTGTAATGTGAGGTAATTATATTATGTAACCTTTTTAATAAACCTTTATTAAAGTTACCCTGCTGCTTTTAAAGCCCCCAAATAATTACGTCGCTTGCGTGAGTAATAAAACTAATAATAAATCTTGGCCATAGATGGTCAGTTATATAATAGGACAAACAAACAAATTAGACAAATCGGAAAATGGAGGCACCAAGATGGAAATTTGACTGTTACGGACAGTTAATAAAAATTCATAAAAAGAAAACGTATGTGCAAATTGTAAAAGCTATAAATTGGCGAATGCGCAAGTAACTCGAATCGAAATGAAATTCAAGGAGCAGGGGCGGACTTGAAACTGTAAAAAGTTTTAAATGATTATTTGTTGGATTAGGTTGAATTCAAGTTTAAGTTAATGTTCAAATTTGTAGTGTCACCTATATTTACGAATATAGAATTCCACAAAATAAAGATAAATTAAACATAAACGAAGAGATTAAAAATAAACTTTTTAAACTGCTTATTAAAACGGCTTGCAATGGGTTATGCAGGAAATAATTTGCTGCTTCAGAGGTTGAGTAAAATATTCCTAGATCTGGTTCCATTTGATATTTTAAAATTAAACTTTGATAATAAATAGCTTCAGCCTATGGCACCTAGGAATTGACATGCTAAATTCTACACTTACCATTTTTTTCTGTATTTTTCAAATTTTATCTACATAGAGAGCTGGATTGCATAGTTCAACATGGAGCGGACAATAATTTGACAATACAAAAACCCAAGTTTCAATATGCTCGTGCAGTAAGAATATTAACATGATAAGTAACAGAGTTTGGCATTAAGTAAAACGCCGGGATTATTATCACATACTCTCCTTAAAGGAATAGAATTTATTTCATTCATAAAATTATTAGTTATTTTTTTTTCTTTAAAATGTGGTTCAAAGGCCAAACTAACACCTACAAAAAATGACATTTATGTCACATTCAAGTGATTGACAGTCTGATATTGACTGTATTGGTTAAAATGACTCAATGTAATCAGAAAATTCCAATATTAAGGCAAACTTAACGAATTGTTTTGTATAATAAATAAACAAACCGAACATCTTTCTCTACGGCGAATAATTTATATGGTTAGATATAAAAACCGACAGAGCTTTCAGATTATATAAAGATAGGTGTAGTTAGAATCTACTTCTATTTAATTATGTATGTAGACCGACACATTATAAATGGGGATTAGCTGGGTAAAATTCCCACAGCAGCATGTACGTAAAATCAATGTATTCGCTAATTTAATTAAGCATCAACATGGAACCATTTCCAAATTTCATCATTAATTAACCGCCCCGCCACAACCAGCGTTTAAATATTAGTCCGCGATTTCTAATCGACTTTAAAATTAATTATATTACGTGTTGGTCGTGATCCGACGATAAAGTTCGATATAGAGATTCTGTTTCTCCGGCAGGTTCACTTTGTCCCAATTAATTGATTCCGTTCCATTGTAGCCAAGACGTCCCAAATTCAATTCGGGATCCAATATTTCGTTGGTCTGTTTGCTCTCGTATTCGGACGCCTCCTTGTTCGCACTCCTTGCCGGCGTGTTTGCTATCAAGGAGCCCAGACTTGACAATCCGGGAGGCTAAAATAAACATTTACGAGGTGGCTATAAATGTATACAATAGCTGCTGTCCGGCAGTAGGTGACCTCTCAAGATCAATCGACTGACAGACCGATTTGTACGGTAAACATCCAGAAGGTCACGGTAATACAGCTTCGATCCTTTCTAAGAAACTATAGGATCAATGTTATTGAGTAAGGATCGTCATTTTGGATCCGGTTTCGACTCGATTAGTTCAGAAATCAGCTTCGATATTGCCTAATTTATGTAAGACCATCCAGCTAATTTAAACTGTAAACAAATTATACATCAACAAAATTAGAACTGAACTGAAACTAAACTGAAATTTAAAGATTTACATATCTTCTACAGTTTAAAAAATCCCAAAGACGGAAGTTGTGCACTGTGAACTATGTTTTGTGTATATAACAGTGTATAAAAAACATATAAAATTTTATTTTTTAAAAACTTTCAAAAATATTCAACAACCGATTTTTTTAAGGAGATAATATATTTTGTAATCATTTATCTACCCCCTTTCTTTCGGGCAAAAATATTGGGATGCCATATACCCATAAAGTGTATAATAAGTGGAGCGTGAAATTTAACATAGTGGGCCACGAAACGCTAGATTGTGACAACCGTCAAATGTCGATCTTTTAGTAATGTGAGTGTGCCTTGTTCGTTATCGTGCTGATATATTTTGAAGTTTATTGACTAGTTCAAATTTTTTATAAAATACAATCTGGAAGACATCAAATAAGTATTGGTAGAGAATTTTACTAAAAATGTCTGTAATACGTTACTTTATTGAAATTAGCATTATCAAATTCTTGCGACTTCTATAGCGCCCCCGGTTGAAGTTCCTAGGCCACTTGATGCAAGCGAAATGCGATATTTTTATATGAAAATTAAGAATATTTCGCGAATTAGGCTATTTAATTTGTTGCAATTAAAATGACTATTTAGAATGAGAGTTTTCTATTACCTGGCCTAGAACAGCATCACCGGAAATGGCTTTTCGGTAACCGCCCTCGTGAGTCATGGGTAATTCTTCACAAATTTTTACTTTCGTGTTCTTGGGATCGGCCACAAGGACGCTCAGTTTTTTTGAAGAGAAAACAACCTAAAACTTCTTATTTAAAAACATCTTAGTTATTGATATTGATGAGGATTTGATATTTTTAATTGCAGTCTTTCCGCATGGTTTTAAAATCTTGAATCATGCAGCCTCGACTTTTGTAGCGTCAGTCAACAATATTTTCCTTTACTTAGTAATTTTAACTGTTACATTTCATACTTTTCTCCAAAGAAAACGATATATTTTTCAAATCACATCATCCCAACGCAACATATTGTATAACTTCATTTTAATTTTGCTGTATTCGCAGTGATCAATTTTCTTATATGGTCGCCGATGCAATTTTTAGATCGTTAGTCATATAAGGTTTTATGGAAAAGTTTCATATAACTTTTCAAACCATGTAATTCATATTTATACTGCTGGAGTGAATAGAGATTGATGCAACATTATACGTTTTGAGAAAACGGAACATAGCAACTTGCTGAAAATATGGTCACATAGGCTGAAATGTTGATTGCAATTTTCCAGTATTGGGAGTACTAATTCCCTGTAATAGAGTAAACTTTTGCGGTGTACGGAGTGTTGGTATAATTTGCAAATAGCCTTTTTTTTCAAATAGAAAACCCAAATTTTCTGGAAACCGCTACTTCTACACAACAACCGTGAGATACCATTGTATCTGTCGTCTGTTCATAGCTATAAGAAAGCGAGCAATTGCTGTTAAATCGGATTATCCAAGGGTGGTTATTAACATATGATGCAACAAGATTATTACCTAAAGTTTCGGAATTTAAATTCAGGTAAAATTGTGGTCAGTAATAGAAAATAATTTTATACCTACCTGTGTTTAATATTCTTTGGTTTGGTATACTACTTAGTTTAAGTTTATTTGTAATCATTCTTATTTCTTGTGTAATACATCGTTTGCGAATTATGCAAAATATGTGCGAGTCTAGTGTATCTCAGGAGATGATCCCGCCCAAATGTAGAAAACAGCATTCTATTGAGACTAAGGAAGTTATGAACAATGTTTATTTGACTCTCATTGAACGTGGTGCCAGCAAGGAAGCATCTTTAGAAGAAACGGCCACATTGACGAAAATTCCAACATCAACTGTATGGAAAATTGTGAATAAACCCATTTCACATTCGCATTTTCTCGAGTGTAGATGAAAGTGATCAAAATTTACCAGTTATACGAGGAACAAAGCGTGCCTACATTAGATATCTTAATTAGGAGGCTTGAAAAAAATGGAACCGGTGTTAAATGTTGCAGAACTACCTTATGGAAGTGTATTCAACACATGGGTTTTAAAATTAAAAAAATTGACAAAAGGCAAGTTTTAATGGAATTTTTTAGAATTCGAAAATGGCGACTGGAATATCTAGAAAAAAATTAGGATTTACAGAGAACAACAAAGGCCAATTATTTACTTGGATGAAACCTGGGTTGGGTTGACTCGACTGATAAGTGTAAAACAAACAGGCCATCAAAAAGAGGTAAAAGAATAACTATTTTGCATGCTGGCTCTAAAGGTGGTTGGATTCCAAATGGACTTTCTCGGTCTGCGAATATATTAAAGATTCTTACCATGAAGACACCACGGCTGATTTATTTGAAAGTTGGTTTAAAAACAAACTAGTTCCAAATATTCCTCCTAATAGCGTAATTGTAATGGACAATGTAAGTTATCACAGTAGACAGTTGACTGAAACTCCTTCCTCATGTGACCCAAAACTAAATGTATAACGACATTTATTTTCACGAAGATTATATCAAAAAGCAATTAATTGAAGTTCTACGATGTTTTTCCCGTATTAACTCCAATGTCCTTAAACTTATAGAAACCGAAGTTTTTAACATCCCTCCACAAAGTTGGGCAAATTCTGTTAAACATATTGAAAAAGCAGAACAATCGCATATCCATATTGCAAATAATATGGAACAAATAATAATTAGAAAATGCGATGATAGCGATAGTGATGCTGATATATTATGTGAATAATTTTAAGTAATTTAAGTAGGTAATAAAAATAATTTGTAATTTTATTTTAGATTTAAACAGAAATACATACATAAATAAATAAATATTGTTTAGTATCTTTCCTAACAAAACCCCAAATAATTAAATTCTAAGCAAAGTGCGGACCTGTTCGGCCACATTTCATTCTTACAGCTTGTCGGAATATTTCCTTAATTCGTATCAGTTAGTCACTTTCTTATATCTATGAACAGACTTTACTCGAGACAGATAGACAAAAATTATGGAGTGTTTTTTCAAATTTCAATGATAGTTTTAAAGTTATCATATTTTGATTTTAAATTATTTGTGTATTAAACTGGTATTCCGCTTAAAATAAATATGAATAACGCAAGGAAAACATGTTAAGAAAATCGATTAGGAGTGGTTTCAGGTTAAATTTGTTATATATTATAGTTTTATCATAATGTTATCGACTTGCATTGCATTGCACTTTGAGATATGTATGCACTTAAGATATAAAGTACATTACATCTTTGGCAGAGTTATAACAAATAATATAATATAATGGCAAATAAACCCGTTGATTCTAGGTAAAATGAGCAAGAAAAAAAGAGACTCCTGAAGAGAGCCCAGAATTTCTATTTATTAATCATTTTCAGTTTCCAGCAGTTATATTTTTGAATATTACATGATCTTTAACGGCGACTTTCTCGCTGGGATCAAGTATATATGTCCACCCTCCAATTGGGGCTAAACAAATTAATTAGCAAACCATGTGTGTTCGCATGGCGGAAAATCGTTACCTGAGACGAATCGACTTTCAGATTTCCGCTCGGCGTCGGTTTAAAAGGAAAACACTTGGAATCTTTCGGATCTCGGGCTCTATAAAAATTTACTCAGTCAATGAAAAGTCGGAATAAAACAAATTCGCTCTCCCACTGATTAATCTTGCACGGAGCACGCTCAAGAAAAACGTCTACCGCTTTTTGAGTCTTTTTCTTAGACGGATATAGAAAATCCTTTTCGGTTATACGTTCGGCTTTAACAATTTTCTGTCTGCGATGGTCTTTAGGATATAAAAGAAGGAAATCGTCCGACGAAGCGTTAGCTGGATGCTTAGGACTGTTACCATAACCTGAAACTTTAAATTCAGAAAGTATTTCGCAAAATTATGTGATCGAAAACTTAAAAACAGCCTAAAAGAAGAAAATGTTAATCATAGTAAAATATCGATAATATCATGGAACAAGTTGTATAAACGACACTTTAGTCGCGAGTTTGTGAACAAGTTTATAAGAGTTTATTAAAATAAGTTTATTAAAATACATTTCAACAAATTAAAAAAGATTTTTTCTACTCCCTACTCTAAATTTTGCAATTATTCAGTGATCAAGCGTGCGTGTCACTTTGTGTCAGTTAAGTTCGCGAGCCACCGGATGTTGCCGCTACTTTGGAAATGAGTGCGGGAGTCAATTGAGGTGCGTGCAGTTCTGACGGTCAGGTCGCCCGTCTCTAAATGAATGTGCTGTTTTAGAAAAATTGATCAATCACTCCACAAATTAATGGTCGTAGAAAAAAGCACAGTATGCAAAAAGTTGATAAAAACCCTGTTATTAAACACTCGGTCCGCTGAGAAATCAGAAGCGCGACTAAAGTGGCGTTTATCAAACTTATTGTATATTTTGGTTGATTTTTTAATAGGAACTTACATTGTGCACTTTCTTTAATTTAATTAAGTTAATTAAAAACTATTAAGAATGCCATCTATTAAATTTTTATGTGCTTTAATTATACAGCGAAAACCAGCCAAGTGCCGATTAAAGTACCGGAAAAGCTCCAATTGACTGGCGACAGTATTTAATGAAGCTGACGTTTTAAAGTGCTCAAGTGCATAAAAAAATAATAAATAATTCTATAGACTTTCTGCAATATATTGCTATTAGTTAAACAATTATTTATTTACGAAAAAGAAGACGGCGGATTATTCTTTTCTGCCATATTATTACAGTTACAATAAGTAAATTTACAATCACTGATTTAAAGACCCCAAAGTACAATAATATTAATTTGTATTAATAATACCTAACAATGCAAAATTGCAATAAAGTTCAAAAACAAACAGAGAAAAATGTATTTGTAAAATAGAATTATTGAAAAATTCTGAAATTGAAGGATTACCATATTCTTGACCACGCACATTCCTGTCAATTTTAACACATTGTGAATCGTTATTATGTCATTATTTTCAACATACAACAATTAATTTTTATATAAAATTGAATAAATTTAAGTAAACAAGGGTAAATACATAAGAGTTTAGTAAAATGTTATTATTAAGTTTACTCTCCAAGAAAATATTTTTTTCTGTAATTCTGTAATTGATGTTTTTATGCGTTGCAAAACATTGACTGCTAAAAATTACCAAATTTTTAATTAGGCGTAATAAAATATTGCATACCTTTTTCAAATTTTTTGTTCACTTCTGGAATTTCGTGAACTTCGTGACGATGTAACTAAAATTTATCCGAATGAAGCGGCAATTTTCTTACGCTTTAGAAAGTTTGGAAAAATACTTTACTCCCGTATGGACGCTGTAAGGTTTTCCGTAATCGATAATTTTGTGTTGAAGCCTCTCTTCCCGACCAGAAGGCAAATTCAGCCTAAAATACAAAGAAACATAATATAACGTATTTTCGTAAAAATAAGTAAATTATTTACCTTAGGTTAACTAAATCTAAATTACCCAAAGAAAGTTTGTCGCCGTCGTCGTCCCGCGGATGAACCTGAATTATCCAAAAAATTATTAACTTCATTTAAAATATAAATTATCATTCTTACTGCTCCAGACCTGGTAAAATTTTTTCGCATGCTACGAAGCGCCAATGAAAAACTTTAAATTTTTCGTCGTTAGCTAAAGTTGATGTCCTGTGTAATCTGAAAAAAATCTGACAGTGTCTGACAAGCACATGCTCTAACAGGCCGTCCGGGTTATTGTTGCAGTCTGTCCTGTCTTTCTTTATAAAATGGTATAAATTAAAAAATGTTTGGATGAACCGATTTCGATTGATATAAATTGATATTGAATGTTGAACAGCGTATTTTTAATATAAAATTGTTTCCTTTTGTCTGGTTAGTTGGAATTGTGGAATTAAATTTAAATCAAATCAGAACAAACTTCAAGCGTTTCAATGCGCACACACGTACGTCAGATTTTTGCGAATAAATTTATGGGAATCGGTTGAAACAACTGATCGATCAATTAACAAATTAAAGTTAATAACTTTGGAATAAGTTGATATTGAATTAATAAGATAGATTATTGTGGTTTTAGAGTTAAATCTTCTAAATAAAGAAAATCGCAAGAACAAAACCAAACAAACTATTAACAAATTAATTAATCAGATAGTGATGGGAATACTCGTACACTGTAATCAGTTAATATCCGAACGATTCGAATTTTGACGTCCGGCCTCGATATCGATTCCGATTCTTATAGCCTGGATATATACATATGATACTGCTCGATTTATAAGCTGCAAACACATGTGATTTGGCAGGACAAATTTGCATATGAGATATGAACATGTTTACTTAGAATAAATGCAGTTTCAATTCACTATACGAATTAAATAATAATCTCCTGATATGCATAACAATTTTTTAAAAAATAAATACTGATTCACCAGTTCGTCGATACTAAATTATAATTCTCAGGCTTTTTTGAAATAAGCGCGCACTTTTATTTGCTTTAATTATTACCTCCTTTCTTGTAGAATCATAGCATAAAATCAAACGCCAGCTGGACGTTTCTTATAACATTTGCCCTTCGTTTGAAATCCCATCTATTTCACAAAGTTTGTCAGTTAGTTAACCTTTCTGTAGAAGAAGAATATGAGCCATTTTCAAGGTTATTTCCTTTCTCATCCTCTTCTTCGGTTTTCTGATTTAGGGCTATCTAATACCTCCATCAATTCTTCTATTCTTGATTTCGGAGCGGATGGTCATGCAATTTATTTATTTAATAAAAATATTTAACAAACATAATATTTTGTGACGAATTTGAAAGCTTGGTATAGTTAGAGTTACGTTAAACTCAGTACTTTAAGAAAAATACTCAATTCCACCAAGTAATCGATTCCGTAGTATTCGATTCTTCAAAATGCAGGTACTTCTGGGAATAAAATGGTAGAACCACAAATTCCTGATACTTGTACAAAACCCATAGAATTTTTCAAACTCTTGTTCACGGATGAGCTAATAATAAAAATAGTGGAACAAACAAATAACTAGACCAGACATAAAATAGCACAGAAGAGGTTGTCAAAACGTTGTATATGGCACACGTGGGTAGATACTACAGTAGAAGAATTTACCGCATTTATTGGGGTTGTCTTAAATATGGGTAAAATAATATCCAAGAGTACTGGTCACAACAGTTTAACGACAAAATGCCTTTTTTTAGTGGCATATTTAGAAGAGAACGATTTTTACAATTTTTTTGGATGCTCCACTTGCATTAAAACGATCCAAATGGCGAAACTCTTAGAGCTCGAACTCAAAAAGCAAGTCGGTAGATATCGGTAGATGAATCTGTTGTTGGATTTAAGGGTAAAATTAATTTTTTAACTTAACAATGCTAACAAGTTTACGAAATGGGGATAAGAATTTATGTAATGGCGGATGCTAACACTGGATATGTTTATTCAATTTTGCCGTACTACGGAAGCTTGACATCGCATGATATAGTGAGACCTGATTTACCTGTAACTACAAGGATAGTGTTACATCTGTGTCAAAAATTATTAGACAATAACCCAGGATGTAGAGGATATGATTTTTACACCGAGAGATACTATACGAACTTGCCACTTGCAGAAAAATTGTTAATACTAAATGTCAACCGCAAATTTATACCTGATTCTATCAAAAAACCAACATTTGCGGAAGATAACACATTTGCATGCAGATTAGGTAATTTGATCTTGGAGTGGAAAGATAAAAGGGTCGTCACCACTTTTACTTCGTGGGATATTTCAGGAACACAGCCTATCAACAGAAAAGTACGTGGAGGTAACTTACAAGTTGTAAATAAGCCAACTGTAGTGGTCAATTACAGTAAATGTATGGTAGGTGTCGACCACACAGACTCTTATTCATCGTCATACTGTTTCCTGAGGAAGTCTTTGAAATGGTGGGGAAAGTTATTTTTCTGGAGACTCGAAATGTCTAGTGTTAATGCATATTTATTATATAAAATTTCACAAGACCAAAAACACAAAACCAATGACACATCTAAAGTTTGTTGGGGAATTGGTTGACGAGATGACAAAAAACTTTCGGCAGGGGTCCAAAATTTCTGTCGGACCTTCATCTGTAGATACAGAAGAGCGGCTAAATGGTAAATTACATATTTTACGTCAAAATGATGGAAAGAAGAAAGACTGTGCGGTATGTTCTAACCGTAAAGTACAAGGCGGCAGGCGGGAAACTAGGTTTATTTGTGACACTTACACCCGTAAGGCTGGACTACACATTGGTGACTGCTTCGAAGGGTAACATACACTACAACATTATAAGATGTAATTTTTTTATATTGTGTATAAATTTATTTTCTAATAATGGTAGTGATTATGATAATGTTAGGTTTTATTTATGTTCCTCTATCCTCAAAATATATTATTTTTGTAAGCCATTACTTTTTATTTAGTGTTTCTCAAGTTTTTTTTATTTAGTTATTTTTCATGTTATAATTGTAATAAATTATTAAATATTAAAAAAAACAAAATCCCCTAGTTTTTATTAAGCAATTTTTTTTATTAAAAAAAATCCATTATAAAAAAATCCGAGTAGACAGATAAGTAGATAAAATAATAGTCCCGAGTACAGTGTACTCAAAGGGTTAACATACATACGCATCGAACGCGTCAAACTATCGCGAACCAGAAATTTTGATATTCATTATTAATTTTTTTCCAATTTTTGAAAAATACTGTTTTTCGATTAAATTAAAAAAATAAAGTGTTTTTTGTCGCAACTTCAAAGCATGCTGTAGGAAATCTAAGGTGAATCTATTATTTACGTCTTGTAATCTTTATCGCATTCTAAACAGTTCGTTCTTTGATTCATATCATTGTCTCATTTCTGTTTCAAGCTGGAAATTTTTTATTAAAATGTTGTCAAGTCAAGCTTTCGGTTAGAAATGTTAGCTAAGTACACGATTATTGTGACAAAATGTTTGACCGTGACAATATTATAATGTGTTGTGTGTCAATATGATATTAATTCCAGCAGACGAGGATAAAATTGCTACGTTGCTGGGGGATGACCGCAGCAAAAGTTATTGTGAGAATTGCATGGTCTACAGTTCGGTATGCACGGAATAGGTATTTGCAGAATAGAATTTTTACTAGGCGGCAAGAATCTGGCAGAAGCAAAGTGACAATACTTACGAATGACTGTATTCATCTTCTAAGTGGACATAGTCTGGCGGTGTGATATGTCAAGTCATATGGCGGACAGTCCTGATCATAACCGTGTCCAGTAGACATTTCTGAAGCTAAACAATGGCATCCATTTATTTTTCCCAACTTTCATCGACAATCCCGCTAATAGTTGTTTTGTCATGGGTAGCTCTTTAGAGATCGCTATATGTCTAAAATAATTTCATTTTAATGAAAAATTTGCAGCTTCCAGCAAAAATGAAATCATGGAATGAATCACTTTTCAAGAATTAGATTGTTTTCTGCTCCTTCATTTGAAACGCGGCTGTATTGCGCACAGTCCTAACTGCAAAGTTAGTTTTAGTTAGTTTTCTTGATTATGTGTTGTGTATAACGTATTTTTTATTTACATAAATTTCCTTCAGAAACGACTAACGTACGTAAATATTGTGGGGGTAGATGTTCGTACTATTGTTATCTGAATTAATTCAACGTTCCGTATTAAATCGCGTGAACAACACCAGCAACGTAATCTACATCTAGCAATTCGTTTAGAGTGCATTCTTCCATGAAATATTTTTATTTCTCGTACGTAATAAAGGTCGCAACGCCCTTTTGAACTCCCACGTGTTCCTCCGTCGAAACAAAAACGAGTTTAAGGAAACTCGCTGTGTTACTTTATGCGAAAATACCGTTATTTTTCAAAACTTCGGTCATTCCGTGTTTTGTTTTTACGTGATTCTTGACAATACCAGAAACAACGACAGTGGTGCAGACGACACAAATGGCCTTATGTTCTCATCACTGTCCGTCGACCCTCAAACGTTTTAAACTCGTCTCCCGAGAAAATAAGAAAGAAAATATACAAATGCCCTTTTGGCTACTGTTCACATAAAACGGACCATTCTATTAAGTCTGTCTTTTTTATGCGTCGGGTTATAGTCAAAAACTTGTTAGAATTTAGATGGAAATTATACGGGGCCGGTTGCTAAAATTTTAGAAGATGTTTACGAAAAAATAGCAGGGTATATTCCTATGCAAATTGAGGGCGACAAAGTACTTTGGTAAATGTTTGACATTTAATTAAGGATCAGCAGGGGTTTGCCGTTTTTAAGAAAAGAGAAAGCAATTTCACGAAATTAGGAAGCGGGAAATGTAATTGATATCATTTGTTTTTCGGAGAAAAACCCTTGAAAAGAATTAAATATAACATAGTAACAAAATTGATTCTTTATTTGATTAATTTGCGAAATGCGTTAACAAAAAGCGAGGATATTGGGTGTTTTGTATCTGTTTTATTTGATGACTTGTCAAACAATTAGGTTTAAGTAGGCGCAGCTCTCAAAATAATATGAGGGAACAGGGGAAAAAGTTTTCAAAAATCCGTAGTTGTATGGCTGTTAAATGGTAATCTCAAAATTTAGCATATTGCATGATTTACCTAATTTTTAATTATTTAGTTTTTTAGGTAGATCGTAAATCTATTCAAATAAGTAAGGCAAATGACAAAAATACAAATACTTCGTTCGAAATTTAAATTAAGGCTGAAGGTTACTTAAATGTAAAACTGTATACAGTTAAAGTCTGTTCATAGATATAAGAAAGTGACCAATTGCTTTTGAATGGGATTATCCAAGGGTGGTC